CCTTATACACATAGCGTGAAGGTAATTTTGTTTTTTTTTCTTTTGGTTTCTGGGGATGGATCCCAGGACCTCACACATGCTAGGCAAGTGCTCCCCAGCCCTGAAGGTAATATTATACACTATTTTTAACAATTGGGGGATTTCCACTCATGGTACCATGTCATGCTCCTAATGTTTCAGATTTTGGATTTTCAGATTAGGGAATCTCAACCTGTACTTTTAGGTCCAGGCCTGGAGGAGGGGCTCCTTGTCTGAACATGAGAAATGGGTGGGTTCCTGGGCCACAGTGTCCCTGCAAGGAAACCCGGTTCATGTCCACCCGCCCCATGTCAGATGTCCTCACATTGGAAGATGTGAAACTAATGTCAAGTGGGTCTTTGATGGCTGCTGAGGTCACCTGGGCGGTGTGGCCCTGTCCAGGTCAGGGAGCACCAAGAAAAGGGAGAGCCACTGGCTTGGAGCCACTGTACCTGGCCCCTTGGCCCACACTCGGTGCACCAGCTGCCTGCCAGTGTTGGGTTCTCCTCGGGGTCTCCACAGAGGGGACGTGAGGCCTCCACACCCATGGCCACCCTCACCTCACACGTCCACAGCCTTTTGAGGATCCCCAGGACTGAGGGGCTGAGAGCTGAGCGCCCTGGCCCAAGCTTGGGCACCATCTCCCTAGGAGCACCCCACAGGGCAGCGTGGGCGAGCGCTGTGTGGCAGGTTGCCCTCTCTCACTCCTTGGTACTCTCCTCACCCCCAGGTCCCAGTTCTTCAGAGGCCTGGACCTCAGTGGGTGAAGCAGCCACAGCCATCTGCCATCTCCTCTGCTCCGGTGTCCGCAGAGAACTGCTGCTGCTGTCATCATGTCTTTCCCTGTTTGTTTGTTGACATGCTCCCTCAGGAGGACCAGGACTTGGTCTTGGTCACCCCCGGAGCCCTGACCTGTGGACCCCAAGCCATATGTTGGGTCTCCATTTCTCTGGGGGAACTCTGGATCCACTCTTCTCCTGTTGTGGTCTACGAAATGGATTTTATCAACCAATTCCACCCCGGGCTTGCCCCAACTCCATGTGAGCAGTGATCTTGCCCCAGTGGGTACAGAAGGGGTAAAAAGAAAGCACACGTCGCACAGCAGGGCTGAGTATGGTTTCACGAGAGCCTCTGGTAGCTTCTTGTGACTCATCCGTTTATTTAAATGACATCAGAAAATGACAGTCTGTGGGGAAAGGAATGCACATTAGTTATTCCACATGGAGAAGCAACACTATAACATCATTTTAAAAAAGGGTTAAAAGGGTTTCCCATTAGAACCTATGCTGGGTTAGAAACCAGCTTTGCCGAGGCCCAGGTCTGCTTTTCCTGCTCCTGCTAGCTGGCACCTCTGACCAACTTCTCTGGGTGTCTCTGCTGGCACTGTTCAAGCCACACTAAAAGAGATGGGTGGTGCCACCAAGGCAGACCGTGCCCAGCTTCCTGACCATCTGGGAGCACCCTGGGAGGTGGTCAGGGAAGGCGCAGGACACTTGTGTGCTGCAGGGTCCGTCCTGGGCTTCCTTCTGCCTGGATACCACTATGCGGTGACAGGAGGACCTGCACCTGTGGACACCTGGCTCTCTTTCTGTCTCTGGTCTGCGGCACGGTCTCTCCACTCCTTTCTTTTTTTTGATTCTTAGTCTCCGCATCCCCAGCAACCCCAAGGTTCCAGCTCTGGTATCTGGGGTCCTGTAGGTCTTTGGGGGTCAGGTCAGTTACTGCCATGGGCTTCTGCTTCCAACAGAGGCAGCGGCTGACTGCTTGGCCTTACGTCAGTCTGGTGACAGCTTCATCTCTGGTGAAGGACAAGTTTGGCTCAAGCCCCATGCTGACTATCCCTGGGTTCCGAGAGTCACCCGAGGGCTTGTCTCCTTTCTTTCTGTGCTCCCTGTCCTCCTCTCTTCCTCTTTCTGAAACACCACACTCCTTCCAGAGCTGAGCTTCGGAGCTACCACAGAGAATTCTGGGCTCCATCTTGAAGTTGGTGTTTTCTAGCCACAAAGTGAGTTTGAAAAGACAAAGTTTTCCTCTATAAAGCACCTTTCAGCTTGTCAACAACAATGACAACAGTAATAATAACAGCATCTTACATTTAAGGTTTTAAGTTTATATTTTACAGAGCTTTTAAATACATCATTTCATCAGCTATTTTAGGGCCCCTGGATGAGTCCGGAAGGACTCTCTCCTCCCCTTTCCTGAGCTGAGTAGTCCCTTCTGCTCATGAGTGTCCCTAAAGAGTACGTTCAGGTGCAAAGTAACTGACTGAACTCTCCCTGTCTCATGGGGATTTCTGCTCCTAGAATTTGGCTGCTCAAGGGGAGAGTGAGTTTAAAAACTTCATTTGTTAGAGAATCTTCATTTTAGGAAGGACTTTTCTTAATAGTCCTTGCATTTGGTATTTCTTAAAGTCAGGGCTTCCTAAATTAAGGAGGAGGCTCAAATTCCACCCCTCCCCACCAACACCACACTGAGAGACAGATCTGGCTCTCTGTTGAGTGAAGGGGATGATTGGAAGAGGGAGGCCGGGGTCCTGGGGGGAAGCAGAGGAAAGCCAGTAGCCTGCTGAGTCCTTCCAGAACATCAGCGACCCTGGGTGGGGCCCTTGAGGGGCAGCTGAGTGGGCTTTGGGCTGGATGGGGAGAGGCTAGCTAGGGGTGGTGAAGGGCAGGTCCACCTGCAGGGTGGGGGTGTCTGGAGGGGCATGGAGGGTAGGAGGAGTGTTGGACAGATCCCAGGACGCCCCTTCTGAGCTACCTAAAGACTTCTGGGCTCCTTCTTGAAATTAGTGTTTTCTAGCCTCAAAGTCAACAACCAGGTCCCCTGAGGTGACTTTGGTGAGAAATGCTCATTTCCTTGTCCAAGCCTTTCTTTACTTTGCCACCAGTTCTGTCCCTTTTTCAGACCCTGTTTTGCTAGTATCCCCCCAAAACCCTCTGACTCTCTGTGGCCTGGAATGTGTGGCTCTTTGTGGTTGAATCCCTGACTTTCCCTCCACCCCACACCTCTCTGTTCCCCAGTGTGTCTCACACTCCTGCACCAGGACTTTCCACATTCCACTGCTGTTTGAAAGCCATTCCCAGGAAAGTTCAGCTCCCTTTCCTGACCAACCATTGTTCCTCTAAGACCCAGGACTGGAAATTCCCTGCTCTGGACAGCCCCCTCTTTATACTGCCATTAGAGAACTGTTACATACAATAAAGGAATTGCTTCTGTCCCAGACCAGAGGCTCTTTAAGGGCAGAACACATTCTTTCTCATAAGAAGTGGCGTGGTTAGGTGAGCAAGTTCTGGAGCCTAACAACCTGGGTTCAAATCCTAGCTGTGTAATTCATTAACCATCTTCTCTTGGACAAGTTTGCGAACTTCTCTATGTTTCAGTTTATTCAACTGGTAAATGGGTTAATAACGTTTTTATTAAAGGGTTGTTTAGAGAATTAAATGTGTATATATATTATATATATAATACATATATATATCTCAACTAGAATGATATCTGATGTCTAACACAGTGAGCACTAAATACATGTGAACACTGGAAGCAAGCCCATCGCGAGGCGCAGCACCTTGGATACAGTACACGTGCATATTTTGAGTAAATGCCTCCATCTGTCCCTCCCTCGTCCTGTCTCCCACTTGCCTTGTGTCCCTCCTTCTTCCTTTCCTCCCTCTCTTCTTTATTCCTTGAGTCTCTGGCTGACCACTCATGCTCACAGAGCAGCGGGGCTCCTCTGGGGCCCTCGAGCTGGAAGGTCCCAAGTTCTCTTCTGAAGCTCCAGCAGAGGAAGCTCCTGGCAGGAGGGGTGGAGCCAGGAGCCAGAGGTTGGTGCAAACAGTGGGGACCCTGGGGTCGTGCACTGGAAGTGCGGGGGGCAGGGGAGGGCAGGGGAGAGAAGTGGAAGAAGGGGTGGGAAGGCCCTTGAGGAACAGAGACCAAACAGGCTCCCTTTGCTCCTGTTTCCTAGATACACAGGTCTCTAGAGTTCTTCTGTGTAAAGGAAGACAGCGTCAGGGATGAACAAGGCAGAGCAGGGCTGGAAGGGAAGAGGAGGGAAGCATCCACTTTTCTTTCTTGGGGCACTCTGCCTGAACCTCCCGTTTACCTGCTCTGGAGAAGAGTCTGGAGCTTCAGGGCTGCTCTCCAGCTCTGGCTCCCTACTTGCCAGATGGTTGACAGAGCCTGGGCAGGACCCAGTGTCCTTGTCTGAAATGGGCTCACTGCCCTACCTTCCCTGAAGAGCAGGGTTGACAGATGAGGTGCTGTCCAGATAGGCACTGGCAAGTGCTGCAGGCAGACAATGGGTCTTTGTCCCCATGACAGGGCCGGAAGGACAGGTGGCAGAGGCCTGTTGGCTGGACATCTATGGGCTGAGGGCAGACTTGGCTGTGGCCTCCCTCTTGCGGAAGCCCTCACCATCTCCTCTCTTGCTATTGCATTCCAGTGTGGAGTTGGCTGGGGGTGGAGGATGGGCTGGGACCCTCCGGGGAAGAGCCAGTGCTGGGGGCCTGGGGGACTGCCATGCCCTCTTCCCTCCACTCACCAGGAGGACCCAGGAAGGGCAGGGTAAGAGCAGCTGTTTCAAAACAGGCCCAGATTAAGTGCTGGGCAAAGTTCAAATGGCCAGTCCTCTAATGCAAACCAGGGCCATCCAGGAAGGAGAAAAGGGGTCTCCTGTGGGCTCAGACCCCGCAGCCCCCAGGGCAGATGGGCAGTCAGCCAGACCTCCAGAAGCTTTTCTGGGAAGAGATGGGCATCTTGGGCATAGACAACCTGGGCTGTTAAAAGCTGAGTGTGTGTTTAGGAAGAGAACAGAAAGAGTTAAGACCAAGAAACAAAGAACAGTCCTTCCTCTCTCTTCCTCTTGCGCACTTCCTGAGCAGGTAAGCAGGTCCTGTCCCTGCGGGCAGGGCAGAGAGTGCTTGGGAAACAAAGGCTCCTCTTTCTTCCTCAGGCCGGCTCTCGTTTCATTATTCTTATCCTTTTGTTTAAAACATTTTTATTAGTCTTTTTTAATCTTAAAATTTTAAACAGCTGTTTATAAAAACACAACAAATACACAACACAAAACAAACCTTGGTAAAAATAACTCACGATATAGTACATATACTCAGACGGCGTGATAGATTTATATAATAAAAGATGAAAATAGTCACTTTCCATAATAAAAATAAGTTCTATTTTTTTGTTTATTTTACAATATACTTAATATTCTCTTCTTCTTTTGCTTCCTCTCCTTCATTCCGAAATCTACAGGGGCCCGTGGCTGTCCCTGACCCCACGAGCTGGAGTCTGAGAGGCAGCAGGCGGGGCTCAGGAACACGGGTGGCAGCCGCACTCCAAGTGTCTCTCCACCTCCTCCACGAACGAGGAGCCGTCCGTGCACTGGAAGACGTATTTCCGCCGCTTGCTGCGGATGGGCTGGCAGCACTGGGACCCGCAGCCCCCGTGACATTCCATGATGGGCACCTTAGAGGCTGTGGCACAGGACGCGTAGCCTTTCTGGCGGCGGATGGCCTCACGGACCACCTCCCCCAGGCATGGATTCTCTGCAGAGGGCAGAAGAGGTGGGGTCAGGACATTCCAGGGCCCTGGCAGGACCAGAAGTGGTTCCCAGCTGGGCGGTTCTGGAACACTGTGGTCTGAAGACCACGTGTACTTATTCTTTCACTTGTCCACCTGCTGATGCGGCCATCTGTCCATTCATCCACCTACCCACCCACCCAGCAGCCCTCCATATTAAATGCCTTTTCTGTGCCAGGCTCTATAGTAGGTGCAACCAAGCCTCAAGCACATGAGGAAGCAGCTTGGTTCCTTCCTTCAAGGAACTTCAAGTCCAAACTAGATGAAGGCCAACTGGTGGACTGTGGCCTAAATCCTGTCCCCAGACACGTGCTTAAGAACTAAACCACTTACCAACATTCAACAAGCCAGATTTCTGGGCTGGGGTTGTGGCTCAGTGGTAGAGTGCTCACCTAGCATGCGAGGCCCTGGGTTATATCCACAGCACCACATAAAATATATATAAATAAAATAAAGGTATTGTGTCCAACTACAACTAAAAAATAAATATTTTTTTTAAAAAGCCAGATTCCATTTAAGACTTTGACTTTCCGGCTTCTTTGAAAACCAGAAAGTCTGGCGAGGCTGGGCTGGCCTCCCTGCTCTGTAGTGATGGGTGGGAGCTGAGCGTCTCTGATGGGCCAGGAGATCTCCAGGCTGCCCCGGGTCCCACGGCCCTCAGTGCCTGTCTCCCTCGTCCAGAGTGCAGACACTAATTACAGGATCACTTAAGTGGATATAGCTGTAATGGGAAACTGAGGTGGGACAGGTTGATATAAGAGCATATGGCAAGGGAACCTGCCCTGGCCCAGGGAAGCTTCTCTGGGAAATGACGAGGGAGTTCAGATCTGAACAGGAGCAACAGTTGATGAGGCAAAGGGCCTTTGAGGCAAGATTTCCCCAAAGGCCTAGAACTGACAGGAGGGCTGGGCAGGGGACCCTGGTCTGCTTGAACCTTCAACCTGACCTGGCTCTTCACCTTCAGCCCTCTCCCGTCCTCATGACACTGGGCTACGTCTGGAGCAGGTGCTGAGGAAGGCAGTAATGGACTCAGTACCAGGACCCTCCCCCTTACAGCCTGGACAAGTCACTGGTCATCCTGAGCCAGTTTCCTGGCCTGGAAGATGGTGACATGTTTGCCTGGAAGATGGTGACATGTTCTTCCTACTAATTCGCAGCTCTTGTGAGCATCAGAGGAGACTGAAGGAGAAAGGGCCCTCTGCGTTTTAAGGCTTCAGGTATTTGAAGGTGGTGAATGGATCTGTGTTAAGCTACATATAATTCTTTAAAATCATGAGGTGGTTTAAAGATTCAGAAAGAGTCTAGTGACAATGGGTGTGCATGTGTGTGCAAGTGGGAGCAACCTGGGACAGGGAGGGAGAGTACCCTGTGTCACATGTGACAGCTGGGGCCAGGCACTATGGGAGCTGTTCACACTACCCTGAGGACTTTCCTGTGGTTATTTAAAAATAGTAAAGTTGAAGAAATGGGCAGTTTTGCTGGAGAATAGTAGTTCCTCTGGATTTGACACATGAGAGTTCTCTAGTGATGGGGGCCGGCTGCCTAGGATGCTGGTGGCAGGGAAGAGGACTTCTCAGGGTCCTTGTGGGAGAAAAACCTCCAATCACCGCAGCCAGGGGGCCACTCCCTCGTGTCACTAGCTCGGGGTTCATGAGAACGGGTCAGACCACCCACAGCAACAGGGGGACTGGACGGAGACTGCAGAGGAACTTGGCAGTGGCGAGGCGTCTCAAGGACCCACAGGTGGAAGAGAGAGAGAGGAGAGAGATGGAGGACAAGGGAAAGAGCTCCCTCCCCTGGGAGAAGTGCCTTGTTTACTTTTGTTATCACTTTTCTGTATCTCAGGGAAGTGCTGGCCTGGTGAATGAGTTGGAAGTATTCTGACCTCTTCAATTTCCTAGAATAGTTTGAGAAGAACTGTCATTTAATGTTTGATCAAATCTAGCAGTGAAGTCATGAAGCCTTACTTTGATGGGATAGCTTTTCATTACTGGCTCAATTTCCTTACTGTTTTTGTCTGTTTGGATGATCTGTTTTTTCATGATTCAATCTTGGCAGCTTGCATGTATCCAGAAATTCATCCATGTCTTCTAGGTGGTCTATGTGTAGTCATAATAGTCTCTGATGACCCTTAGTGGTTCTGTAGCATCAGTTGTAATGTCTCCTTTTTCATCTCTGATTTTGAGTTTTCTTTTCTTCTTTGTCTAGCTGAAGGCTTGTCAGTTTTTGTAGTGTTTTCAAAGAACTATCTCTTCATTTTGTTGGTCTCTATATTGCTTGTGTAGTCTCTATTTCTATCCTACCAGCTTCAAGTTCAGCTTGTTCTTATTTTTCTAATTGCTTGAGGCATGATTTTCATTTATTTGAGGTCTTATTTTGGGATGTAAGTACTTATTGCTATACACTTCCCTTTTCCTATGTCCCATAGGTTTGGGTATAACATGTTTCCATTTTCATCTGTCTCAAAGAAGTTTAAAGTTTCCCTTTTAATTTCTTCATTGATCCATTGGTTGCTCAGGACCATGTTGTTTAATTTCCATGTAGTTATAAAATTTCCAAAGTCGATCTAGTTATTTTAGTTTTGTATTATGGTCTGGAAAGACACTTGATATCATACCTGTCTTCTTGAACTTGTTAAGACTTGTTTTGTGACCTCACATGCTCTGCTGTGGATAATGTCCATGTGCGGATGAAAAGACTGTGTATTCTACTGTTGGATGAAATGCCTTGTGAATATCTGTTGGTTTCACTTGGTCTGCCTGTGTTGATTTAATTCTAGTCTGCCTGTGTTGATTTTCTGTCTGGATGATCTGTCTGCTAATGAGAGTGAGGTCTCCTACTACCCTGTATTGCAATTTATTGCTCCATTTCTATCTATTAATATTTGCTTTATATATGCTTTGGTGCTGAGTGCATATATATTTACAGTTGTTACAGTCTCTTGCTTAATTGACCCTTTCATCATTATGTAATGGCATTGTCTCATTTATTAACTCTTGACTTAAAGTCTCTTTCATCTGATAGAAGTATAGCTATTCTGCTTGCTTCTGGCTTCCTTTGCATGGTATGTCTTTCCCATTCCTTCACTCTCTGTCTTTACAGGAAAGTGAGCCTCTGGTAGGCAGCATATAGTGGGGTCTTATGTTTTAAATCTCTTCAGTCACTCTGCATCTTTTGCTTTTATTTTTGCAATGCTTGGGATCAAACCCACAACCCCATGCATGCTAGGTAAGTGCTCTTCCACTGAGTTACACCCCAACCCATCTGTATGCTCTAATTGAGAAATTTAATCCATTTACATTCAGGATTATTATTGTTAGGTAAGGGCTTACTCTTACCTCTCTTGGTCATTTGTAGATCTTTTCTTATTTTGTCCTTTCTTTTTTAGTTCACCTTTGTAGTTTTCTGTATTGCTATGATTTGATCCTTTTTCTTGTTTGTGTATCAATTATAATTGTGTGTGTGTGTGTGTGTGTGTGTGTGGTTACCATGAGGTAAACACAAAGACTTTTACAGTAAGAGTAGACTATATTGATCCCAACTCTGGCCACATATAAATATTCTTCTTTCACCTTGATCCCTCAAAATTTACATTGCTGTTACTTTAATCTACATTTTTATATTTTGTATTCCATAACAACTCATTTTAGGCACATTATCCTTGACCATTTTGACTTTAAACCTTTATACTAGAAGTTTGAAAGATTTGTATACCACCATTACAATAATGGACTATTTTGAATTTGATTATAAGTTTATCTCTATCACTATAGAGATACTTTCATGTTTTCATTATAGTACTTACTGCCCTTCCACTTCTAGCATAAGCCCTCCCTTAAAGCATTTATTATATGATGAGGTAAGGAATGACCTCAGTTTTTCCTTGTCTAGGAATGACCTTATTTTCTTCACCATTTTTGAAGGATAGCGTTGCTGGGTATGATATTCTTGGCTGGCTGTGTTTTTCCTCTCAGCACTTAAACAGGTCATTCATTTTTTTTTCTCTAGACTCCAAAGTTTCTGCTGAAAAATCTGCTGATAGTCTAAGGGGGAATCTCTCATGTGACTGGACACATTTCTTTTGCTGCTTCTAGAATTCTCTCTTTGACTTGTAACCACATGATTACAATGTACCTGGAAAGAAAATTTTGGGGTTGAATCTGTTTGTGGATCTTTGAGCTTCCTGAATCAGGATGTCCATATCTCTTACAAGACTTGGAAAATTTTCAGCTATTATTTCATCAGATAGGTGTTTTGTGCCTTTCTCTGTCTTTCCTCCCACTTTTACTACCCTAATGAGGTAATTTGTTATTTAATGGTGTCCCATAAGTTGAGTATGCTGATTTCTTCTTCTTCTTCTTCTCTTCCTCCTCATCTTCTTCCTTCCCTCTGATTTGATTGTTTCAAAGAACCCATCTTGAAATTTAGGATTTTTCTTCCACTTGATGTAGTCTATTGTATTTTTAATCTCATTCATTTAATTGTTCAGCTTCAATATTTCTGTTTTATTTCTTTTAATATCTATTTTTATATCAGATCATGAACTGTTTTTTCTGATTACATTGAGTTATCTTCCTGTATTATCTTGTAGCTCACTGAGTCTCCTTAGGCTCATTATTTCGTATTCTTTTTCATACATCCATCTTTTCTTTGTGGTCAGTTATGGAAGAATTATTCTGCTCCTTTTGAGGTGTCATGTTTCCTTGCTTTTTCATATTTCTTTTGTCCCTATATTGATTTCTGTGATCAGGTAGAACAGTCACCTTTTTTAATTTTATGGAGTAGAGGAAGACTTTCTCCTGTAGATGAGCCCTAGGGTGTCAACTGGGCAGGTGTCTTGGTTTGGTCCTAGACTGGTGCCATAGTGTGGTCTCCCTGCAGTTTCTTCTTCTATAACCAGTGTTGTGATGCCTGAGTGCTTCTGGTCTCAGTGCAGGAGTTGTGATGGCACAAGTGTGGTGTCACTGAGTGAACAATGCTGGCTCTCTGGCTGAGGAGCCACGTGTGGCAACTCGTCCAGACCAGGCTCAGCCTCCCTGTCATGAAGAGTGCATTGTGGGTCCAAGTGCCAAGGTTACAGCTGCCACACTGCCCCTGGACTTGAGCAGCTGCTGTCCTAGTGCTGCCATCATTTATGTGAGTGTGAGAAATGATGAGGGATGGAGGGATGTGGTGCCTCCTGGCTCCTGGGCCAGGGCACACTGTGGTAGGAGCTCAGGCCGTAGGTGTCAATGGGGGCCCCTTGGTTCTCGGCTGGTAGGAGTCTTGGTTCTGAGCCCACCTGGGAAGTGGGGTGGCTGAGCACGGTGCTCCACTCCACTCTGTATGCTGCTGGCGTTTCTCTGGTTACCAGCTCCTCCCCAACTCCCTCACCATGCTCCACAATGCTCCCTTAGACATTCTAGTCAAAATGTAGCTATTTATTCATTCATTATTTGAGTCCTTTTATGAGTTGGAAGAGGCATCTATTAGGTTGCTCTAAGCAGTCAACTTGCTGATGTCACCCAAAAGTCTGAACTTTTAATCCTGTCTTCACTATGTTCTCACTTCATCCTCCTAATAAACCTATGCAGGGGCACTGAGTCATCTGTACTTCTAAATGAGGAATTGTGACCCAGAGAGGTAACGTGTACGGCTCAAAGCACACAAGTTCCAAGTGGCAGAGCTTGGCCTTCCTCCTCATGGCCACTGTTCAGACTCTCAGCCTAGACTTTTCATGAGACTAGTTTATGTAGTTCAGCTTCTGACTTCTTAGCAGTGTTCCAGGCACCACATACTTTACAGCTCATGTAGTCCAACAACTGGACAAGGCAGTGTGGTGACCAACACCTAAAATAGCTCCCACTGACCACCATGTCCTGGTATCCACATTCTCTATGTAGTTACCTTCCTCAGTGGATGCCCTTGACCCATGAACCAAAATGATACAGAAATGGTGGTGCAAGTTCTTTTCAAGGTGAGTTGGGGACACTGAGGCTTTGTGGCTTCCTCTTTGCTCTCTTGATTTTTTCCCCTGTGCAGGAAGCCAGCCTCCCTGTTGTGAGAGCCCTCAAGTATTCCAGGTAGAGATGTCACGTAGGGAGAAACTGAGGGCCCCTGCCAACAACCAGCACAATGGAAATGCACCAAAGTGGAGGCAGATCTTGCTTCTTGGATCAGCTTCTGGAAACCCACGGCCCTTGCTGTGCTAAATCCAACCTTGGCCGATTCCAGCTAAACCGTTTTTGAGTTTCTGACCCACCCAAACCATATGAGATAGAAACAAATACTGTGGTTGGAGCTGCTATGTTTTGGGGTCAATCTGTTATGTAGCAGTAGGAATCGGATACAGGAAGCTATAGAATTGCCCCCATTTTCAAGCTGAGGGACTTGAGGCTTCGAGTGTGACTGAATCAAGGGCACATGTCACCTGAATGGCACAGACAGACTGAGGGGTTCTGGGCTTGGAGTCGAGCTCGGACTCCTGCATCCCTCCCGGGGCTCTTCCCATGAGCACAGTAGACTCACCTCGCTCACAGTGCTCCCCACTAAAGCCTGGCTGGCACAGGCAGTGGGGCTCCCCTTGGTCTGAGATGTGGCACTGCCCATGGTGGCACTTGAAGGCTGAGCAGGCATTGGCAGAGTCGTTCTTATGGTCACACAAAGCTCCTCCATAGCCCTCGGCACACTTGCACACATATGAGCTTCCGGTGGCCACACATTTTCCATGGTTGCAGCTGGGGGCAGAGAGGAGAAGGAGGTGGGAACCAGAGCAGGTAACTTCCAGAAGCTTCCCTGTCCAACCCAGCCAGGGACCAGGGATCTGGCACTGTGGGATCTTGAGCTGAGTGCAGCCCGGGAGCCGTGGCCCTGTGGTCTGCCTGTTCCAGCCCAGTGGCCGAGCATCTGTCTTTTCGCAAACTCCCTGTCCCAGTGGCCAGCTGCAACTTCCCCCAATGTCCTTTACCAGCTGTGACAATAGGCTCAGTTGCCAACAGTCTCTCTCTCTCTCTCTCACACACACACACATACATACACACACAGTGCTTGGAGGAAAGTTAGCTTTCTGTAAACATTTCCATGGCTCTATCATCTTAAAAGATAACACTATGACTACTACCACTACAGGTTGAGCATATTTAATCCAAAAATCTGAAATCTCACATGCTTCAAAGCCCACATTGAGCACCAACATGATAGCACAAGTGGAAAACTGCACACTTGACTCCGTGGGATGGGTCACAGTTAAAATGCAGGTGCTCTAAAAATATTGCCTGAAACTACCTTAGGGCTATGTGTACACACTATATAGGAAGCAAATGAATTTTTTATTTAGACTCAGGTCCTACCCCCAACATGTCTGCCAGCCCTTGTATACGTGCGTAAATATTCCAAAGTCCGAGAATACCCCAAATCCAAAACACCTTTGGGCCCAGGCTTTTCAACCAAGAGCTATATTAACCTGTACCCTGAGCAGTGCCACTTGCTGTGTGGCAGGCTTGGTGATAAGCTCTTTTGCCACAACCACCACACCTCTGCAGCTGCCAGGAGAGCCTCATCCACGTCTCCTAGGTGGGAAGACTGGTGGTGAGGACTCCATTTTTAACCACAATGCATCATTTTCCCTAATGGGATGACATTCAGAGCCAGGATTCATGCTGATTTCAGATTCAAATGTACACACTCAAGAGTAACACAGGAAGTTCAAACCCTTTACAGCCATCCCTCTTTCTAATCCAAAATGTTGTTTCCAGCTTGTTTAGGCAAACAAATGACCACTCTTGGCTCTGGAGGCATTTTTGGTTGAATCAGATTTCATAACACTGGGAATACCAGGTCTCTTATATTAAGCATAGGCCTGGCACATAGTAGGCCTTCCATAAATGTTTGTTGAATGAGTAATAATGAGAACCCATCAGGCGTGCTCTGTGTGTGGTCATGCAGACCTGGGGCCTTACCCAGGGCACTGGCTGAGGGGCAGCCACCTGGGGCTGAATTCACCCTTGTTCTACTCACCCTTCAATGGCTCAAGGGCTGTATGCACCCAAAGGGGTGCCTTTTTCTAATCACAAGAGGCAACACGGGAGCTGGTGGTATCTCCAGACAGAGTCACAGGCGGCTTGGCAGCCTGTTTTGAGCGAGGCTCTGTGCTGATGTCTCTGAGTGAGGCCTGCAGCCTGGATGCGCAAGCTCAGCCTCTTGACTGAGCAGTCATGGCGCCATCCACCACGTGACCACATTCCTCCATCAGTGCCCCCTCCTCAGGTGGGGACAGGGCCAGCGGGTATGCTGGGAGCCTGGGACTGTCAGGACACTGACCTGTGACCGAGGCAGGGGTCCTGGGCTTCCTGGTCGCACAGCGGGCCGGTCCAGCCTGGGTGGCACTCACACACCACACTGTCCTTCTCCACGGAGCGGCACAGGCCATGCCGGCACACGGTGCAGGACTTGCAGCCTGGTGAGACTCCTGGGGACTGGGGCGGGAGGGCCTTGAAGTCCTGCAGCTCATTGTTGATACGCACCTCATGAATGCAGCCATGGAAGCCACCCAGCGGTCGGTCCGCGCCCTGGCGCAAGGCCGAGAGGCCGGTGGAGGTGGGGATGCCTGTGGGGGGGGGGGCGGAGAGGGACAGCCTGAGCCCCTCCTCCCACCCGCCCAGTCCTGAATGAGAAGGTGCCCTTCACACGTTCTTAGTTAAGGGCCTCTGCTATTCAGATTGAAATGATGGCCTACACCTGGGCCATATCCTGGGAAAGAACTGCACTCTTGGTCCTGCACTGGGGGCAAAACTTGAATTCAGTTAGGCACAGTGGTGCAGGCCTGTAAATCCCAGTGGCTTGGGAGGCTGAGGCAGGAGGATGGCAAGTTCAAAGCCAGCCTCAGTAACTCAGTGAGGCCCTAAGCAACTTAGAGAGGAACTGTCTCACAACAAAAAACAAAAAGGACCAGGGATGTGGCCCAGTGGCTAAGTGCCCCTGTGTTCATTTCCCAATACCCCCCCACCAACTCCCCTCCCAGAAAAAAAAAAAAAAAACAGCACTTGAATTTATTGTCAATGCTTAAATATAGAAGATACCCCACAAAAATCCTGTATTTTGATCTTCCTTAGAAAAAATGAGGGGGCAGTGATTAGCACTGCCACGTGGACTACTGGCTCAATTAAAGGGACCACCAGCTTAGGCAAGGGATGGGTGGTCCCAGGTCACCCTGAGAGCCTCCAGACCCTGCAGGAGAACCCATGGCAGCCCAGCCAGAGTGCGGGAAGGAAGATGCGGAGGAGCAACCTGCCCAGTGGAACTCTGGGTTCAAGGTCCTCTGGCCTTTACTACCCTCTGTGCTTTGTCCCCCTTGTCCAGGTCTAAAAGGCACAGCGGGGGGGGGGGAAGGCCGGGTTTGCTTCCCACCATTCCCACCAGATCTGCTTTGGTCTTCTTTCCTGCTCCACTTCCCGCCACCCCCTGCTGGGGGCCTGTGGCCAGGCCCGAGGCTGGAAGTGTTGTTTTGGCCATGAGTAGAGCAGGTGGGGGGGGGCAGGAGAGGGAGGGGAGCAGGTGGGGGGGGGGGAGGGGGGGGGGGGGAGCAGGTGAGGGGGGAGAGCAGCTGTCTTCCTCTGGGGGGAAGCTGTGTCCTGTGTACCTTCTGGGATGGCTCTGGGTCAGGTGTACTCTTCTGGTCCCCTGCACCTGGATAGCCTGTTCCCAGGGCACACTGTGGGCCTGGGCCAGCCCCCTGAGGTGACTTGGGTGGAGTCTCAGGGATCCCTGTGTTGACCAAGCTGCTCTAGCGGCTTTTTATAATGCCCAGGTCGTCACCTGACTGGCTTTGTATGGGTGCTGAGATGGGAGCAGGGAAGCCCTGCGGTAGGTCTGGGTCTAGCGCTGGAGCAGAGGGCTGGAGACGGTGGGGAGGGAGCATTCATTACCTCCAAGGTAGAGGGGGCTGTTGATGCCCACGGCAGGCTGCTTCTGGAGCTTGCCCAGGCTCTTGGGGGCTCCTTTGTCCACCACCAGGTTCAAGGTCTGGTTCAGCATCACCAGCTCCACACTGTGAAACTGCCCATCATTCACTGTCTCCACACTGGGCAGGGAGAGAGGGAAAGAGACATAGGTTCGGTGAGGGCCTTCCACAGCCAGTACTGGGCTGCAAACTTGGCCTGCATGACTTGCATCTTGTTTTACTTTCTATTTGGAAATAGCTTCAAGATTACATACGCCCCAAAGTAAAAACAGTGCAGAAAATACTTACTACCCAGGTTCTCCTATTATCCCCATTTATCTCTCTTTACACACATACACACAGTTTTTCTGAATCATTTAAAGATACATACACCACAGGCCTTTACCCCCAGATCCAGTCTGTGCTCCCTAAGGACAGGAATGTTTTCTTATGTAAGCACGGCATAGTCATCAACTTGGGAACCACTTAACATTCATACTGTACCTCAGAGCATCTAATTTTCCAAAGGATCCAACAGGGCCCTTGTGGCATTTCCCCTTCTAGTACGAGATCCTGTCCAGGGGCAGTTATTCCACCTGGCAATCTTTGTTTGTGTTTTTTCTGTCATTCACAGAGCTGGCACCTCCTTCCTCAGGCCATCTGCATACCACCCGGGCATTGTTTACTTGACAAATTTTACCTTTGATGGCCCCGTTTCCCCCTCAAATACCAGTAAGCCTATAAGGTTAGCCCTGTTCTAAGAAATATTGTTCAAGAAAAAAGTTTGGCTGTGATTTAAATTTTTTTTTTTCCAAGTATCCAAAACACATTCTCTTACAGCCAGAGTTTCAGCAGTGTGTCTTCATTTCACCTAAATTCATCTCATGGGCTTCCAGGGGTGTGCATCACACATTTGGGGAAGTTAAGTGTCTCAACGCCCCTGCCAACTAAGAGTTTTGTCCCAAGTACAGAGATGAGAAGATGGAAGCTCACGGAAATTAGTTTCCTGAAGGCCTTACTAAGTGGTTCAGCAGGGACTTGAATGAAGGTACCCTCCGCCCCCCCTTCTGGCCTCTGCTGGTGCCAGCAAGCACTCACAGAGGGCTGACGGGCATGGCCAGGCATGGTGCTAAGTGGCTCACTCCCATTATGTGACTGTTGAGATAATTCTATGAAGTGGATACTAGATATCCTATTTCACAGAAAAGACACTGAGGCCCAGAGGGGCTAGGTGATCTGTCAGAGGTCACCCAGCTAATACATGTCAGAAACAGTATTCATAGGGAGAACTTTTAACTCCAGAGTTCTGCTGAGGGTTCTGCTGGGAGTTCCCGGGGCTGGGAAGGAGTATCGAAGGTAGATGGCAAGACTCTGGAGATGTGCCACCTCCTTCTTCCCTGAACAAAAGGGCTCACTGGGTGGACCGATCTTGCTCATTCAGGTGTGGTGGTCTGTGCACACTCCCTCTCTCCTTGCAATCTCCCAGGGGAATCCTGCAGCCTTCAACAAGAGGGTTCGAGGGAGGGGTGGCACTGATTTCTCAGGTGGGCAGTTTCAGTGAGTGACCCAGATTTAGAAATTTCAGCTGGAGAGAGAGTGTGTGGGATGTACCCAGGGAAGACAGGCGAGGCTGGGCTGGAGTGGGGGAAGCAGAGCCCATTTCGTCCCTGCTGCTGGGTGGCACCACGGCCAGTCAAGCAGTCGTGGAGACAGACCCCCCTGATTCCCTCAGACGCAGGTGGGGGGAAAAAAACCTCTCAAAATTATTGTGATGATCGAATCTGAGGGGGATGTGGACATGCTCTGCAGACTGTAAATTACTGGGACCATGTGAGCGGTTATCAGTGTATTTAGAATACTTATACCAAGAACCTATCATCGCCTGCAAACATAGGGCTCCTACTTCAGTGCTGATTCTTGGAAGAAAGAGGTGGCGGAGGAGACATGCAGGACCCCAGGACCCACCCACGCAGTGGGCGATCTCTTCTCGCATCTGTTCATCTTCCCACCATTTATCTGCCAATGCTCCCTCCTCTCCACCCATCCACCGCCTCCCCTCCCTCCCATCTCTCCCCCTTCTGCTTGATCATGCATCCATGATCCATCTGCCATCTGCCCTCCACTTGAGGGTGCATGCAGGCCACACTGTCCTAGGTGCAGGATGGACAGGGCACCTGCCCTCACAGAGCTCACACTCCCCCTGCCTCAGTCTTTCCTCTAAATCACATAGCCAGCTTATCTATACACATCCATGACACAGGGGAGTGGTGGGAAGAGTGGGACTGAGAGAGACCAGCAGGAATCTGGTTCTGATAAGGAGCTGGGCAGCTGCCTGGAAATGAAGTTGCCTGATTCTAGAAGCTTCTCCGGCTGCTCCAAGCCGTGAGCCCAGGACAAGGCTGAGCCCGGGATCCTTCAGAGAGTTGGTGAGTGTGTACAGGGGGCGGCTGGTGTGCAGGGACCACAGACCCTCACACTCTGCAACCACATGTGCAAGCAGACACACCCTGGACCATCTCTCAGTGACATTGTCCTGAATGCACGCTGGCTCCTGTGTGAGTCTTCAGTCACTGTGACAAACACCTGAGACAATCCATTAAGGGAAGGAGAGATGGACTTTGGCTCATATTTTCAGAGGTTTCAGTCCTCGGCTAGTGGCCCTGCTGCTTTAGGCCTCTGGTGCACGGGACATCATGGCGGGAGAGTGTGGCAGAGGGGGCCTGCTCACCTCACTGTGGTCAGGAAGCAGAGAAGAGGAAGGGGCACGCCCGCATGACCTAACTTCCTCCCTCTAGGCCCCCTCCCAAAGGTTCCACACCCTCCCATTAGTGCCACAGACAGGGACCAAGTCATTAACACATGGACCTTTGAAGGACATTCAAGACTGAAGCTATGGCGGCTCCTATCCTGGAGGTGTCTGAATGGACGCCAGCAGCAGCCTGCCCTGGGGGCTCTGGGTAGGCAGGCGGTCTTGGTGTTTCCTTGGTGTCGAGGTCCAGGGCGCAGGGCAGCTCTTTCCTATTCTGGACACACACAGCCACGCTGAGCACACACCACTGGCTCCTTCCTGGCTGCTGGCTCCAAGCCTTCTCTCTTCTCTGCTTTCTGAGGTCTCAGCCCAGGGCCTGTGCGTGGCCTCGAAGGCAACCATCCTGGAGACAGTGGTTTGGCAGTTGCTGCAGCAGCAGAGAGCTGTGGCTGCCAGCTCCTGTCCCAGACAAAGAGCTGGGCTCTCGAGGGCCCAAGAGCCTGGCTCTTGCAGACAGGCCCCTTCTCCTTCCAGTTCATGCTCAGGGGTGAGGATCTATCACCCTGGCTCCTCCCACTTCTGTGAGCCCATTTTCTGTTTGAATACAATGAGTTTTGTACTCATTTTACACTGGGCCTTAGTGGGCAGTGCATGATCCTTAGAAGCTCTCAGGAACGGTGACTTCCTCCTCCATGATGTGGGCGTGGAGGAGCCAAGTCTGGGTGTGGCAGAGACTGGGAGCGCAGGTTGGTGGACTGTAACAGAGCCTGTCTGCTGGGTTCTCAACTGCACGGCCATGGGGGATTTCAGAGTCTATCATTTCAATGGTTTATCACCACCTCTGAGGAGGGTACTCTTGTGGGCCCCCTATTATATAGAGATGGAACCTAAAGACCTTGACCAAGACCACAATGCTTGAAAGTGGTGGAACCGAGGACTGATTCCAACCCAAAGCTCTCATGACCACATCCACGTCAACAAATGCTCGTGGGTTGACAGGTCACCTTCTTCCAGGCACATCTGAACCAGGGGCGCCTATCATGCCCAAAGCCAGTGCTTTTCAAGCTGTGGGTTCCAGAGGCCTGGAGTGCACTGTGCTGGAAGTTCTGATTCTTTACCATCTCTTCCAAATCAGGTTGGTTTCATTTCTGCCTTTAAAAAAAATACATGATTCTTGGCCTTAAAGATAAAATATAAATGGGAAGAAGGCTTTGCTGCTTTCAAAGAAGAGAAAAAAATTGAAGAGACACAACAAAAACCTAGTGTTTGGTTTAAAAGAAATGGCCACACTGTGTTCCAAGCCCTGGTCATCGGTCCCCTAGAGACATATGTAGGGATGTCAGGAGAAGACAGGGCCCTGAGAGTCTTCCTCATCATCCACTGAGTCAGACAGAACTGTCATCAAGTGCAGGACGGAGAGGACTGCAGGTGGCAGAGCTGGCTGGAAGGCTCCTGCAGGGGCTGGGGCGAGCACGCCCATAGGCCAGAGTGGCCTGTGGGGTCCTCTTCTGCCTTAACCACAATGGTGGGTGGGCACGTGTTGGGGGCTTGGTGGGGCCAGGGTGGTGAGGTCAGGGGTGGTGGGGCCAGGAGCTGAGTTGCTATGCAAAGCACAGGACTAGCCTTCTCTCCCTGAGCACTCTCAACCCCAAGGTGGGGCTGCACTTTTTTCTCCATTTGGAAACGGGAGATGCCAGGCCCAGAGACTAAGATGCTCCATATTACAGTGGAAACAGCAGAGGCAGGACTTAAATCCATGTTACACTGGGCCTTAGTGGGCAGTGGGCCAGGAAGGGACCTGAGGCCACTGTGCCAGGAAGGGGATTATGAGGGTGGTCAATCCTCCAGGTGCTGGAGGCCCTTACCTGTATGCTGAGTGTGACCAGTAGGTGGCGACAGAGCACCGCAGGAACAGAGTCCCTGGGCTTTAGTTAGGCAGCAGCCTGAGACTTAGGCCCCACTGCAGCCAGCCCCACTGCTGTACCCTAGGGACAGGTCATGCTTTCTTCTGGTTCTGGGTCCAGTGCGGAGGGAGAGCAGGCTTGGGTGGACACCTATCCTGGGTTTGACCCCAACTCTGCCACTTACTGGCCTCCTCTGAGTAGTAGGCTTCTCATCCCCCTGAAGAGGAGTGATGGTTTGCCCGGGGCCTGTGCTGAGGACCACGAAGGCCTCGAGAGTAAATGGAATGGTGGTAATTACGGCTCTAGGAGCACGTGCCACACCAGGCAGAGCTTGCTTGCATATACTGTTTTAAAGAGTCGAACATTTAAAAACTGGGATATTTACACAAACCTCAAATTTCCAGCCCCTCCTGATGCTCAGAACCCTTCGAGGTCATCTGCCCTCGCATGAGGCTGCCCCCTTCAGGCTGCCGCAGTCTCCACTGCTCCTTAGTGCACTCCCATATACAGTCCCACGTCTGCTCCTTGCTGGGCCCCTGGCCTCGCAGACGGGTGAGCTTGCCTCTGACAAGTCTGGCTCTGAGCATCAGAGAAGTCTGTCCCCTTCTGGGGCAGGCAGGGGCTCAGGTGGGCTTTCTTGCGTCTTCGTCCTGGGGCCTGGAATGCGTCTTGTGCCTTCACCACCTCCCATGACCACAGTTGGGCAGACGAACAAAGCAGGCACCGGCAGGAAGCCAGCTGCTGCAGCTCTGTAAATCCGCTGGCTGCTCACCCTTGCCCTGGCCTGGCTCATGGGCGTCTCTGGCCGTAGGAGTCTGCAGCTGCCAACTCCACGGGTGAGCCCTGGCATGGCTCCCTGGCTCACAGCCCAAGGCTGAGGTGGCAGGCTGGTGCCAAGAGGTCACTGTAGTCACTCTGAGGAGATCCGGTTCTATTGGCTGGAATGGCCTTGTGAGCTCCTCTGCAGCTGTCACCTCAGCCTGTAGCCCTTCATCTTCTGATGGTGACCCCTCCCAGGGCTTCTCCTGTTCTGTGGAGATGCTCCTCAGTGTGGAGAAGCCTGTGGAACACTGCCTCCTCCCCAGGAACCCTTCCCCGTCCCAGCAAAGTGTCTGCTCCTTCTTCAGAAGTGTCCCCACCGCATGCTGCGGTGTCTCCATGGACACCTGTTTGCTTCTCCCCAGGTAACTTGCTGCTTCTTTAACCCATTAAGTCCCATTTCTGGAACACCTGAACAATTTACACTGAGCAACAAACACACACCTTTTGGTAACTTTGAAACACATATTTGTGTTTGTAGAGTTCTAATATTTTAAGAAAAGTAATAGGTAAATGATTTGTGATAATATTCATTAAAATTATTGCTATCACTAATATTATTAATGATATTATATTAATAAGCTCTAGATTATTATTATTTCCAACATATTTTAATGCACCTTTGTTGATTTCATTGAAATATTCACAGATTAAAAAACCTGGGGGTGTAATGTGCTGAGTTGTGTCTTCCTCTCGGGCCTGTGTGTGCCTGATCCCATGGCTCCTACTCTGGGCCCGCGTCTGGCCCAAACGAGGTGTTTGGTTGTGTTTTCTGAGTCAATGGAGAGTGGAAGAGAATACTATAGGTTGAACTTCCCTAATCAAAAAAATCCAGAACTAAAAATACTTCAAAACCTGAAAATTTGTGAGCACTCACTGATGCCACAAATGGCAAATTCCATACCTGATCTCATGTGATGCATCACAGTCAAAATACAGGAGCAATAAAAAGATAATACAAAATTACCTTTGGTTAGCAAGGCCCTAAATCACTTAGTGAGACCCTGTCTCAAAATAAAAAATAAAAAGGGTTGGGATATGGCTTAGTGGTTAAGCACCCTGGGATTCAACTCCCAGTACCAAAAACAAAACAAACAACAACAACAACAAATTACCTTTGGGCTAAGAAAGGTGTATATGAAATAGAAGTGCGTTTTGGATTTAGACTTGAGACCCATGCCCAAGATAGCTCATTATGTATAAGCCAATATTTCACAACCTGAAAACTGTCTGAAATCCAACACATTTCTGGATCCAACCATTTTGGAGAAGGGATACTTAATCTGGAGAAAAGGATTTGGAAGCAAAAATACTTCAATGTGGGATTTCTGGAGCCTGGGGCTCCTTAAACCTAGAGCTGAAGGGCAGTGAAGATTGTCCCCCAGCTGGCATGGGGCTCCAGGCCGGGGTTTCCTGGATGCACATCAGTGGGATCTTCCCATGGAGAAGCCTGGCATGCCCCTGTGCCACATCTCAGACAGGAGCACTCTCTCAGCATGCTGCCAGTGCCTCCTGTGAGCCCGCCCCTGACTAAGCCACAGCACCACCAGCCAAGGTCAGCTGGGGAGGGGGGCTCCACTCAGGAGGCCCAGGCTGTGCACGGGGCCTAGCTGCACTGGAAGCTGGCCCCGCCTCCTCAACAGGTCTGTGTCCAGCTCAGCGGGCCAAGCACCGTCCCAACCCTCAGCAGTGCCTAGGAGGGCCTCCATGGCGCACAGTGGGGGAGCTGGGGCAGGAGGCAGGTCACTTGCCCACACCCAGGTCTGTGTAGCACCAGAGGCTTTTTGCCAGGCAAGAGGTTGTTGGGTTGCTGGTGGCCCTGCCCGCCTGGCTTTCTGTCCTCCCGCTTGGAGCAGGGCCACTGGTTCCAGGAAGAGACGTCAGGAGGCCCCGTCTCCAGAGAGCTCTGAGGCCACCGGGCGAGTTGCTTCTCCATGTCCACTGACCCGGTCCTCCCCACCCGGGATGCTTCTGGTGCTTCCCGCCCTCCAGGCTAGTCTTTCCGTCTGGCTGATTCCCCTGTCCTGCCTCTTGTCTTTGCTGCTGTCTCAGCCTGGCGTGCCACCTCTTCTCTGCTCCTCCCAGCCTGGCGTGCCACCTCTTCTCTGCTCACACTAGTTCCTCGCCTTCATCAAGATGCAGCTCAAGCCGGGTGCCATGACGCACGCCTGTAATCCCAGCGGCTCAGGAGGCTGAGGCAGGAGGATTGCCAGTTCAAAGCCAGCCTCAGCAAAAAGTGAGGCACTAAGCAACTCAGTGAGACCCTGTCTCTAAATAAAACACAAAATAGGGCTGGGGATGTGGCTCAGTGGTCGAGGGCTCCTGAGTTCCTTCCCCATACCAAAAAAAAAAAAAAAAAAAGAAAGAAAAAGATGCAACTCAACTCAACTGGCTACTTCTCCAGTGAGTTCCCACGTGTGAGCTGGTGGTCCTCAGACCTACGCATCGGAATCACTTGGAAGGGTCCTTAAAACACAGATCTGTTTGGGACAAGCCCCACCCTCACATGGGCCCAGGTGTTGGATTCAGAAGTGCTGGGGCAGATTCTGCATTTCTACTACCTTCCAGGCACCAGCTGCTGCCTCGGGGCCACACTCAGAACCACTGTTTTTTTTTTTTTTTTCCCATTACTGTTTTTGGTGTTGGGGATGCCCCCCAGGGTCCTGGGCCTGTTAGGCAAACACCCTGCCACCAAGCCATATTCCCAGCCAGACCACGGGTTGTAACCAGTGGTTTTCACACTGGGTTTATTGGAGGAGAATCAGGGGCCTGGATGGTTAGGGTGGGAATGTGGCTCCATCCCCGGCCCCCAGGGCACTTTGGCCTCTATGCATTTAATACTCTTGAGTTTAATATCAAGTTTCAACTGAAGAAAAGATTTAGTTGGGGGGAAGAGGAAGTCCAACTATTTCTTCTTTTCACCAACCCCAATGGAATACGCTCCTGTTTCCATGGTGAAGAGCATGGCTCTACTTTGTTCTGGGATTTCCCCAAGTTCTGCTCCTGGTCCACTAGTGGGTTTTTTTAAAAATATTTTTTTAGATGTGTAGACCTTTATTTTATTCATTAACTTATACATGGTGCTGAGAATTGAACCCAGTGCCTCACATATGCTAGGCAAGCGCTCTACCACTGAGCCACAGCCTCAGCCCCCACTAGTGTTTTTCACAATTTGGGGGTAACAAAGACATCTAAAAATTCTAGTGGTTACTTTTAAGAATTATTATAAAGATATTTTTAACTAAAATTATTTTATATTTTAGCTCTTTAGTACTGGTTTCAGATTTAGTAGTTCTTTTAAATTTGGGGATTTTTGCACAGACTTTACCTGTTGAACATCACTTATCCAAAATGCTCTGAAAATTTTTCGAGTGTTATGTTGGCGCTCAGGAAATTTCAGATTTTGGAGAATTTCAGATTTTCCCATCACTGGGGGAGGGTGTGCCCTTGAAGGGATATTGGGACACCAGCCCCTTCCTCTCATTCTCCCTCTACTTCCCCACCACCAAGAGGCCAGCTGCTTGCTTCACATGCTCCCTGTGATGGTGTGCTGCCAATGCACAGGCCCAAAGTGACGTGGCCAAGCAACCATGTACTGAAACCTCTACAACTGTCAGCCAAAATAAACCTTTCCTTTTTATAAGTTGATTTCCTCAGGCATTTTGTTACAGTAGTGGGAAGCTGACTAGCACACAGGGTGACTGTGTTCTGAAGTTGTCCTTCAGGGCAATTTGAAAGTCACTGAAGCAGTGGCCCTATTTCCCAATGCTCTTGAATGTCTTTCCCTTGTATTGCATGCTAATTGCCCCGTTTTCTTTCTTAAACTAATAAAAGATTAGAATGACATTTTGAAAAGGGCGTCTCATTAAGCAGCCTCATTCCCATTGGAGCACCTGGCTCCATGCACAGTAGCCAGCTGGCCATTTATCTTATGGTAATGAGGTGTCATCTTCCCGCTGGACCCTGCCTTCCTGGCCTGCCTCTGCCTCCAGTGCTGCCCTTCTCCCTCCCACCTGCCACTCTGTGCAGGAAGTGTGTGTGTGTGTGTGTGTGTGTGTGTGTGTGTGTGTGTACGCGCGCATGCGTGGTGGGGTATCAGCTTCACCCTGGCTGCTCTGGTGTGGAGGTGAGTAGTGGCTGGGGGCGTGGTCCTCACCTGTACACCGTGGTTGGAGGGGAGCTCAGGCTGTCATAGACCAGCCTCACGTGGCCCTGGTACAGCTCCAGCGCCAGGGGATCATTGTCTCCCTTGTAGAGAAGGATGCCATTGTCCTTGTCAGTGGCCACCTGGAGAGAGGGCCGGGCACGTGGGTTAGGGCTTACCTGAGGTCAACCTCTCCCACCCCTCTCCCAGCACCCTCTTCCAGATGGCTGCTTCTGGGGGTACTTTAAGATACACCAGCTTCTGGCTTCACCCAGAGTGAGCTCACATGAATCTCTCGGGCAGGTAGGTTGAAACTTCTCCAGGGGATTGTGAAATATTGCCAAGGCCGAGAGCCAGGGGGCGCTCCTGTGCCCGCCACCTGCACTCATGGCCGGCACCTGTGTAGCTGTGAATGGGATGTGAAGCAGGGAAGTTTGACAGGACCCTGGAGATCTGGGGTTGGGACCCAGAAGCTAGGTCTCTGGGTGGAGCTGGGGGTCCAGGGACAATGGCAGGTAGAGCTTCCTTCCTATTTGTGCCAGGCCAAGCCTCAGCTGAGGGGCCTGCCCACAGGCTGCAAGCTCCGCCAGGTGAGGAGTTTGAACATTGTGTCGACGCGACCCCAGCACCTGGAAGAGTCCCTGGGATGTCTGGGTGCTCTCTAGATCTTTGTTGAGCAGTATTCCCCCATAAACTCCAACTTTAACCTGGGCTAATTGGCCATAGCCAGAAAGAGAACCCCAGTGAGTGCCCAGCAGCACCCAAACCCAGGGGCAGGGGCCACTACCTGGTCAGCACCATCCTGGTACGTCTTTGGGTCTCCTCTTCCATGAGGAGCCTGCAGGTGGGGCCTGTTCTTTGCCCATCCTCCGCCTTCCCTGCCCACATCCACCTCCAGAACAGCATTTAGCTTAACCAGAAATACAGTCGGGAATACACGGGCTCAGGTCCAAAGCAAGGAACCTGAATGAAGCTACTGGGAAAAGAACTTGTTCACCCTGAACGGGTTTCCACTGTGTTTGTCCTCTGGGCCTCTGAACTTGCTGAGAAATCTGCTGGTCCTCTCCAGTCTGCGTTCACCCTGTACCCTTGGCTTCCACTCTTCTACTTTCATCAGAAAACTCCTACTCATCCTTCACCTCTCAGCCTGGGCATCACCGCCTCTGAGAAGCCTTCCCTGCTTCTCCCTGCAGAATGGGCTTGCTGTCCCTCCAGCACATTCCCGCAGTGACCCTTGTGCCGCTGTCTCTCTCCTTGTCCTCCTGGATGGACAAGGTGCTTTTTCTGTTTTGTCTACTATCGAAGCCCCGCTTCTCAGCAGTATCTGTATATAATAGTTGAACAAATATTTTCTAGAGGAATGAGGGAATAAGACTAGAAACGGGAACTGCCATTTGCAGTGAGGGCTGGTCAGGAGGCATCTAGAAATCTATCTAGATAGAGCGAGTCCTACTTCCCCAAAGCTGAATGTTGTCCTGGATAATTTTTTTGGGGAAGGAGCAGAACTGCTAAGACATGAGGCATCCTGGTGGTTCTCTGGTACAGCTCCAGCACCAGGGGATCATTGTCTCCCTTGTAGAGAAGGATGCCATTGTCAATTCAGGGACTGGGGGCAAACTGGGTCCTTCCAAGGGCAGAACGGGGCAAGGCGCACCTGCAGAGAGATGTTGGCCTGGGGCCGGACCTTGGCGGAGGCCAGTTCCACGTAGGAGTCCTTGCCCACGAAGTTCACAGTGATGAGTTTCTCGCATCTGGGGCCAGCAAAGCCTGGGGGACAGCGGCAGGTGGGCTCCTGCTGCACCACAATGCACTGAGCCCCGTTCTGGCACTCGTACTGGTCACAGGGGCTGGTCTGCAGCAGAACCATGGGCGGGGGGTGCTCGCAGAAGAGTCCACTGGTAGGAGGGGAGGGAAGCATGGGGGGAGCACAGGGCAGAGGGGGGAGAAGAGACAATCAGTTACCAACAAGGAGCCTCTGGCAGAGAGCCCGTGAGATGGGGGGAGACAGTTCCAGGGTCTAGTTCCAGCCCTGCCACTACCTGGGGCAAGTCCTTTTTTTTTTTTTTCTTTAAGTCCAAGTTTTCCCATTTTTAAAGTAACTGAGTCAGACAGGTCCCCAAATGTCAGTGTCATCAGAATGCGTGGGGTGAATTGTCAATTGTTAATTGTTCCTGTTCATGGATGGTGAAGGGATAAACAAATGCATGTCGCCCAGTGAGATGCTGCTGGCCCTTACGGGGAAAGGGAGTCCTGACACACATGCTACAGCAGGTGGGCCTGGGAACATGATGCTGAGCGAAATAAGCCAGACACGAAGGGTAACAGGTTCTAATCACGTGGGCTCCCTGGAGTGAACAGGGAGGAATGCAGGGCTGTTGTTTAATGAAACAGTTTTGCAAGAGGCAAAAGTTCTCGAGATGGATGTTGGTGATGGCCACACCACAAGGTGAATATGCTTAATGCCACTGAGCTCTATCCTTAAAAATATGTAAGGTGGTAAATTTTGTTATGTATATTTTATCATGCTTTTTTTTTTAAAAAAAGTACAGACTTTCTAGCCCCCTTTTTTTCTATTTTAATTTTTCTAAATTTTAATTCAGTAGCTCTGGCGTGGGGCACAGGAATCAATATTTTCACGAGCCTCGGGTGCGGAGGAGGGTCTCAGTCCAGCTTTTAGAAACTCTGGCCTTGAGAACTCTGTGGCTCCTTCTAGGCTCAGGACCTTGGAGTCTATATGCAAAGCTTATTTGCACATTTTAGGTTTATGCCATCTGGTGAGCACTGGTAGGCATGGCACTGGTGTCCAGTCTGACCCCCACTGACCCTTTCCCCCCGGCCCTGCTAGTCAGTGTAGGAGCTGGACCGGGAACCCAGGCTTCTCCTTCCACAACCCCCTCAGACATCTAGCCGCCGGCCCAGGCCTCCCCTTTTTTCTGGCTTCATTGATTCCAGAGACTGTCCCAAGCCCCCCACTCACCTCCCCTTTTCTGCCATTGGGACACCACAATGTTTGTGTTCTCCAGCCTACAAGACAGACCCAGCCACGTGGGCAGGTGGCTCCACCACCCTGCAATCTGGGCTCCAAGATGGTGGCATCCTCCCTTAGACGGCATCCCATGCAAGCCTGACACGTGGGCTGGGACCTAAGTCCACTGTATAAGAGTCCCTTTGGGTAGCTGTAGGGTGCCTGGGCCTAGACTGTCGCCATCCCGAGGAGACTCTCTGCCATACCTGAAGCCCTGGGGGCAGATGCACGTGTAGCCATTGACTGCGTCCACACACTGGGCTCCGTGGCGACACTTATGAGCCGCGCAGTCGTCATTGTCTGTCTCACAGAGCTTCCCGCTGTAGCCAGGGACGCATTCACACCTGGAACACAGTCAGTGTGAAGCTACTCTTAGGCCTGGGCAGCTTCCTGGCCTGGCTCCTGCCCCCCTCCAGGTGGCCTCCCTCCCCCTGTCCACTCAAGTTCCTTAAGGTTCTGCCTGGCCTGGCTTCACTCGGGTACCACTCGTGGTCACAGCCTCCGATCCGCGCCGTTGAGGCCTGTCTGCTTCATGCAGTGGGGAGTGTTTCCAGGAGCCAGGCCGAGGGCCATGGGGTGGAACCACACAGCTTTTGGCGTGGTTCTGCCACCTTCTCCCTAGAACTGACCTTCAGGACTGTGTCAGGCACTGTGCTAAGCACATGCCAGAGTGTCACACTGAGTCCTCCCAGGACCCTGAAAAGGAGGGTCTATCATCAGGAAGAAGACAGAGCTCAGAGAGCTGAAGTCACTCCTGTGCCCTGCGTGGAGTGACAGTTTACACTATGTGTCAGACGCGGTTCTAAGTGCATTGACCATTCATGACCTGTGTTTTGGTTTCTTCATCTTTAAATACAGTTGATGATAAATAATAAATGAAATGCCTTGTGGGGGGAGGGCTCAGCATACTGTGGTCCACACCTCTGCTACCATGGGAAACCTGGCCCTGGAAAGATTGTGTCTTTGAATTCTCCTGAATTCAAAAGAGACCTGGAGAGTAGCTCAAGCCCTCTGACCCTGCCCAGAGCCATAACAACTGCCCAACACTTCACAGGATCAAATCCAGCCTTTTAAGTATGGAGTTCAGGGCTATTGATAAGGTCTTTATCAGCAATTAGGGAAGTTATTCACACTTCCAAACTCAGCAGTGAGGTTTGGAGGCCAATGTGTTTACATTCTTCTTTTTTTTTATTTTATATATTCTATAGTCCTTTATTTTATATATTTTATAGTCCTATAAACCTATTAATTTATTTTTTGGAACTTAGGACTGAATCCAGGGGTGCTCTACTACTGGGCTATACTTCCAGCACTTTAAAAATTTTTTTGAGACAGGATCTCATTAAGTTGACTGGCTGGCCTCAAATTTGTCATCCTCCTGCCTTAGCCACCTGAGTTGCTGAGATTACAGGTGACCCTATGCCTGGCCACATCTCGAATTTTATCAAGCCTATAAAACAATCAGGGATCTTGCTAAAGTGTAGCTTCTGATTCAGGGAGTCTGAGCAGGGCCGGGGAATCAGCATTCCCAGCAAGCTTCCATGTGTGGTTGCTGCTGCTGGTTGGGGGACTTCATTCCCTGCAGCCAGGATCTAGACAACACTACTTCATCCAGAGAAGAGGCTGGTGACACCCTGCATTTCCTATTGCTTCCAAATGGCAAGAGCCTGTATCTTTCTTCAAGTTAAAGTGAAAGGTTAATGTAATTTTAGTATCTGTTGGATCCATTCATTGTGGACCAGGGGGAGAAAACAGTGACACTCTTGTTTGCAGGACATCTGGAGTCTAGATTTAACTGAGAAACTGGCCAGGCCTGGGGGGGCTGAGTCCACACCTTTCTAGGCCTGTCTCCAGGAGATGTGCTTTACCCCGCTGTGCCTCGTGGACTGTGGGCAGTAGTTGTGCATTCTGAGATTGTTGGGTGTTCCATGAGAATGCTCCCTGCCTGGCTCAGAGCAAGTTCTCGGTGTGTGCCAATCACTGTGATCTTTGTGTTTATGATTATTTTCAGTGTTTATGGGCAGGTCCTATCTGCCCTCTGCTGAGACCTCATTAGAAGAGCATACAAGGAGATCTCCAAGGATATGTATCTTCCCACTTAGGCAAAGGCCGCACTGACTGCATTTTTCTTGCTAACACCCTTCTAGGCTGCCATGGGATATGAGCTGCTTGCTGATGGCAGGGAGGGGGATAAGATGATACAATGTTGCACTGGAGAAAGGATTATTGATTTAAATGCATTTGAATAAAAAGCTAACATTATTGAGCTGCTCAGTAGACCTTTTCAAGATAGTGTCTCTAAGGAGACATTGCAGATAAATAAAATATCCGAGACTGTGAAAGCCTGACTGGCCTCTTTCTCTTCTCCATTGTCCTAGAACTCAAGGGGTCTTGGTTACAATACAGAGTGAGATTTCAAGGAACAAGTCCAGAGGCTCATGAGAACCCCTAACTCCGTAGCATTCCTAAGAGACGGGGTAGCGCAGCACTGAGTTCCAGAGGCAGGTCCCTCATCCTAAGGGAGCTCAGTAGAAATGTTTCTGGTGTCAGCTGAGGGCACATCCTGGGATTCCCAGCTGCCCTGGTCTCTGCCTGCTCCCCTGCACCATGATCCTGGGTGTTAGAGGCTTCCTCTGCTCCTGGACAGAGCCTGCTGGGGAGGAGAGGAAGAACTGTGTGTGGAAAGCAGTTTCGGGGAGGACAGGGAGAGCATTCTTGGCTGTAGGATTCCACCATCCTATCAATGTCAGAGACTTCCAGGTCTTGAGGGTCTAAGCATCTTCTCCAGAAGAAACACCGGCACCAGTTTTCATGATGGAGGGCGAGGGGAGAAGGTGGGAAGAGAGCCTTAGGAGGAATTCCCAAGAGTGCCACTGGTTTCTCAGGCTTGTGAACTGGGTGGCCCTCTCCCGAGGAAGCCTCTCCCTCCACCTCAGAATTGCTCATGTGCTCCTTTGACACCTATTGGCTCTGCTGCTCACTGTGGAGACGGCTCCACCTATGGCTGTGGCTGCTGAACCCAGCTGGGGCTCCTGTCCCCCAACTCCCTTCCTCCTACGTGTGCAAGCTGGCAAACCTTCTGTAGCCCCAGGTAAGATGGCCCGGAAGGCTGTGCCCTGGGAAGGCCACCCAACACCCTTCACACTTTGTTTCCTCTGAGCAACGTTTTTAGCTCTGGAAAGAAGAGATGGAGAGAGGGGGTGGGGTGGGGAGGCGAGGAGAGGGAAGAAGAGGCGAGGAAAGAGAGGAAAAGGGGGAAGGAAAGGAAAGAGAACATCTCTCCCTCTCTATTGGCAGAGATGAGAGAGAGACATACAAGACAGAGACACTCACATAGGGAAAAGGAAAGCCTGAGAGACTTGGACCATGGATGAGTCAGATCCAGAGGAGAGTGGGGTGGGGAGAGAAGCCCCCCACCCAGCACACACAGTGCCTCAGCTTCCAACCCAGACAGCTGGAGGCTGAGTGCTCAGTGGCGGGCTGGACTGCAAGTCCTACCTGAATCCTTTGTCCAGGGAGATGCACTTGGCCTCATGCTGACAGAGGTTCATCTCAGGCACACAATGGTCAATCACCTCGTCACACAGCTCACCTGGTGGAGAGGGACAAGAACTCAGGTATCAGGACCCTCAGTCCTACATCTGTCAAGTCACAGAGCAAGGCCCTCACACTCTTCTCTTGGTGTATTGTTTTTTTGACTTAGAGTTTCCTTCCCATGGGCACTGCCATAGCACCCCTGCTTGGGGATTCTACTCCATCATCCAGGGCAGCTGCGTCTGGAGCGGCAGCCTGGACCCCCGCTTGGGCTCTGCTGTCCAATTGCTTTCTTAATTTCACACCTTTTCATTAAGTCCTCCTGTGTGGGAGGCACCATGCCAGCCGCTGGGGCAGACAGTGACTTACTTCTGTCCTCTTCCAGGGTCTAGTGGTGGGAGATCTACAGACAGACAGAACCTCACCATCCAGAGTCTCGAGGCCGCCACAGAGTTAAACTCTGGAAGCACACAGAGACCATAACCTCGCCCAGGGGGTGAGAGGGGGCTCCTTAGAATGGCTAAGAAGGCTTAACTGCATGGTTCACCTGCTCCAGATCAAGAAGCCTCTTGGGTTTTTCAAGGGAAGCAAATATGAGAGGAATTTGAATTTCTGGTCTCTGGATAACTAACTTTGATTTCTACGGTGTTGCCTGGTGGGTCATAAATACCTGGGGCTCAGATAAGCGCAACTACTACTTCAAAGTTTTCAGGTATGTAGGTGGGGTGGGTAAGGCAGGAGGCATCTCCCAAACAGGGTGGGATTCTAGGGTCTGACTTCTGGGTTTTCTCAAAGTCCACCCAATCAAGCCAGGTAGAGAGTGATCTAAGGGAGGGAGACTTCTAGTGGCAGACATTCTCCTCGGAGCTGAGGGTGGGGAGCTGCAGCTAGAGCAGGCTGCCTGGGCAGAAGGCCCTGAGGGTGAGTGAGACGCCCCAGAACTGTTCTCTTCTGGGGTGGGGATAAGCCTATCTCCACCTTCCAGAGAGGGAGCTTCTCAAGGCCACAGTGTTCCTTATAGGCCTCCTCCTCCGCCTCCTCTTCCTCCTCCTCCTTCTCTGAAAAGGCTCAGAGAAGCAGCCAAGTGTCTGTGTAGGCCTTGGATGTTTTGGGGGACAGAAGAGCCACAGTGCATTCCTCTCAGGAACAGAGTGCAACAAATATGGAACAGCCTGGTCCTTGAGACAGGGGCAGGGTTCCACTGAAGCAGGAGACAGGTCTCCTCAGTGCCCCTGCCACTTCCTGTCTGTCTGGTGAGGATTCCAGTCGAGGCCCTCCTCTGCCATAGAGCTGATTTTGATTTTGAGCACCGTTGCCCTCTCCTGAGCTGCTGGGATTTTGATGAGCAGCTTCTTCTGGACCAGCTATCCAACTCTCTCCAGTGCTGCTTCTCAGGAAGCCCCTGTGGGCTGAGGGCATACCTTGGCCTTCTCGGTGTCTCTATTGCCTAATTCACTGCTCTGCGTGTAGTGAAGGGTGCCTGAGAAGAGTCGCCTGTTGCTAGTGCAGCTCTTGGTTACGACTCTGCCCTCAGGAGATGGACGACGCAGGGCACAGGGGAGATGCCCTTGCTCATTCTCTCAACCCAAGGGCTTGTCTGGGCCCAGGAGGCAGGAGGCTTTCTCAGCTGCCGTAGGGCAATCCAGCAGCCCAAGCTGTGCTGGGGCATCCTGGCTAGTGGACTGGAGGCTCTGCAGGGAATGGGCGCTGCTCCACGTCCCCCTCTGCAGTCCCCAGGGCTGCTCCACTGGGCACCACACCCCTGCACACTTCATCTGGACAGATGAGCCAGGTTCCATCGGGCTGGGGGCGCGGGGAGTCCTGAGCCACTTCACTCCCATTTCCTCTGGGCCTTAGGCCAGCAGGTCTGGAACTTGTAACTTAGGACACGATACCCAGGTTGCAGCAGGTTTCCAGGTGGGATAAGAGGGAAGCTCAAAGGAGTGTGGAACTGCCGGGCTAAACATAGGCAGCTTTCTTTAAAGCAGGGGTTTTCAGAACTTCTAGTGTGTTCATTTGTATCAGGAGCTAAGAAAAGGGTATAACTCTGTGCAGGGCTCCCCGAGTTGGCTCTTTTTCTGGGATAGGCCACTTCAGGTCACTTTGGTAACAAAGTCAGTTGTGTTTGTACCAATTAGTATCATTTTGACTCAAAATCTAATAGTCTATTTGATGGTTAAATAAAGGTGTTGGGTTGGGGGCTGGGTGGGTAGAAAGACAACCCCAAGCAATGATCCCTCCTGTGGGGCCTTCCCGCGCTCTCCAGCAGGACTGTTTCCCCGTGGTCCCGGGACCTCTGGAATGACACAGTTGTGTTCTCATTCTGTTGAACCTGTGTCTCCTTAGCTCCTGGCAGAGTGTCTGGAAGAACCTAGATTTCCAGAGACAGCTGACGACACCTGAGCAAAGCCGAGAGCAGCTCAAGGGCCTCTGCTGACCTCACACACGCTGGCCACCAGGCTTCCCAAAAGAGGGCACAGCCAACAGCTCGATGGATGACAGCTGGAAGAGCTCTGGGGACCCGCTTCCTAGTGGGAAGGAGTGAGTGGCCTGTAGGGGTGGGTGGGTGGGGTGGAGGAGCCAGACACGCTGGCAGACAGGATGCTGGAGAGGCCCCTCGTGGCACACACAGTCTTGGGATCTTGGTCTCTGGGAGAAAGGAGGTGGGGTCCTTCCTCCTTTAAGAATGTCACTAAGGGAAGGGAACTCTTCTAGAGATACCGTCCACACCATGCCACCAACATGAGTGTGCTGGGGCGTCCTGAGCCCTCACCTGTGAAGTTGGGAGGGCACACACACGCGTAGTTGTTGACCCCGTCCACGCAGGTGGCGTTGTTCTCGCAGTCGTTGTCCTCACAGTCGTCGGGGTTGATCTCACAGCGCTGCCCCTCGAAGCCCAGAGGGCAGGAGCAGCTTTGGGATGAGGGAAGAGGGCAGAGGGATGAGGGGCAGGGAGCGGGGCAGGGGAGGGGAGAGGGAGGCAGAACTACAGTTAGTTGGGTCTCAGGACCGAGGACCAAGGCAGCACCCGGGACACAGGAGGTCTCGGGCCAGAGCAGGAAGACCTCGGGAACCCACAGGATGGTTCTGACTAGCTCCCTGTCTCCAGGCCATGTTCTGGCTCCCTGGCACCTGTTGGCTGCCTTGCCCTGGAGCAGGTCCTACCTGTACTGCCACCCCACTGTCGCTAGCTGGAAGTGGTTTCCTGGGCATAGCTTAAATTCCTACAGCTGTCCTCTAAAACACCTGCCCTGTCCTCTGTGGCTCAGATGCTCCACCCCCTCCAGAGACGGTTCACTCTGTGATGAGGGGGCAGCTGGGCCTCCTAGCTGAGGTCACGGGGCTCTGCACCCAGGATTCTGGGAATGATTTCTGACTGCTACTTTCTAGCTGTCTGGCCTTGGGTGCTTGAGTAATTAAATGAGATAATACAAGTGAAACACTTGGAAGGGAACACAGTGCACAGGAAAACTCTAAGCACATGGCCTGACATTAGTTCTAGAAAAAACCACCACACCCTCTCAACCTTTCCTCAGGGAAGCCATCTCTCTGTGCCATGTATTCCTACCACTTCTGAGCCCCTCCAGCTTCTGGGGCGAGGGGGAGGACCCCTTTCCTGCCAAGACCGAGGGTCCTGGTGAGCGCGGCTTGAACACAGTAAATCAATAGGACATATTTCCTTCGTCATCTCTGGTGCATTAAATCTTTTAGAGAAAATCTTCGACCCCCTGTCCTCTGCCTGACCTTGGTTATAACCCAGGATCGGGCATGTAAAAGAACAGATAAAGCCTGGCAGAAGTGAAGGGGAAAGGGGCTGGGAGGTGCCTGGGGGTGGGTGGGAAGTAAGCCTCTGATTAAATAAATGCTTCCTGGAACCTGCCTCTTCCCAGGGCCAAGCTGATAACCAGGGATTGGCCCCGTCCATGAGCATGGCTCCAGCTTAAGTAAGTCCAGGCCTCTGTTTCAGGGACTGCTCTGACTTGGGATGTCACTGAAAAAGTAAACTAAACTATTAAGGAATGAATTCTGTGATCCTAGAATCAATCCTCTGTCCCTCTGCAATCTGAAAACCATATCACATTTCCCACACAAGGCTGAGGACTGAGCTCCCGAGATAGCGGAGAAAAACGACATTTTTTTTTTTTTTTTAAATGTCAGAAACTCTGGGCGTTCACAAAAAAGACTACAGAGTGGGTAGGAATTCAAGGTCTTAAACCAAAGCATTAGTGTAGGCTTTCTTGAAGATCAACTTCTGGGTTTGCTTCGGAACATTAGGGTGGCCCCACTGTGGGCAATGAGATAGATGGTGGCTGGCCAAGGGAGTCCAGACTGTGGGACAGAGGTGGGCAGGGGCCGAGTCTCCCCGTCCTCACTGGGAAACTTGAAGGAGTTGTCAAGAAGCTTCAAGAGCATTAGTCAGCCTCGGGGACTTTGAGGCCAGGTCGCACCTCCCTGGTGTGGCCTTTGCTCCCTTTGTGAGCCCACAGTGCAGCAAGAATAGAGAAGCCTCTGTCTGAAGCGGGTGTGATGCTTCCAGAATTCTGACTCCCAAAAGGTGCTGTGGGTTGGACTGTGTTCTCCAGGAAAGACAGACGGAAGTCGTAGCCCCGGACCTCGAACGTGACTCTACTTGAAACTAGTGTTGTTGCAGGGCGTACTAGACACCCATCGTAGTGTCCCCGTGAGAAGACTGACGTGTGAAGACAGACAAGGGGAGAAGGCCCTGTGACAGAGAAGGCAGAGCCTGGAGTGACGGAGAAAGAGGCAAGGAGGGACCCTCCCCTGCTGGGTTTGGAAAGAGCCTGTCCCTGCAGACACCTGGATTTGGGGCTTCCCGGTCCAAGCATTTCTGTGGCCACAAGTCACAGTCTGTGGTCCTTGGTGATGGCAGCCCTAGAAAATGACTCCAGGAGGGAAGGGGGCAGAGTCCTTTCTAACCAGGGGCCGCCGCCCTGGTGGCTGGCCTGGTGGGACCCCGTATGGAAGCACCCCACCCCAGCATTTGCCTCACTGCCCTCCTCCTGTGGATCTGGGTCTTTTTCCTTTCAAATTAAGTTTCAGGAATATTTCCTGTTCACTCGAAATTCCTCAAAAATGGAAGATGGCCAGGAGAGACCAGGGGACACAGAATTGCCTACGGGGATGATCCTCCCTTCCTGAGCCCCAGTTCTCTCCTTCTGGCTGGGGCACAGCCTCACCTGGGCCTGGAGGTGAACTTCCTGGCTGACACGTGTGGTCACCTCTGGGAGATTCCATGCGGTTTCTCCTCATCCTGCTCCAAGTGAGTGGGGGTGGGGTGCGGGGGTGGGAGTGAGTGGTTTGGCCTATTCCAGGCAGGAACAGGAACTCGGGCCGGAGTCTCACTTGTCAAGAGTCAGGCAGGGTTGGATGGGGCTGGCTTGGCAGGAGGACATGTGGGTGGGCTGGGTGTCCCGGGGAGGAGAGCCAGGAGCCCAGAGCTTGATTTCTTCCACAGACCACACAGCAGCCCCTGACCAGAGGGCTTTCAGAAATTAATGGCAACCCAGGCTCTAAGATGTCCGTCAGAGCCTGGCACCAGAAGCCTTTATGCCAGCAGCTGATGCCCGGCTCACTGTGCCACAGGAGCCACTTCCAATGGTCTGCTCCTGCCAGGGCCACTGGCTGGGGAGCCTGGGCACCTGAAAGCTACGGGGAAGGCAGGAGGCACGAAGGGGCCTGACGTCTGGGCAGAGGCCCAATCTCACGCTCAGCACAGGGTAAAGAAAAGTTTACATGGTGTCCATGCCCTTTTCCTTCTGAGACCTTAAGACCAGCAAGGAAAGAGGATGGGAGGTGGGGACAGAAGCTCCAGGAGCCAGTGTCAGGATATGTGACCTAGAGCAAACCAATCTCTGAGCCTCAGTTTCCTCATCTGTTCAACTGGGCTAGTTCTACCCCCTGGTCGTGAGAAGATGCTAATGGGACAGTGCATGACTAGTCAGGCTGGCTCACAGGGAGCTGGTCATTGCCACCAACTCTTAGCATTATTCACCATCCAGGAGAGAGTGGTGGGGCTGCCAGGCTGCATCTGCTCCTTCCCTGACTTCAGTTGGCAACTACAGCTCCCTTGCAGACTCCTAGCTTAGATAGCTGAGGTTGGCACCTGGGTTCAAATCCAAGTACCAGTGCTGACTATGTAACTCAGGCAAAGGCTAATCCCTTTGATGCCTCTGGTTCTTGTCTGTGCAGTAGGGATAATCGTGCTTCCCTGTGACGTGGGCAGGGTCTTAACGTCATTCTCAGAGAGGACTCTGCCCATGGAGCCCAAGGGCAGGGAGGCCTGTGGTGAGCTGTACCTGAACCCATCTTTGTGGCTCTCGCTCAGGTGGCAGGTGCCTCCGTTCTGGCAGGGGTTCTGGATGCAGGTGTTGATGGGCACGGTGCAGTCCTTGCCCTGAGGAGAAGACAGAGAGGTGCCCAAGGAGGGGGGCTTGGATGGCTGCTGTGACACAGACTGAGAGTTCCCAGTCTCCCTGGGGGAAGCTGAGGAGATGCTGGAGAGGAGGCCCTGGACAGGCCTGCCATGTGACTCAGAGTAAGCCAAAGCGCCCCTTCGCCTCTGCCACACTGCAGTGACAAGGAAGAAACCTGGAGAACCCAGGAGTCCAGGCTCCAGTGTCATGACTTCTGGAATCCACAGCCTCCGGTCCTCAACGGCAGGACCGAATGTGGACTCTGGACATGACCAAACCCATTCACATCCCAGCTCCACCTCTTCCTGCTGGCCGCCCTTGACCTTGCAAAAGCCTCCGAAGCTCTGATAGGGCTGTTATGAGAAGGAAGCCAGAGCTTTGGTATAAGGAAGCTGCACCCGGTAGGTCTAATCCACAACTCCAGTCGGGTGGACTAAGGCTGACCTGTGGCCAATCAACCGTGTGTCCTGTAAAATGCCAACCCCCGGAGATTCATCCTTGATCGGTCTGGATGTTTGTTCTTAAGTTCAGCAGGTAAGCCCAACGTCAGGCTAGGCTGAAACCACTGCGAAGTTTGGAGTGAGGGGAGTTCCTCTGTCCCAGGCTCCTCCCCCTCCCAGGTACCTCCCCCTCCCAGGCTCCTCCCCTCCCAGGCTCCTCCCCTCCCAGGCACCTCCCCCTTCCAGGCTCGGCTCCTCTGAAGGGGATGCTCGAGCTGACAAGGAGCCAACCAGGTGGCAGGTGGGGAAGATGATGCCAGGCAGAAGGAGCAGTGGGGACAAGGGCACTCAGAAGGGCAGCCCTAGGCAGAGATTAGAATTAGACCCAGCGTCCCAGGATGCAGCCCAGCTCTTCTCAGGCCTCTGGCTCCTGCTTCTCCCCTGGGACTAATGGGCGGGGGTGGGGGGTGGGATGTGGGGGGGTGTGTTACACCCAAGTATTGGCAGCAGCCCTGTACAGGACCCGGTAGCCTGGGGAGGGGTCTGTTGCATCTATTTCTGGGTCACAGTTCAGTGGCCTGGGTGGATGCCAGGTGGGGGTGACCACGGGAGGCCTCCCACTGCTGTTCCACCTGCTCGCCATCTGCCAGAGAAAACCCTCTTTCCTTTCTGCTGCTGCCAGTGCCTGTCATGGAATGGGACTGGGGCTTCCTGGTGTGTGGTCACTGCCAATTGAGCCTGCCCAGGGCAGCCTCCGCTGAGGACTCTGAAATGCATCCTCCTGCTCTCTCAGGGCTGCTACCACTCCAGCAGCTGGCCACGGCTGGCTGGTTCTTAAACCATTTCATGCCCCCACCACAGTTAGAGGGCTGTCAGTCTTAGAGGGGAAGGCTAGTGCAGTTTGGGGTGTCATCTGGGTTCATCCTAAGCTACAGTGACCCAGGGCCCTCAGTCAGAGTGGGAATAGAAACTGTGATGATAATCTTCCCTCACATTATGGAGCACACTTTCTGTTCCAGGTCTTATGCTAAGCGTTTTATATTCACGTTCACAAGAACCCTCCCAGATCGGTATCAGTGTTATTACACACATTTTTACAGACAGGGAAGACAGACTTGGGAACTGAGGTAATAGGTTCAAGACTGCACAGTTGGAAATAGAAGCGGCAGCTGAGCCCAAAGCCAGTGCTGGGCCTCTGTGCTGGACCACTGATCTTGACCCTCTTAAAACCCAGGAAATGGAATGTAGTGGATCAGAGCATGAATCTAGGTTGGCTGCTGTTTTGCCTGGAGGAAATTCTCCCTGAGCCTCTTTCCATTTTCTGTGAATTGAGAATAATAGTTAAGTATCCTAAATTAAAACATCCAAAATCCAGAATGCTCCCAAATCTGAACCTTTAGGGACTGGCATGATGTCATAAGTGAAAATGTCCACACCTGATCTCGGTGATGGGTCACGGTCAAAATGCAGGTGCAGAAAAAATGCCAAATAAAGTTACAGGCTATGTGTATGAGGTGAATATGAAACAGAGATGAACTGCATTGTAGACTTAGGTCCCATCCCTAAGGTAGCTCAGTATGTATATGTAAATATTCCAAAATTGGAACAAATCTGAAATCTTTGGTCCCAAGCATTTCAGATAAGGGACACTCAGTCTCTACCTACCCCAGGGGAGTAACTTGTTTAGAAATCACATAGCTGTAAGCATGTAATGGCAGCTCATAGTAACAGCGGGGATGACAAAAGACTGGGGTCTGAGGCAGGGTGGCATGTGGGTGATTAAAATACCTTTTAGGGTCCCTGATTGGTGTTAAATAGCTTGGGGGTATGTATAGGGTCGGCAGCAGGGTAGATGGACTTGCAGGCAAGGAGAACCTTGAGAAGCTTTGGGCAGGGCCTCCTAAGCCCCTGCCTGGTCCAACCTTGCAAGTAGCATCTACTCCAGGTGGAATATTCCCCTCAGGGTGGGGATGGGGGTGGAGGTTGGGATACCTGTCTCCTCTAGTCTTCTATGCTGAGCATGGGAATCTAGGGGGCAGATCCTGGTACCCGATGACACAGTAATTGAGCCTGGAGGTGGGAATTTCAGTGACTAGAGAAATAATCACCATTGCCAAGGCCTGGCTAATTAGTCTTCAATTCTTCTCAGCTGCATTTTGTTCAAATCCTCCAGATATGTGATGCTCCTTGGTCCTTCCTCACTTTCTACTCCTCAGTGTGTGTGTGTGTGTGTGTGTGTGTGTGTGTGTGTAAAGGACATGACTGAGGATACTGGCTTCCTTTTAAAGAGACTGGAAACATCTATCCTTACTGGAAAGCTCTTTCTGAGATGGGGCTGGGAGGGCTGTTCTAAAACCTTGCTACTCAAAGTGTGGTCCTTGGACTGGCAGCGTTGGCATTCCATGGAGCTTGTTAAAAATGCAGTCTGAGGCCCGACTTTATGTCTCATGAACCAAAGCCTGCATTTTAACAAAATCTCCAGGTGACTCTTGACAATACTGAAGTTTGAGAAGTACTGCTCTGAGACATTGAACGTGTGTAGAAAGCTGAATGGCTGAGAAATACATTTTATGTCCCAAATCCTAGAATAGTGGCAAGATAGCCACCTTGTGGGAAATGTCTACTGAATGCTCTCACTGAGGTAGGCAAGTGCAAATGTGATGCTTTTCCATCTTGACGACATCCATACCATGCTCAGCTGGTGAGCATGAGTATTCCCCTTTACCAGTAGGAAAGTGAGGCATGGTGAGAATCAGTGGCTAGTGATGAGTAGGGGTGTAGACCTTCCTGCAAGAGGTAGCTGGTTCTGATTTTAGCTCACACACTTCCCAGGTGTGGGGGCCTGGATAAGTTCTTAGGTTTTTACAAACCTTAGATTCTTCACGTATCAAAAGAGGATAAAAACTTATTTCGCAGGCCGATTAAGAGCAGTGTAGGAGGTGACATCCTGAGACTGCTTCACAAAGGCCTGGTGTTCTCGTAGGTTAACAAAGCTGCCAGCAGATCAGATGATAAACAGTGCCTGCTAGGCCTCTTTTTTTTATGGCACTGGGGATTGAACCCATGGGTGCTCTACCACTGAACTATACCCTCAACTCTTTTTATTTTTAAATTTTGAGACAGGTTCTCACTAAGTTGCTGAGGCTGGCCTCAAACTTGCGATCCTCCTTCCTCAGCCTCCTGAACTACTGGATTATAGGTGTGTGCTCCTGCACCAGGTTTGCTGTGCTTTTGGAACATTGGGACTTCCCAAAGTCATGCAGCTGGTCAAATGAGAAACTGAGATATCTGAGCAAATGTCTTGGCCTTGAGCTTGATTTTGTGGGTGACAAGGGACTGTGGTCAGCTTAGTGATGTATCCAAAACTACTCTTTCATTTGTTTCCCTTGAGTGGGCTTCAACCCATCAAGAAGGAGAGCAGGTGAAATGAACTTACCCAGGGAGTCAGATGCACCATGAAATGGCCCCTTTGGCTCAAACTGCTCCACTTTACATTGGAGGAAACTGAGGCAAGGAGACGAGCAGGAGTGCCGTGCAGCCAGGGGGACACAGGCTCTCGGGGTTCCTTCCACATGGGGTTCTTTCTACCACTGTATTCTGTGTTCTGTTTTTCTCTACCCTAAAGATTCAGACAGGTTCTCAATGGCCAGGGACTGTCACCCTCAGTGTTGCAATTGCTGAACTTACTGATGGGCAGTGCATGGAGTGGCCAAGAGCATGGGTTCTGCAGTTACTTGGCTCTGAGCCTGAATCCCAACACCCTCACTGCTATGTTCTGTTCCTTCAACTGTAAAGTAAGGGTCATTTATCAGGAACTGTGTCCCAAGGCTTTGATGAAAGGTATGCAAGGTGGTGTAGCTAGTTTAGTGTGCTGTCAGTACACAGTAGGCACTCAACAGTGATGGCTCTAATACTGACTATGTTGTTGTGATAGTCAACATTTTTGTCATCCCCATGTACATTGCCACAGTCATCACTATCATCCTCACCATCACCATATGATCAGCATCAGCATCATCACTACCACCACCTCCATTGTCACCACCACCACCATCACCATCACCATCACCATCACCATTGTTATCACTATTGCCATCACTATCACCATCCTCATGATCATCATTATTACCCCCATCATTATTGTCACCACCATCACTATAATCATTGCCATTATCATCACCTTCATTACCAAAATCATAACCATCATGATTATTACCCCCATCGTTATTGTCACCATCACCATTGTCATCACCATCACCATTACCATAACCATCACCATCACTATGATAATCTTCATCATCACCATCATTATCGCCATCACCATTATCATCACTATCATCATTACCATCCTTACCAGCACCAACATCACTATCATCATTGCCATCATGATCATCACTATCACCATTACCAGTGCCATTGCGATCATCACTATCATCATCGTCAACATCAGCACCATTGTTATACACATCACCATCATTCCTTTCATCATTATCATCACCATTACTCACACCATCATAATCATCCCCATTATGTAACCCCGACCTGCCTGAGCTCAAAGGTTCCTAAAAGTCAAAATCTCTGTTCAGATTCTTTTGAAATCTATAAGATGTCCAGAGTCTTGTGAATAAAGTTAAAAAAAACACAACCTGGCATTATCCCTCTGTGGCCCTGTAGATGAACTCTTTCCTCTGATGTGAATGGTCAGACTATCGTCAGAGGAAAAGTGTAGTGTGGACTTTCAGATTCAGGCCAAGTTCAAAGAGAGGGAAGCCAGATTAGCATGGGTGTTCATCTAATCTTTAAAATAAGGATGATGACCTCCAACTCTGAAGGTGATTATAAAAATTAGAGGAGGGAATAAATGCTTAAGGCCTAGTTGAGGGCCTGGTCTTTAGTTAATAATTAGAGAACTACACAAGGACTGGGCATGTAGCTCAGTGCTAGAGTGCTTTCCTAGCATGTCTGAGCCCCTGGGTTCTATCCCCAGCACCAAACAAAGGAAACAAAGAGAACTAGACATGCATGGAACTAGAAGATCATAAATACACGTCTCAGTTCCAGGAGAACCATCAAAAGTCATTGACTATTCAGTGTCACAGATTGATAATCTGTTGAACCAGCATGGAACCACCTATTCTGATGGCCCCTCTCACAGCTGGTATGAGGGAGTTGCATGCAAGGGAAGAAGTAAAAATCAGTGCAGATTGAAGGCCAGATCCTGTCATGGGTGCACCAAGTACATTATTGTACCCTTTATTCCCGCATGATTGGGGGGTGGTCTGGTGTACAGATGGGAGAGCCAAGGCTAAGTCATTGGCCATTGCCGCACAGCTAGTAAATTTCAAAAACTGGAACCCACACATGCTTCTCAGTGTGAATACACAGCTTGAGTTTTGTCCACTGAACCCACACAGGGAGGTTCAGGGTAAGCATGGCCCCCTCTCAATCTCTGTTCTTCCCCTGCTAGTAACTGTATGGGTGTAGAATGCACAGGTCTGAGACTCTGGTGAGTTTGAGGCCTTGGGGACCTATGGCTTCAAAGAGAATCCTTGACCTGTCTTGTCCCAGGCCCATAGGTGGCACTCTGACACTGTCTGCTAGAAGCACAGCTACCATTGAGAAATCTCCCAGTTTCCCTTTCCCCACCTGGAGTCTGCTCTTCAGCTTGTCACTACACACGCACAATCCCTCTGGGGATGGAGATGTGGCTATGGCAGTCACCTGTCACTCAGCCTATACCAGGGGTGAGCACTGGATGGATTGTGGGGCTGTCTTGGACTCGTGGTGTGTCCAGAGCATTCAGATCAGTGCCCTGAAGGCTGAAATCTGGGAAGTTCTGCAGGGGAGGGTGGAGCCACAGCTCTGCCGACCCCCCTGACACTTTGACTCTGGAATCCTGTAGACCTGGGTCTTAATCCCGTCACTTCTAAGCTTTGGGAAATCAAGTCAAACCCTGTCAACAGTTGTAGGCCTGGTTTCCACATCAGAAAAATGGGAATTAATGATTTTTTCATAGGTTCACTGGGAGTGTTTAAAAAGAAGAGATGAGCAAGATGCCATGCAGAGAGCTTGACACACAGTCTGTCCTCTCTGGATGTCAGTAGGGAGCAGGGTGACATCTCCTGGGCAGTGCTGTGAGAAGAGGGAGGAAAGGACTATCTTGGAATTGGCCTGGATTTCTGGGGAGGACAAAAGGGAGAACTGGGTCTCACTTCTGTAGGCCCCCCCAAGTTTGCCAGCAATGTGGATGGGCTTGGCAGCCCCCAGGCCTTTTAACCCCTATCTCTGTATCCTCATCAATCTGAAATCAACACTTTTAGGGCAGGACTGGGGCGGGGGTTGATGGGGAAAGAAGGTTCTGGAAATCCCTTGGAAAGGGACTCAGTGGGTTCAAGGCATGCCTTTACTTGGAAGCACTTGAACTCTCTTGAGATGTCATTTCCCCATGTTTCACAAAGAAAATACAAATGCAACATTTCCCCCATATCTCAGAGCATCTGTCTCAAGACTATAAGGGGTCCTATTTGGCACAGTGTGACAAGACCTGGCAGCCTTTGCCAGTTCTGAGAATAGGAAAGTTCTAGGAAATGACACTTTGGATAGGGTCAGCCAGCATGGTGCACCATCCTGGGTCCAAGACAGAGGAGGAGCCTGGGGTGTGAATGGTGGCGACTGGGGTGGGTGGGGCACCTGTCGTACCTTGTAGCTGTAGGGGCAGGTGCAGCGGTACTGCTCCACAGGGTCCTGACTGCATGTGCCATTGTTCTTGCATGGGCTGGAGAGGCAGGCATTGCACTTGGCCGCAATGTTGATATCCACTGGACCTGGGTAGCAAAACCAGCGTTGGTGGCAGCTCTGAGCGGGCTCACTGCCACACCTCCCTTTCCCTCAGTTCTGGTTCCTCTCCATCTCCATGCCCGGGGCAGCTGGTTCTCTCCAGCCAGCACAACCATCCTGGCTAGAGTCACATTAATTTAACCATTGTCCAGTGAGAAAAATCACAGCAGGACATCAGACAGAAGCATTTCTGCAGTCAAATCAATTACTGTAATTAGCCTGATCCGATTTGGGTGCTAATCTGCAAACAAGGCACTGTAATTAGAAGCCCCCTGTGTATCTTCATATTCCAGGGAGCCCTGGACCTAGACTACATTTGGGCTCTCACTTCTTCACCCTCAAACACCCTTCCCATGGAACAGTCAGTGCCAGGCTCCGGAGGGATGCGTATGCCAAAGGCATGCATAGGAAGTCCTCCCTGCAAAACCCTACAGGTTAGAAACAGATGGCCCCACGGACACAGCAATGTGTTGGCACTGTGCTCGGGGACACTTGCATCCATGGCAGTTCCAACTATCCCTGCTTTAGCGGTAGGGGCTGGAAGAGCGCATGGTCCTCATACAGGGCTTTGTAAAGGGGACAGTGTCCTGCTGCTGCAGCCAGCTTTGAGCATGAGCCCTGGATACACAGGACTTACTTAATGACAGGACTTTAAATGATCGTGGGGCTGACAGTCCTCAACCTGGACATGGGTGGAGACTAGCTCCAGGAAGTGGCCCTTCCTGATGGATGAACAGAAGGGCCTGACTGAGAGCCTTCTATTTTTAAAGCTCCTCAGGTGATTCCAACCTGCGCAGCCAAGATGGAGAAATGCTATTCTAGAGTTATTTGGATCTTTTAGTGTCAGATCAGATGTCTGGGAAGCTGGAGGTAGAAAATTAAAATTAGCTTTAAGTCAACATTCCCCCCACCCCCGGCTTTTAGCAGAAGGATGGGACACAGTGTTTTGTTGTTGTTGTTTTGTTTTGAGGGCAATAAAGTATATCTGTATATAAACCTTCAGATTCTAAGAGATGAGCAAAGGACACGAACAGACAAATGTGAAATGTAAATGGAAAGTAAATTTTTGAGACAAAATTCAGAATCCACAATAATTAAAATAAAAGGAGATATGATTGTTTTTTTTATTTTATATTAGCTATGACTGCAAAATAAGATAAAATAATAAGAGCACCTAATGCAAGAGTCCCTCAGAGGGTGCTACTGGGAGTTGGTTATAATCCTTTATGGAATCACTTTGGCAACATGTGTGAAGATCATGTACTTTGACTCAGTAATTTCCATTCTGTGAATGTCGTCTAAGAACGTAATTTCACATAGAGAAAGACTTTATGCATCCATGGTAAGAAAAAGAAATGAAAACACTCTAAAGATTTTAAGCTGGCTAAGTAGTAGTGGAAAATTACATCCAGCGAGGTCATCAAGAGCATGCATTCTGGAAACAGAAGGACCTGGAATCCCACCTGTGTGTTCTTTAGAGGTCATTGGGGCTGGGATGCAGCTCAGCAATGGAGCCCTTGCCTAGCAGGCCCAGGCCTGGGTTCAGTTAAAGTAACCTCTTTGAGTCTTAGCTTTCTCACTTTTTAAAAATGAAGATAATATTAATATTTGTCTCATAGAAGTTTTACAGAATTACATAACTTGATACATGAAAAGTGAGAATTAAAATAATATTCTAAAAGTGCTTAAAATAGCATCAGTTACAAAGTAAAGAACTCAGTAGTTTGTTATCCTGATAATGATACAATCAGTAAAAATCACATGTACACAAAATTTGCTGCAGTGAATGGGAAAATGCTAATGATGGTAGGTAGACAGTGCAGGCTAAAGGGGATAGGCGGGTTAAAAGGGTTCTCAACTCTGGAAAAATATGTGCAGGAAGAAGTCAATGAGGAAGTACAGTTGGCTCTCTGTGTTCATATCACATCTGCAGATTCTGCATCCAGATTAAACTAACCACAGATAGAAAAATGTTCAGAAAATAATTGTGTCTATACTAAACATGAACAGACTTCTTTTGGGATTCATTATTCCCTAAACAATATAATACAACTACTTTCTACATAGCATTTTCGTTGTATTGGGTATCATAAGTAATCTAGAGATGGTTCAAAGGACACAGCAGGTGTGCGTATGTGCAGATATGATACTGTTCTATATAGGAGAGTGTCCTTGTATTTTGGTATCTGTGGGGGACCTGGAACCAATCCCCAGGAATGCTAGGGACTGATGGCTGTAAACGCAGCAGCAGAGTCTGGGAGTGTAGTGGCGTGACAGTGTGTGCTGAGGTGCCTGATGCCCTGGGTTCACTTGCCAGCACCGGTGTGATGGCGGGAAGACAGCAGAGGGCTTTGGTGGGGAGAATGACAAAATGAGATGTGATTCCACATTAATTTTAGCATCTGAGTCTCTGTTTGGCCCATGGGAGAGATAGGGTAATGATTTTAGAAGTCACATCTGTTGAGATGCCCAGCTCTGATGGGCTGTTGGAGGAGAGAACCCACCCCACAAGGGGCAGGAAAGTGAATAGGTGGGCAGCACCTACCTTTGCACTGGAACCGATGGGTGGGGGTGGTGAGCAGGAGTCTGTCGGCCATGGGCTCGGGGCTGCTGCAGCGGGCGATGCCAGGTTCCTTGTACCCTGCCTTCACCCATTCTGACAACCAGCGCAGATTGCAGTCACAGTGCAGTGGGTTGGTTCCCAGTGCCCTGGGAGGCAGAACAGGAAGTTAGGGCCCCCTGTCCAGCCTGGTCCATAGGCTCCATATCCTTGGCTGCCTGGAAAAGCAGGATTTTCTGACTTTGGTCGATTGGGGTGTCTGACATGGAAACAGGTGGAGAAGTTTCTCTTTTGGAGCAAAGCTAGTATCTTGAGTGTATTTCCAATCCTGAGCATATGCCAATGCCTACCTGTTCCCCCTCCCACTTTTGAGACATTGCTCTCACTACCCTGGTAAAATTGTATCCTCAACTCAACTCCAACCCTGGCTCCCCTAGAAGCTTTCTGGAATGTTGGCCACATCATTATCTGGCTCCTGTCCCTACTCAAGGGCCCTTTGGGAGATGTATTCTGTAAAGAAGTTTCTGAGACCCAGAAGTTTGGAAGCAGCTTCAGACCACTCAGATTGAAGATCAGAGAGGAGGGCACAGTTCAGTGTGGAAATCTCCAAAGTAGTCCCAGGAAGAAAATACTAGAACTTTAAAAAAAAAAAAAATCCCATCTGGGCTGGGGCTGTAGCTCAGTGGCAAAGCACTTGCCTAGCATGTGTGAGGCACTGGGTTCTATCCTTAGCACCACATAAAATAAACAAAATAAAGCCAACTCTGTCCATCTACAAAAACAAAAACAAAAACCCATCCTTAACCATTTCTACTTCGAATGTTTTAAAATATGCATACATAATACCTTAGTATCACTTTGTATGCACACAAAATATGAAAATAATCAAATAAACATATAGGAGGAGTACAAACTCAAACATATTCATGGACAGAGGATTGTAGTAAGATAACCAAACACCAACAAAATAATAGAGGTGCCTGATCTAGGGAAGAGGGCCCTGGCCTGGAAGTCAGGGAAGTTGAATTCTAGGCCAAAGCCTCCTTGAACTGCTAGGTGACTTCCACCTAGCCACTTTGTGTTTATGGACCTCAGTTTCCTTGCATGAAATAGGACAGGAGGACCTGATCCAGAATGTGGGACGGTTGAGAATGCGCACTTTGCAGTCCAGGTAATCCTTGAGCTGTGCTGAGCCTCTGCTGCTTACTGACTGTGTCACTCCTGGACAAATTCTTTAAACCCTCTAAGTTTCAATTGTATCATGTAGAAAGGGTTAAAATTGCCTCCATAATAAGAAATGAGTTAGATAATTCATCCAAAGTGTTTAGCATATAGTAAACATTTTCTGGCAGTTCTTCTTACATTGTTTACAGAATCGATGATGCCTTTGAAGGCATTGGCAGCAAAGAAAAAGACAACGTAGACAGTATGGATACGTTGTCAGAAAATAAATTAGTCAGCCTTCCGAATCCTCGGGTTCCACATCTGCAGATTCAACCAAGTGTGCATCAAAAATAATGGAAAACAATCGCATCTGTGCTGAACACATCCTGTTTTCCTGTCATTATTCCCTCACCGAATACAGGACAACAACTAATAACATAGCAGTTGCACTTTATTAAGGATTAGAAGCAATCTAGAGATGCATTAAAATATGCAGGAGGATGTGTGCATGGGTTCTTTGCAAATACTCTGCATTTCATATAAGGGACCTGGGCATCTTCAGATTTTGGTCTCTGCAGGGGCTCCTGGAACGAGTCCCCTGCAGATGTGGAGGGATGACTGTGTGTATGGAATGGATATATTCCAGAAGCTAGCTGTAATGATATTGTGATGATGTCGCACATTATGAGCTTGCGTTTCCAGTGAATGCAGGCTGGAGAGAAAGGGGCTACTTACAGGTGGGAAAGGGATGTCAGGTCATTGAAGGAGCCTTCAGGAACAGTGGAAATATCGTTGCCGTGGAGGGTCCTGAGATGGAAGGGACAGGTCAGAGGGTTACACTCAGTGACAGTTTGAACCCAGCCACCTGTCAGTAGTTCCCAGAGCGTCACTGCTTGCAGCAACAGCTGGTGCTCTTGCTGCAGGTTGAGTGGCTGTTCCTCTGCCCAGCTCAGCAGCAGGGATGGAGGGCAGAGTATTTGGGGAGGAAGAGGGTGCACTTTTCAATGGGATAGAACTGGGAGGGAATCAGAAATCAGTCCATTTTGGAGGTGGAACATGAGGTAAATTATTCTCTGGGTCTCCATTTTCACACCTTAAAAGTGGAGAGGCGTATCTACACACAGAAGCCCTTGGAAACTCAGAGATGATGTTCTTAACTATGCCTCAGACCATAATTTATGGGGCCAGGTTTCTTGCCTTCAGAACCTGACTCTACCACTTTCCAGCTGTGTGACTGTGGGCAAAGCAGCTCACCTTCTCTGAGTCTCCCTTTCCTACTGTAAAATGGGAATGAAATAAATGAGATTTGCCACAGAGGTAGCAGTGCAGGTGTTATTCCATGCAGAGAAAGCCTAGCACTCCAGACACACATACATGAGCCTGGCACTTGGCACATATGAGTGCATCTTCTGACAGCAAGTCCAGGGAGCTGGGCAACCTGTTGGGTATCTGCAGCCACTCTTGGGAGTGTAGGTGGTGTGAGCTATTCTTTTTTGCAAAGTGGTGGATACTGAGCCTCTGCCAGTGCCTGGAGGACAGACAGGTCCATGAAAATGTGGAATGAAACTGTTCTGTGCTCCAGGAACAAGAGCCAATCTACATTTCAGGACTATATACCCAACCAAAAAATTTATCACCAGCAGCATTTTAAAAAAAGCCTAATTAAAAAACCCCTAAATCGATGACTCACTTTGGGGTCTGGTCTATGAAATACAAGGTGCTAAGTCCTAGAGACTCAGAAGCTTCTTTACTGACTGATGGCCCCATTGGGTGTGCTGGTGATAACGCACTGTTAAGGGAAGGACTAACAACGTGAGTGCAGGCAGGAGTCCTAGTGAAACAGAGACAAGGTTAGCGCTGACAGCGTAAATGTAAGCAGTAACTCATGGAACTGCTCTTTTGTTTTGCTTTCCGCTGAAGTTAGACTGCCCTGGGTCTTCAACTGAAACTGAGATGGTAACTTAATTATATTTAATATAGAACAGGGATCTCCCATGGGGTGAGCATTGACCTCACACTGCAGGAGAATTGACGCTAGAAAACACACAGATCTCTGAGCCTCATTGGCAGAGACACAGATTCTGTGGGTCTGGGTGGACCTGAGGTCCTACATTTCTGACATGTTCCCTGGTGTGCAGCTGATGCTGTTCCAGGGACCCTTCAAGGGTGAAGGTTCAGAGAACTTCCCCCTATTACATCAGGGCAAGGGATTCATTTCCCTCTTCCTCTTCCCAAATCTCCTCTTTTCCTTTGGGCACTGGATATCAAACCCAGGCTGTGAACATACTAAGCATGAGCTGGAGCCATGTCTCCTGGCCCTCCTCTCCTCCTCCTCCTCATAGTTGTGCTTGGTTGGCATCCTCACCATGGCCAACTCCTTCCCCTACAGTTCCAGGTCAGACTCTCTGGGGTGGGATGGGGTGGGAAGCAGTCCCAGACTCTTGGGCCGTACGTTGGTCAGGAGATAGTCAACAGTCCTCTGAAGGGTGCTCCTGCAGCTCCTCACCTCTGTGGGTGAGAAGCAGCCCGGGCACTTCTGAACACACTTATGGTGTCATTTCATCTCTAATCCATGAGCTTGGTTACAAACCTCAGCGCCTGCCAGCTATTGACTTGGATGGCTTTACTGTGCCTTGCTGTTTTGCAAATGCACTCAGCCCCATTACTAATCGTTTCTGGAAGGGGCCTGGGCCCCTAGAGGCATGAAGCTCTACTTTAAAATTACCAGATAACCTAAAGGCAGTTTGAGCATGGTGACACCCACAAGCCACACACCCACTTACTGTGAGGGGGGCCACTGAGATCTCTGTACCTACGGAGAAATGGGCTGCATTTTACTGGGACAACTCTAAAGAAATCTGCCTCCACCTCAGGTTCTCACTCCCAGATTGGCCCCCAAAGACGGTCTCTAGCATGTCAGACCCCATCATAAAAGGTGCTGGAGAGGTGGGTGACGCGCTTGCCAGGAAGCACTGGGTGCCTCCGCCTTCCTCTCCCTGACACCTGCAGGAACAGAGGCTGGCCAGCCCCTCTCAGAACCCCCGATGGCTCATCTTTGCTCCCCTCCTGACTACTAGGGGATGTAAAGGCACACTTGGGATGCACACGGTGGCATTGGTAGTGCAACATCAGGACCTAACCACCCGTGTCAGCGCTGGGCTGTTGGAACCTTGCTGTCTGGATCCTCGGATGTTCACAGTTTGTCTGATAGTGGCAGGACCTGTCCTCGTCCTAAATGTGGGCTGGAGTCAGTGGATTCTCTTCTGAGCAGGTGAGGCCACTTCCAGGGATTAAGAGGTTAGGCTCTGAGTCAGGTGGCCTGGGTTTGAGGTGGCCTGGGTTTGAGTCCTTCCTCTCGTTCTGGCTTTTGGTGCTCAGTTTTCTCATCTCTAAAATGAAGGCAGTCTTGGAATCTACCTGTAACGGTAGATGTCCTTTGTGGGGTGCCGGTTGCTTAGCACCGACCCCTCTTTTCTGTAGCGGCTCCCCTCTGGTCCATTGGGAATCACCTTCCCCGGCTCTCACTTCAAGAGCTTTGCGCTCCTGCCACTATTGGGTCTGGTGAGTCAGAGTCACAGTGAGTGCAGTTAGAAGTTTAGCATGACCTCAGTGGGGTGCAGGGACCCTGAAATGGATACCCCCAAATATGGTGCTCTGACATGCTGGAGCTGAGGAGCAGTCTCCAGTTCTTGCTGACATCCCCCTGGTCAGCCCCACTTTCTCTTGATCCTTTCTTTCCCGAGGCACAGGAAAGGACTTTCCCTGAGATTCCCCTATTGATCTAAAGACCATATCCCGCAAACAGAAACAAAATCATCTCCATATTCCTACATTTCATAGGTCCTGGAAGATTAGAGTTCTATCACAGAGGGGGAGACTGAAAATCTATCACCATTCTAAGACCCCAGAGGAACTTTGCCGCAGGCCACTGTCTATTCTATGGGCTCACTCTCTCCCTTAATAAAATTCACTTACTATCCCCGCAAAACTGCACCCCCCACTTCCTCTGCCCTAGGAGGAGGGCATTTCCTGATGTTCCACAGCTGGCCAAAAGTGAAATGCTGTTGCCTGGTAAGGGGGTGGGCACTTTATCCAGAAGGCAATCAAGCAAAAAGCCAGAGGGCCCTCTCCAGAGCTGCCGTGGGGGTTCCTGCAGTCCACAGAGCAGCATGGGTGTGAACGGCGCCGTCTCACTCCAGGGACCAAGAGATAAATCTAGGATGACAAATGCTGTCCCACGGGCGCCCTCACGAGCACGCTCTGCTGCAGCTTCCGGGTGCTAACTGACTCCAGGTGGCCCTGCTGTGGCTGGGGAGGGGGACCAGCACTAGGGACCACACACGCACAAGGCATGTGACTCAGCGTGGGGCAAAGATCCCCCAAGAAGAACTAAAACGCCCACAACCAGAAGAATGAGAAGTTATACTCCATATATGCGTAAGATGCCCAAACACGTTCTAATATCAAGTATAAGTAATAAGAACAACAATGAAAAGAATATTTTCTTCCAGCTAATTTTAGATTAGGAGTGACGGAGAAAAGCCTGTGAGGTTCATACTTAGGGCTCCGGTCATGGTCACCTTCCTGATGCGTTCTTTGAAATGTATTTACACCCCCACCCCCACCCGCCAGGCCTCTTACTGCTCTCTCGGCCTTTGATGTTCATCCTGCTCCTCGTGCCAGACATCAAGCTCTGATAACTTTTGACAGTTTAATCAAAATAATGAGATCCCACAGAAATAAGGAGAGAATATGAGATGCTCGAACACAGTTGTAGATAGTGCAATTCCCGATTTTGAAAACCCTGTCTTTTCCCAAACTATGTAAATTGTAAATGTTACTGACTTCATTCATTTTTAACTTAGCCTCACTTCTTACAGAAATGACTTTATATTACCAGCTAGTGATCAATGATTTTTTTAAAAAATTATTTCCCTTCAGTTTTTCTTCATAGGTATCAATGTTCACAAGTTATTATAAAGTTAGGGTTCTTTCTTCCATGTAAATGCTGTGCTAACCCTTCCCACACTGCAATTGGATTTCATCTCTACCTCTTTAATTAACTGTACTTCATTGGCTGGTTGTATCATAGTTTCTTTAAACATTTCCCCATTGTGACCCCTATGGGTAATATTCAAAATTTAGTTTAAAAATAACAGTGCAACCAAGATCATAATGCATAGAACTTTTCCCTCATGTTGGATTATTCTTTAACATAAATTCCTATGTGTGTGATTACTGGGGAAAAGGATACAAATATAAAAAATATAGCTCATAAACATTTTTATTTTCCCTGAATTGGTCCTTATGCAGAAAATGGTTGCTTCCCACTGAGGTGCATGGTTGGATTGGGGGGCTCTAAGATCCCTTTTTATTCCTGAGATCTCGCAATTCTAAAATGATGATGCTAAATCTTAATTCAAGAAGCAAGCACCAGCGCATTGTATGTTGTTGGGGATTTCTGATGAGCTAATGACAGTAGCCCTGCTGGTTAGAGGGAACCCCTGGGCAGGCTGGTAATGCTCACTGCCCCCCCCCCCACCGACAGACAGATGGACAGGCAAATGCTGTCTCCTCTCTCTTACCCTGGGTTGTCCCAACCAGAACCACTCTAATTACGAACATGTGTCCATGGCTCCCTTTAAAATGGGCAGGTCCCACCCCATGGAAGCAAAGCCAAGCACAGAACTGTTGGACTGCAATGGCAGACAGTGGCCTGGGATCACAGGGGTCAGCGGGAGGTGGAAGGTGGAGCTTCTGTCCTGGCCAGGGAGACACACCCGCATCTGGCCGTGTCCAGCGGGGGAGAGGGAAAAGGCCCTGCTGATGTTTCCATTCCCCAGCTCCCCAGGGCAGGTAGATGATAAATAAGTGACAATAACAGATTGCTCACCGTCAGAGCAGGCACTTCTTTGCCCCCAGAGAATTGATTTTTAATAACAGTGCAGATGACATGTGGAGGGAGTTGTCACTGACACGGGTGTTTCGTGGGCCTCAATAAATCACATCAGCCTGAGCCGCTGGAAAGGGCAGCTAGTTGGGTGCTGTTCATGGGCCCTGTGCAGAGCCTTGGGGTTCCCAGGGAGGAGGCTGAACGCACAAATGCATAAGTGCTGGGCTTTGGCCAGAGGCTTTCCTGATGGGGCCTCAGTTTCCCCATCTACGATATGGGCACCATCCTCTCAAGCTCGGCACTGTGGCAGCTCATGAGGACATCATTCAAGGGTGACATTCAATAGATCAATTTGTAGCATCTGCCTTTCAAAAAAGTGCAGGACGGAAATATGCACAAACCAGGTGACAGTGGGCCTATGGGGCTGGGGTAGCATAGGGGGCAGCCCTCCTCCTCTAGCTCTCGGAGAACAGTAATAACAAATGAATATTTATCAAGTGTTTACAGAGGCTGGGGCTATACTAAGTGCTGCGTACGGTATCTCATTAAGTCCTCCAAAGACCTGTGTGGCAGTTCCCACAATCGTCTGATTTTATGGATGAGAAAACACAGCAAGGGCTGGACAGCCGAGCCTGGGAAGCAGGGGGCAGCTCCATGGCCATCCAGCCTTTGTGCGGAGCTCGTCTGCTTCAGATGGGCTTCCATTCCCCCTCTAGGGCCAGGTGGATGGAAGGTGTGGGGCAGGTGTGTTGGCTGCAGACTGCCCAATGTTGCCCAAAGTGTAGAATGCAGAGGCAGGGCCCTGGTGTGACCAGGAGTCTCAATTTTCCAAGAGAAAGTGGAAGTTAGAGTTTGTGTGAGAAATCTTATATTGAAAAGTTGGTAATTTTTCCAAACTTTGTTTTTTGAAGCAAGATACCCCAAGAGCCAGCTGTCTGAATGGAAGCAGGGCCCCCACCTCCCATCTTGTGATCTCTGGTGTGTGAATTTTGTTCCCCTTCAGAGGGTGATGGTTCTGGAGGCAGAGGAACACTTGTGGACAGGCTGGTCATTACAGTGGGGCTCAAGTCCCCTACAGTGCTCAGTGCTCCAGGGCAGAGTTCAACCGCACATTATAGTTTCTGCAACGAAGTGCCATTGATCCCGTTCTACACACAAATAAGTGAGACTCGAAGAGGTCAGGTGATTTGCTCAAGGTCCACACATGCCAGTGGGCTTGGACCCCAGGAATGGGTGACTCTCACTTTCTCTATCCCATTAAGCCAATACCGGTCCTGGGTGGGGGTGTGGCCGTGCAGCAGGGAGCCTGGGGCAGGGAGTGTGGCGTGCTTCCCACAGTGCCCACCCTAAAAGCCCTCACTGGCCCGCACTCACAGCACGCGGAGAGACCTCAGCCCATTGAAGGCGTGGACGGGGATGCACCTCAGCCGGTTGTAGCTCAGGATCCTGGGGGAAGGGAGATAGAAGCTGTTGGCTGGTCTACTCTCTGCTATCTGCTGGGGACTGTTGACGCGGTGCACAGTCAAAGCGAACTGTTTCTTCAATATCCCGGTTTGAATACATTGACAAAAGCATCCCAGCGGTAAAGAGTAGGGAAGCCCCCTGGCCGCCCCAGGGAGAGCCCTGGCTTCAGCGTTCCGGGCTCCTTACGGGCTCCAGAGCAGCCTGGGGCTCCCCAACCAGTTTATCCTCAGCCCTCCACCGGCACTGTCTTCCCCTGGGACAGGAAATTACCCCATCAGAGAAGACATTCTACTGGAGCCATCCTCGGAGTCACCAGGCTCCGGCGCCTCTGTCTGCCCAGACAGAAAGTTCCAACCTACATTATTTTCCTGTCATTGACTAAGGTCTACCCTTTGCAGGGACTGCCTCAGCCCTGAGGATGGAAAGAGCAGAGAACCTGGGACCCAGGGGAAAGAGGGGAGAGATGCCCACTACTGCAAGACCCCTGAGCTAGTTAGGAGGAGACTGTACTCACAGAGTGGAGAGGTGAGACATGTTACTGAAGGTGTAATTGGTCAGCATGCCGATGCTGTTGTTACTCAGGTCACTAGGAAAAGTCAAACAGAGGGTCATGTTTACTGTTGGTTGCTTCTGATGGATGCCAGCCCCATGGATGCATTTCGACCATCCGTCCATCCGCCCATCTACCTAACCACGCACCCACCAGCTCACTCACCGGCCTATCATCTACCCACTTATTTATCCACCTACCTGCTCAACTACCCACTTCCCCATTCATCTGTCCATACACCTACCCACCCACTCATTCACCTACCATTCACTCCATCCACCCATCCATCCATCCACTCACCACCTACCCACACTCTCATCCATCCATCCATCCATCCTCCATTCCTTCACTCACCCTCTACCCACCTGCCCACTCTCCTGTTTATCCACTCGCCCTCTCCTCAGTCCTTATGTCCACCTACCGACTCACCCCCATCCCAGTCATTCATCTCACAAGTGTTCATTTATATTCAAGCAGCTGTTGTTCTTCCTTCCCTCCCTCCATTCCTTCCTTCCTTCCTTCCTCCCTTCCTTCCTTCCGCTAGTCAGTCATTCAATTTCAAGTCTACCCATCTGTTTCATTCTACCAACAAAACCTAACACATGTGGTAACAGTCTCTTCTTGTCTAGAACAGTTTTTCCTTGATTCATCCCCTTGTTTCCACAGCGTCTTCACCCTCCCTCCCTCCTAGCATTCATTCACTCCATGGTACCAGCTTCTCTCTTAGGAGAAATGGAGTCATGTTAGTTTCCTTCTCTGCCAACTACAACCTCCAGCTTCTCCTGGGGGATAAATACCCAGAGCAGTAGCCACATGAGCTGCTCATTAGATGATCTGTAGGGCTTTTAGATCCTCCGATGCCGGGGATTCCTGTGCAGATATGATGATTAAGTGCTCCAGGGTGACAATGACAACTACTACTACTCAGGGGGTCCCTCCAACCTCAAGTTCACAACCATTGCTATTGAGCAGTGGTTCTCAGCTGGGGACCCTTTTGCTCTCCCCGTGATATGTGGCAGTGTTTGCAGACAATTTTGGTTAACACCACTGGGGAAACGTTACTGGCACCTAGGAGAGGCCAGAGGAAAAAAGGCAGGAGGGGAGGGGGCTGTGACACCCCCACAACATCCACGGCAGCTGCCCACAGCAGTGAATGACCTGGCCTCCTGCATCTAGAGTCCCCAGGCTGAGAGCGCCTCGTCTAGATGCTGCTGTGAGGGGGATCCAGGAATCCAGGCTGATGACAGTGGCCTCTCTTTCCCAGGGTTGGTGTTTTCTTTCTGGAAGAACCCTGATTGTCCCCTGCACTGCTGCCCAGCTCTCCTGAGTGGCTCTGGAACCCCTCAATTACATTTGCCCACAGGATTACTCTGAGCCCATCTGGCCCCACTGGGCAAGGCGTGGAGCTGTGAGGACCAAGCCCAGGGGCCTAGCTCCCTGGGCTTTGCCTGGGCCTGGGATCCTGCCACTGGAAGACTTGGAACCAGCAGGGCCCCTGATGGCTCCCAGGCTGAGGGCACCTCCTGGGGAACTAAAGGAAGAGGAAGGGGAGATGCCAGTTCAAGCTCTGGGCAAACCTCAGCGCAGCTCCACCTGGGAGAGAGGCTGGAGACTGAGGCCCAGGAATTCTACTCGGCCTTGTCACTTTCCCAAGCCAAGCAGGAGGGTGGCTGAGACGGCCCGTGAAGCCAGGCCCTGTGTTTCTTCAGTACCCCCTGTTCGGTCTTGGGGGATCAGGCTGCTCCTCCTCCAGGGAGGAAGGCTGGCGATACTGCGTCAACCTGCCCGCCCTCCCCACCCTCCAGCCAGCTCCTGAGCTACCCCTGGAAACATGGGTCCCCCCGAGGCAGCTCCTTACATAAGCGTCAGGTGTCGGAGGGCGGACAGCTCTCTGGGCACAGCTGTTAAGTGGTTTCCTTCCAGGTACCTGAAAGAGAGGAACAGAGTGACAACACCTGGGAAGGGACAGTGCACGGTGGCCACGCTGTCAGAGAGGCTGTGCTGAGTCCCTTCTCTCTGCTTCCTCCCATCGCCTCCAAAGCAAACACCACACTTGTCACTTAATGCTTATTTGTGTGATTACTCAGTCAACGATGTCTTCCTCCACTGAGTTGGTAAGTTTCATGAAGACAGGCCCTGGCCCAAATCACCCACCATTGAATCCCCAAGGTTCTTTACACAATGGATACATGATGGGTATTCAATAAACATTTGTTTAATAAATAAAGCTTCCATTGGATGCTCAGCCCTCGAAGTATCCTGCATGGCAGGAGTTCACAGTTGAGGAAGAAGTTCAGAGACGTTCAAGGTCACACAGCAAGCAAGCAGTTGAGGTAGACTTGAACCCGCCTCTCTCTTGACTATCCTCTTACCACAGTTCTGTTCTGGCTTCTGGAGTGTGGTGGGAGAACCGAGCCACAATTTGTCTCAAAAATTCTAATTTGATGTTGAGTATTTGAAAACTGAGGAGAGAGGGGGCATATCCCTATTACCTGGAACACTGTGGTATGGTTCCCAGTAGGCAGACTACATGGCAGGAGGGGACAGGGCTGCAGGAGGAGGATGCACCCAACAGATGCAAAGGCTGCACTCCACTCCACCTGGACTCTGGAGCCCTGCACTGACTTGCTCCATCAGGACAAGCAACCTCTGGGGGCTTGAGTGAGGCTTAAGAGAAAGAGGGACGTCTCTTTGCAGTTATGTGGTCCTGAATTACAAAGGCAATGCTACCCACTGAGGTTACTCCCACCCTCATAAGGGGCATGGACTAGCTCATTCACTGCCAAGGAGCTTGTTAGAAATGAGGATTTTTCAAACTTAACCCCAGACCTGCTGGATCAGAATCTGCTTTCCCAGCAAGATCCCAGGTGACTGACAACAGTGTTAATTTTGAGAAGCACTGAGCTCGCACAACGTAGAGCATGGCTTTCCCCTGCTGGAGCTTGGGACGGGTGCTGGGCAGATGAACGTCAGTGACTGGGGGTTGACAATTGGGAGAGGGGACCCTGGGAGAGCTTTGCGTGGAGGGAAATCCACCCACAAGATCAGAGCAGGTCTGGTAGGCCAACCTAGTGGTTTTGCAATTTCGTTCTGCAGGCTGGCTATGGGGGATGACGCCTGTCTCAGCCCTGCTGGAAGGCACGCTCTGAGTGGTGGAGCATGTCCTCCACAAGGGCAGGGAGAGGGCCAGTTTGGTTTCTTGCTGTATCCTCCAGTGCACAGTATAGGCTCACCCACTTGTTGAATGCACGCATGCGTAGAAGGGCTGTTCATTGGACCCTGGATTAAAAACACAACACATGGTGGTCTGAAGGGAAGCCTGGTGCTTGGCCCCGACACACATGCAGGACAGCCATGCTCTGCAAATGCTTGCATTTTCTGAAGAGCCGAATGAAAGTGCAAGGGACCATGGGATTCTGGGATGCCAACATCATCTTTCAGGGAACGGGGAGGTTCAGGACCCTGGAGGCCAGCAACGAGACAGAGCTGCTTCTGGAGCCGTGGGGGTCTCTCTCTGACTGGTGCTGTGTCAACGTAGCCTCTTCCCTGCCTGGAGCCCTTGGAGGCTCCCGCTGTGTGTTAGAGAAGGGCCAGCCCACTCCTGCCCACATCTGACAAGGCCGTTGTGGTCTCTCCAGTATTAGGGTTCTCCAGAGAAATGGAACCAAATGGAGATCTATGTTTAAATAAAAAGTACAGGAGCTCACGGCTTAGGACTGTACTTTGGCAAGAGGCTCCGATAAGTAGAGTAAAAACCCAGACGGAATCACCCATGCTAAAGGGCACCATCACCAAACCAACACCAGCTGTTTATCTGCCCTTGCAAGAAACCAGTACAAACGAGACAAGATGAGACTAATGGCCGAACTTCCCAAACAGGCCAGTTGTCAACAGGCACAACCCTGAAGTCCCCTCTGCTCTAATACTCATGCAAAACAAGTGACCTGATGTTAACCCATCAGTGACTTTTCTATCGCTCTGTCTCCCTGTCTCTGCCTTATAAGGAGAGTAACTTGGGGGTGACCAAGCCTTTTTTTGAATTTTTTTTTGTGATGGGTGGGGGTCTCCCTGAAGTTACCCATGTGGTCTTGAATTCTCAGGCTCCAGTGATCCCCCTCCCCCGCCTGCAAGGGCTGGGGTTTGGCAGATGCCCTGGGCCCTTGGGACCAGCCCTCTGTTTGGTCTTAGTTTCTGCATTTTTCAGCCCTTCTCCGTCTATAAAAGTAACCCATCCACTCAGCTCATTGGACCCCAAAATAAGCCAATTAAGATCTTTAAACTAAATTTGTTGTGACTTTGTCCTTTGACTATTACCAATCGCTGAAGGGTGGGGAGAATGTGGGTGTATTTGAAGGAACTGGCTCATGATAATGGTGGGACTGCCAGGTTTGGAATCTACACTGCAGCCTGGGGGTAGACTGGAAACCCAAACAGGATTTCTATAGCTTTCAGAAATTCTGAGAAAAAAATTCCTTTTCTCTGGGAAACCTCAGGGTTTCTGTTGTTAGCACCCTCAACTGATTAGGGGAGACCCTCCTTAATGTTTGGGACTGTGATCCCCATTACCCAAGAATTCTACTGATTGTGGGTGTTAACTGCATCCGCAAAATACATTCACAACATCTAGACTGGGTGCTTGACTACTGCCTTGCCAAGTCCACACAAGAAACTGACCATCGGGGCCAGATCATCTCAGGTTCATCTCCCGCCAGGCTCCCCCTTGACTTCTGGTCTTGCGCTTCCTGGAGCACCCCAGCCCTTTGGTGGGGTCATGTCTTGGCCTGCCGAGTCCCTCCTCTCTCTCCTCGCCCCAGCTCCTACGATGCTCGGATCTCAGCTCCCCATGCCCGGGTGGCATCGCAGGGCCCCAGAGCTCTGGGTGTGTTTTCTTCACAGCATTTCACCCCACGGTGGCGTCTCCAGTGTGATTCTGTGATGAGCGTTGGCAGAACATGTCGGTGTCGCCCCCACCGCATCCCACCGCTGCCTGGCAACGCGAGGCGCTGGGGACAGTGGCGGCCCCGGGCTCCCCAGGTGGAGCTGCCCTTGGCACTGCTGAGCCGAGCAGGGGCTGCTTCAGCACAGAACGTCCCCAGTGGACCTGGCATCGGGCTCAGAAGATACGGAATCAAAAGGCCTCCCTTCAGAAACACAGCTGCGGTGTGTGGGAAGCTCTCTTTGAAGGAAGCCCTTGATGGTGACTCTGAACTCCAGTGTTGCCTGTGGCTCCATCCCGGGTCCCCGGAGGGCCCATTTCAGAAGAATGCCCTCCTGCCCCGCCAGCCTCAGAGCTGCCGAGCGTTTCGAGTGGGTCAACCTTTGCACTGACCTGCATTTAAATGCTTGGTCTCAGCCCAGAGCAAGCACGGGAGGGGACATTGGCCTCACATGGAAGTTCACACAGATCCTGGAATGAACGCTGCCATGGCCGCCCGAGCCTCGCACAACCAACAGACATGCACAAAGAACTCTGGGACCAGCTGGGTGTGACAGAGGAGGGAAGCCACCTCCAGGAGACCCTATTCCAGGCTCTGAGCCACGCAGAGCAGCTCAGTAGTCAGGCTTCCTAGGCTCACAACCTGGCTATCTAACCGCTATGTAACCTTGACCAAGGTACTTAACCCGGCACTTCCCAGATGTAAAATGGGGCTTACAATCATCACTAACTTGATGTGATTATAAAGATTAAATGGATAGACCTTAGAGCAGGGCCTGAGAGAAACTTTGAATATATACACATACACATACACACACACACATTTACACACCCGCATCGCCATCCAACAATACATACAAAGATCAAAGGAGGATTCTGACCACTGGTTGTGCATTCTCCATTCTTCCAGAATGATGTTTCTAAAGGAGAACTGTTCTTTCCACTGTCCTGCTTAGCATTCTTCCCTGGCTCCTGCTTTTCCCTGGGGCTGCAGACTCAGCCTTTGCTGTGGCCACAGAACTTGCTTCAACTGCTCCGCACACCTGTCCCCTTTCCTCCTGCAGTGGTCACAGCTGGTGGCCTTCTGGGTTCTATCTTTTTTTTCTTTTCTTTTTTTTAGTTGCAGGTGGACACAATACTTTATCTTATTTACTTATTTTACGTGGTGCTGAGGATTGAATCCAGGGCCTCACACATGGTAGGCGAGTGCTCTACTGCTGAGCCACAGCCCAGGCCCTGGGTTTCTTGAGTACAAGATCCTCCCAGTCCTTGCTCCTCCTTGCTCCCTGCTATTTTCCTGGGAGCGCTAGTCCTCTTCCTATCTGAGATGTCTGCTCTGCTGGTTCACTGCCGCTGCCTTTTTAAGACAATTCTTTTTAATGATATAGGACACCAGGACACCCTGATGTAACCAGGAAGCTCCAATTCAGTCCCCAGCACTCCCTGCGCACTCCTGCTCCCCTCCCTGAATCCACTCATCTTTTTTTTTTTTTTTTAAATTACTGTCCTATGGACACACCCAATGCCATGACCCACCACGCCACACCCCCACACACTTAGGAAAGTGTGGCCAGAATCTTTGCACAGTTCCTCCCTTTCCCTGTCCCTTCTTCTTCCCCCTCAATCCCCTTCTCTACTGATCTTTCCTCTATTTTAATGAAATGCCCCCTCTCTCCCTCCCTCCCTTCCTCCCTTCCTTCCTCCTTCCTTCCCTGGTTACTAGTCTTCTTATTTCTCCCCCACTTGGTTTCGGAGACAGGGACTCGCTGTCACTCCATGCTGAGCTTCAGCTCCCAGGTGTGATAAGCCCAGTAAACACTTGAATGGGCAGTGGGGGGGACCTTCTTAGCTTTCAGCCTGTGCTCAGCCTCCCAGAACCCCTCCCGTGGCCCAGTGGCACCAAGGAGAGTCCTCTACTGATGCCATCTGCTGAGGTCTCCTCTGGAGCAGGGCTTATGCCAAAGATGGGATCAACCCATCCAGCTGGCTGGAGACACATTTCTCTCTCCCTGGGCCAGAGAAAGACAAGGACGCCATCAGTGCTGGGTGGTGACTCTCTTCAGTGCTCTGGGGAGCTGCTTAGCACCTGGGCAGAGCAGGTGCCCTTTTTGGGCAGCAGCTGCCATGGCTGGAGAAGGCCCAGCTGTTGGGGTGGGCCCAGCCAGGATCCAATGGCACCTTGACCCATCCTGAGCTGGGCTCTCTCTGCTTGGCGGCAGGCAGCAGTTCTGAGAGGACTCATGGTGTCGCCTGCCAATCTCCAACAAGCCAGGGCTGCAGGTAGCACTCAAAGATACCTGGGCCTCTGCCACTGAGATAGGGGGTTAGTGACTGGATGTCGGGTCAGACAGACCTGGGTTGAAAGCCTGTACTCTGCTGCTCAGTGGTGATATGATCGTAAGAAAGGATTCAACCAGAGCAGAAGACAAATACTGCATACGTCTCTTGAAGTGGTCCCTCCCGGGCACGGCCCCTCTCAAAGGCAGGACTGCCCTGGACTCCACAGTGCTGCTGTCACACCCCCTTGCTCCCCTTGAGCTGGCAGCCTGGTTCCAGCCTCCCCCAACACCAGTGAGTGCCAGGAGCCACAACCTGCCCGCAGGGATCTGCCCGTCCTCCAGAAACCCGGGACACTCAGGTCCCAAGGCAGGCCCTGGGTGGGGCAGGAGGGAGACTCTCCCTGGAGGAGTGGCCATGTTGCTGAGTCTGGGGATTGAGGCTAAGCTGGCCTGGGGAGGGAGCAGGCCCGTGTCGGGGAAGAGCATCAAGTGCCAGACTGCCTAGCACCTGGGCACTCCCGGCAGGCCATCAGTCCCTGCCCAGTTTGCAGGGCTCCCAGCACAGGCCCTTGACGACCCTCCGTCTTGTGTTCTGGAGCATCTTCAGGGAGAGTGGAGTCAGATGCTCCTCCCTTGCCAGGCAGAGGCCCTGGGGAACTGGGCTTCCTGTTCCCTGTCGGTCACTTTGGCGAGGCTTCCCTGCCATCTTGCTGGAATGCATTCAAGGGCATCCGGCCAGTGTCTGGCTTGAGAGGCTGGGCGCAGTGTGAAGGATGCTGGCATGGGGCTACTTACAGCTCGGTCACGTCCTTGGGCATGCCTTTGGGGAGGACACGGAGCCCCTTGTTGCTGCAGCGCACCACCGTCTCCAGGCAGGTGCACTGCTCTGGGCAGCGCGGGCTCAGCGGGCAGCTGCTCTCGTCGTTACCTGTGGAGAGCCCCAGAGGTGAGCGTGGCAGGATGCGGCGTCCACTAGGGGGCGCAGGCGAGCAAGGCCAGGGCCAGTTGCCACCCAGCTGTTAGCAAAGGCCAGGCAGAGCCTGCTCCAACTCTGGGCTAGAGCCAGGCTGGAAGCAGCTGCTGGCCTCACCCTGGTTGGAGGGGGAAGGACACACACCTGGGGGCATGGAGGGTTCCTGCCCTTCACTGAATTTGACTTAAAGCCTATTAAGGAGGTTCGGTGAGGCTTCCGCACAGAGGAACAAAAAGAGATCCCTGCAAACCAGATCAGGGCCAAGAGAGCGGGCAGGTGGGGGCAGAGCCCTGGCCTCCTCCCTCTTCCTGCTCTCTTTCTCCCCTCCCCACTAAACAAGCCCTTTGGGGTGGCGAGTGTGTCCCTAGGCCCTTTTATTCTTTAACCTCAGTTGATCTGCAAACCAGTTAATCTGTCCTTAGATAATGGATCAGGCAAAGGACAGTGCTCGCTTGAATTTATACAAACAAATATGCCCTCTGGGATCCTGAGACCCAGAACCTGAATTTTCTGTGCTCCTTGCCAGTGACAGGACTTTTCTTGAAATCTGTTTCTCATGGGCACAAACCTTGGACCTCACCATGACACAGACAGGAAAAGCAAGGCCGAGGGCTCCCATGTATAGTTGTGTAGGTTCTGTACAGTGCAAGGGGGCCACACCACCCAAGGGCACTGACCTCACTGTGGACATGGCAGATTAGTCAGCTTGGAAGCCCAGGGCGGCATGAACCAGCTCATGCTTTAGTAAATCGGGATGGATTTTTGAAGATGGAAGAAAATGGCTTCAGAAAGGGGCACCTCATCATTCGCAAGGCGAGCCCCGCAGGCTGGCTGCAGAGCCCCCGGAGCTCCAGCGTGTGCCCCAGGGTGGAGTGGATCAGGTCCCCGGGGATGCGGTCAGCGGCACCTGCGCCCCGCCCCCTCCCTGCTGCCCAGGCTCTCACCGTCACAGGTGAAGTCCTGGAGGGCCACGTCCTGGATGGGGATCTCCTTGAGGAAGAAGGGCTTCTGGCACCTGGGGTTCCCGCTGACAACCCGCCTCTTCCTCAGCCACCTGCCGAGCCAGGCCAGGTGGCAGTTGCAGTTGAAGGGGTTGGACAGGAGGTTTCTGAGGGTGAGAAGGGCTCTCAGGGCCAGCCTTGCCCTGCTGCCCTGCGCAGCTCTGGGACCCCACTGCAGGTGGCAGGAGAGGCCAGGCCCAGGGCCTGCTGTAGCCCTGCCCTGGACACACAGATGGCTCCCCGCAGCCCTGCTGTGGTCCTGCTGAGGAGCAGGACTGTGGCCTCCTGCCAGGGCCTCTGCTACTGCTGGGGCTCCAGCCGCCCTGCCTCCCACTCTTCCATGGAGACCTTCCTCCACCTGGGGCCTGGCCCCCACCCTCTTCCCTGCCCAGGACGCTCGCTCCAGCCTGCCTGGCCCCTGTCACCTGCGGTTCTCAGTTTCACCAGCACCAGCAGGTTGAGGGGACTTCTCTGAGCTCAAGTGGGAGGCAGCAGCCTCCCGGCCTCTCCCTTCCCCTCCCGGGTGGCTGTCAGCGCTCCTGATGGCTTCTGCCCTTGTTTACTACCTGCCTGGCATTCGGAGCCCAGGTTCATGGGGTGGGGCCATGGCTCTTGGCCTCTGTGTCTGGAAACTAGCACATTTCCTACAGGCACTCGTCCCCTGGTGGGTGACAAGGCTGACTGGAGCAGGGAGAGGGGCAGCAGCTTCTGCCACCAAGTCTGCTCCAGGACAGGGCAGCTCCACACACCTCACATGTCTGTGACCTCACTCACACTGTCACAGTCGCCCTGGGAAGGAGGGGACATTATTCTCATTTCATAAATGAGGAAAGGATGGCCCAGGGAGGTCACCTAAGAGGGCCAGAGAGCCCTCGAGTGGCTGCAGTGTCACGGTCACCCAGAGCCCAGGCGTCAGCTGTCCCAGCAGCACCTTTCCCCTGAGCCTCGGTAGCTGCGGAAGTTGGGCCCGTTCCTCCACGAGGAAGCGGTGCCCTCGTGCTCCGTGACCTGCCCCTCTGAGCATCTAACTTGCCTTTTGTTAGGGAGGTCCCTGGGAACGGCTGAAGATGGGCCACAGTGAGCCAGCCCACGCTGTTGTTCCCAGCTGACAGACCCCCTGCTGAGGACACACTCTCATCCCATTCATTCGTGCATTTGGCCACGGTGGCCTGGGCCTCTGTACACTCATAGGCTGGCATCTGCTTAAGCTCCTCACAGGTGCAAGCCTCCAGGACACAGCGGGGAAGGGACAGCTGTGTATCCCTGTCCTTCCAGAACTTAGATGACAGGAGGCAAGCGATATGCGACTGGTCGTGGATGAGCAACGTGTGGCGGATCTGAGGAGGTAGTCAGTGTTAGGAGAGCAGGGCTCAGGGGACAGGAGGATGCAGAGGGGCATGGGGTGCGGTAGGTGGCACTTGAGCAAAGAACAGAGGGGTCAGAGGCTGGGAGGAGGGTGCCAGGTAGTATGAAGGGCCAGCAGAGTTCCAGGAGGGAGTGGGCTGGGTGGGAGAGGTTGGAGGGGGTCAGTGGAGCTGTATGGGAGGCAGGGAGGCCAGGCAGGTCATGAGGGAATGGCTACAACTCTCAACTCACAACTTCCAAGTGACATGGGCATGTGGATGGGACAACGGGTGGCAATAGGAACTGCAGAAACTGCCTTTTTTTCTTTTATCTTCTAAAGGGTGTTTGGAGAAGGGAAGAGATGGAAAAATTAACTATCAACAAAGGACAGCAGAGCCATGTGGTGTTGGGTCCTTTCTATTCGGCAGGCCCTGGCTCTGCGCCTCAGAAACTGCAGCGACCCAGCCTCCTAACAATCCCAGGAGGTGGATCAGGGGAAGTAGCAGCCTAGGGATGAAGTCCCTTTCCAAGGCCACACAGCCAATGAGAGGCAGAGCCAGGGTTTGGATGTAGGAAATTTGGCTCTAGAGTCACAGCCTCCTTACTGACAGGGTGAACCCTCAGGGTAGGAGCACTCACTGAGGTGTCCAGAAAGCTGGATTCAGTCCCTGCTGGTCACATCACTGGTCTACTTCAAAGTCCCATTGTTGTTGACTCACATTGGATGAAGACTAAACCAGCCAACAGCCACCTTGCAGCCCAGCCCTGGCCTCCTCTCCAGTCTTGCCTCGTACCAAGCCTCTCACACTCAGTGCTATGGCCATGCTGGGCTTGCTCAGCTCCATGTATTGTCTATGCTCCAACTGACCCCAGGGCCTTTGTGCATGTCTTCCTGAAGGATATGTATTTCCTACTCTCTTCCACAAGCTAACATTCCAGAATACAGCACCAGTATTTCTCAACAAAGCCTGTGTTGGGTTTTCACACCACTGTGGACCTCCCTACAGCAATTCACTCTGCTGTGAGCTCCAGTGGGGAGTGCTGGGTCCGTATCCTCAGTACCTACGTGAAGCCCAGAGTACAGGGAGCCTGCAAAGTTCTTTAAGTAGACAGAGGGATATGTGACCATGGCCTCAGACAGCAAGGAGCTGGGGGACGGTGAGGTCTGCACAGGGGGACCAGGGAGACTCACATGGTGGACAGGGAGACGAGCGTGGTGAAGGCCCCAGGGGTGATGGTGGTGATCCGGTTGTCGTAGAGGGACAGCAGCCTCACAGAACTCAGGCCTGCGAAGGTGTCATTGCCCACGCAGCTGATCATGTTGCTCCTCAGCATCCTGCAGGTTGTGGGAAGAGGAGCACAGGTGTCAAGCCTTCCTCCTGCACACGGCACATAGCGGCGGGCGTGTGACTAGTGGGGTGCTCCCGCCACCCCCAAGCTGGGCTCTCCAGGCCGCTCAAGTTCGACCTGTAAATGCAAGGCCTGGATCCCTGGGGCCAAGTGTGATCTTGCTTGTGCGCTCCACTTACTGCGCCAGCGCTGAGCGTGCATGTCCCCCTATGCTCATGCCTGTGGCTGCTGCGGGGAGAAGGGAGAACCCACGGGTTGCTGTGCACTGCCTTGTGTTCACGCCCATGTGGACAGGTGTGTCTGCAGGTGCTTGTGGGCCTGGGGCATGTGTAAGTGTTGTGCCATTTGTACAAACACGTGCACATGTGCATGCTTGTGGGGAAGAGTGTGCTGTGGCCACCTCCATGGGTTTCTGGTCTGATGTGTTTGGGAGGGTGCATCATGGAGTGACTCCAAGTGGCGTGTCCAAGTGCCATGCTGACCTCTTCCCCTCACGGACTGGGAGGTGTCCAGGGCTCCGGCTCCACAGGTCAGGATGGTGCGTGGTGCCCCGCTGCCTGCCCTGCCCTCGGCCTCCCTCCAGACTCCCAGTCCACTCACAGGGTCTTGAGGCCGCTGAGGCCCCGGAACATGCGCCCGTGCACGGCCTCCAGCTGGTTCCCGGTCAGCATCAGCTCCTGCACACCGGCCGCCCCATCGAAGGCCCCCTCTCGCACCTCCTTGATCTTGTTGTTGCTCAGGTTTCTAGAGGAGGAGGCAGATGGGGGACCAAGGGGGTACAGGGTCAGGACGCGGGGGAGCCACGGCCCTGGGGACTGGAGGGTGCAGAGCTGTCATGATTCCCCTGACATTTGTCCTTAGACCCTGTGAAGCAGGAGCAAGGGCCCCACACAGCAGACGGCTTGGGAGTGAAGTGTCGTCACAGTGACCCTCTTTCCTATGCCCTGGGGACTGGCGGACTTAAAACAGTGATTCTCTAACTTCTTTTGTGTCCTCCCCAGATTTTCTCATTAAGTAGTGGTTCTCTAGAGAAGAGGGCGGGGAAAACAAAATACATCTCCTCCCATAGGGAATCCCACCAGAACCCCAACATCAGCAGGCACTTCTGTTTGTATTCAATGAGTACTTATCATATTCCCCCAGGAGAGAGATCCAGCCTTCACAACCATACCCCAAACACCACCATCCATCAGACAGACCCTGCTGCACTCCCATCTTACAGAAGAGGAGACCTAAGTTCAGAGAGATTAGGTAGCTTGCCCACAGTCACACAGCTGAGAAAACGGGGATTGGAAGCCAGGTCTTCTTGCATGTAAAAAGCGCTACACTGAACTATCCCCTTCACAAGTGAATATTTCTTTGATGATGCAGGGCCTCACTCCGTGATGTCACCAGCTTTGCAGAATTCAGGACTGGGGATAGTGTGTTTCTTAAAGTGAGCACTCAGTGTTGTCACTTATGGTTCTGCTCCAAGCTCTGAGGGCAGGTCCCTCCCTCCAATCCTCACACCCACACCCTGCCACAGAAGAGGTAGAATGGCAGGCCACGACACAGGCCTCCTAGACTCCACCTGACAGGGGAGGAGGGGTCTCCAAAGACCATCCAGATGTCCAGCCCTGAAGGCACCCCTGGCCAGTGGATGGAGCCAGCTGAGGGAAGGGTCTAGCCTCCCAGAACACAGCCGAGCCCTGCACAGAAAAATCTTCCGCAAGCAGGAGACTCCTTGGCTGCAGAGAGCCTGCCTGCTCGCCAAGCTGCTGAGGTCCCTGGAGCACGCCAGGTGGCCTGGTTATGAGGCCTGGAGGGGAGGGCTCTGCTTCAGGTTACAGGGAGGGTACCCCAGAAGGGGCCACAGGACCACCCCAACTCCCTCTCCAGCTCACAGAGCTCTGCGCTGACCAGTAGCAACCCCAGTGGGTGGAGCCTCCCTTAGGGACTGACCTGGAGCTCGTGGTGAGCCAGGGTCTCCAGGGCTCCCTGCAAATCTCCCTCCCTTTCCCCGAGAACCAAGCGGGCCACTAGAGAGCCACGATGCGGAGCCTGTGGGCTGGAGTGGAGGGGACAGTCCTTCTTTGGAAGCATGTGCTCCTTGTCTTGACCTTGGTCTCCTCCCCTTTCTGTCCTGCCCAGAGCACAGGAGGCCACACCCCCAGGCCCTTCCCCAGATCTGGGAGTGGGCGTGGGTTGTTCCCTGGGGTCTCCGTGGCTTTTCTTATCAATCCTGGTCACCCTGCCCCAGGCTGACCCAGGAATGGAGGTAATGTGTTGGGGAGACTGCAAATTACCCCCAAATTGGATGTAGGAGGAGAGATGAAGGTTCTCCCGGCAGCCATAACTCACCACAGGCTGCAGGAGAGGTTGGCTCCAGGGAGCCCCGAGCTGCGTGGGGATTAAAGTCCAAGGGCCAAGCAATGAAGATGAGTTAGGGCAGCTCTGAAGTGGGAGGCCTCCCATTTCCTGACATCTGTTTCTTTAAACGAGCAAAATTAACATCACATTACTGGAAGGTTTGTGAATTGCATTTCCTTGGGCTGGGAGAATGAAAAACAGAAGGGAGGCAGAGAGGGGTGGATAGAATTTTCCTGAAGGGCCAGCGCTGCTCTCTCCATCCATCAAAGCCCTCCTCACTGCTGCAGGCTGCAGAGAGGCGGGGTGGGGAGCACAGCCTGGGTGGACACTCCAGGAACAGCTGAGGGCTTCTGGGGTTTGTAGAGCTCTGATATTCCCACAGCAGGCATTCCCCAAGGGGCTCCCCCACAGGAAACCCCACCATGCAAATCCAGGGCCACCAGCGGCCTCTCCTCTCTGCAGCCCCCATGAAGGAAAACTGCTGCCTTGGGCCTTTGCCTGAGGAAGACGGGCACTTACACCCGAGGGCTCAGCCTTGTCCACTCACCCTGGGGACAGGGACGATGTAGAGGGGTCTCCCCCAGTCACACAGAGGTCTTGGAGCCGGTGGATTCGTCGGGCTGCTTGCCCGGGCCCAATGAGGCAAGGCCTGGCTGCTCCAGGTTTCAGTCTCTTTAGGGTTGCGGCCAGCCCATTAGTTCTGACTACGGGACGGGTTGAAAGCCTGGTCCCAGTTAGAAATGCCATGGGAAAGTTAAGTGGAACTTTCTGGAAAAGGTGACCGCTGAGTCATGCTGGAGCACGCGCTCCGTCTTGCTGTCAGGATGGGGAGGTCCTGTTCACCCCCTAGGGCCCCTTCCCTCCCTCTGAGGTGGAAATTCTCTTGCAGTTGGGATGGCAAGCCCAAGTATTCTCAGGGTCCAGGTAGTGACTTAATGGTGACTGGGAGCAGGCCAGGAAGGGTGAAGGGATCAGGAGGCACACGCCCCAGCTAAGGGGGCAGCTGCTTCTCAGTTCAACTCAACTGGACCCCCTTGGGGATGTGGATGTTCCAGAAGGTGCCAGAAATCCACACTTTCTGGTTTCTGTAAAGCCTCCTGGTTTTTAAAGGTGAGCATGTTATGCTAATACGTTTTAAATACCAAGATCACATTTATTAACTTCATATTATAGTTTGTCCAGAAGTTATTGTAAGTTGTGTATCTTTGAAATATGTGCCAGTCACTCTGGTGTTCTGAAATGTTGCATTTCTCTAGAAATAATAGCTCTCATGCACTAATGCAAAATAACACAAACCAGGAAAAGAAAAAAGTGAGCAGCAAATTCTTCCACCACGGGCTGATCCCCTGGCGCGCCCCTGACTCTGGCTGGAGGACCACCGGTTTTCAGCCTCTGGTTGAGCTTCTCCTTCAGCATTAGAGTTGACCTGGAAGTCTACCTAAGAGAGGTCTCAGTGGCTCTCTGCATCTGACGTCGTCCTCCTTCCCTCCCTTCTTCCTTCCCAGTGCTGGGGGTGACACCCCGGGCCTCATCACGCTGGGTGAGCACTTGACCACTGCTCTGCATCCCCAGCCATGGTCTTGCTGAAATGCTGCATTGAGCTCCCACAGCAGTGAGGATCCTGTGCCATATCCCAGTCAGAGGTGCTCCCGTCTGCGTCCCTGAGTATAGGCAATGCCCAAGGGGACCCCACGAGGAGGGCTCAGCCCCACTCTCCCACCTGGCGGGTAGGGCCAGAGGTTCAGAAAGCCATGGAGTCCTACCACCTGGCTCCGTGCTCACGATCCCTTGCCTGAGTGCCCTAAAAGGCGGAGTCAAGAAAGGTGACTGGAGGACCCTGGCCCCAGAGTCCTCGAGGAAACTTGGCAGGCCCAGGCCTGGCTAGCTTTGGCTACACGGCTGGGCAGACATTGGGAGGGACCCGCCACCTCCAAGGAGGGGCCCAGCTGGGGATGTGTCTGGGACACAAGGATCTTTGGTTGTTGTTGTGGCAGCTGGAGCTGGTGGCCTTTGGGATCAGCCTTGCCCCTTGGGTCACTGGTTGGTTGGCTGATCCTCATGTATATACATGGCTTTGTGCCACACCAAGACACACACTCGGCTACTGCCTTCCATGGGACACAGGCTCCCTGCTAACCTGCTCTGTCACCACTTCTGGCTCCTGGCTCTGCCACTCGCCTTTTGACCTTGGACAAGTTACTTACTACTCTGCTTCAGCTTCTTCACTTGTGAAATGAAGTGATATCAAAGTTTTTCTCCGGAGAGTTAAAGGAGGTAATGTCAGTAGCATCTAGCACTGAGTAAAGCACCTGAGAAGAGCCACTGCCACCTGTCATTATTGCTATCATCATGACTCTGTCCAGCCATGCTCCATATGTGTCCCACTTTCCAGGCTCCTGAAAGTGTCTGAGTTCTGGTTTTAGTTTTTAAATTAATTATTTTTATTTTAATTTTTAAATCTGTGCATCATACCTGTACCTAGCAGTGGGATTTTTGTACGCACTTGTAATATCGGTACATGTAACAATATGACGATGGACCTCGGTCAGTCTCGCTCCCCAGCTCCTCCCTGTTAAAATGTCTGATCAGCCACGCTGCTGCTCCTCCATCTCCTGCACCTCTCTCTGAGCCGCACACCCAGCCCCGTATTCACTTCTGATCCCCATCATAACTTGCAAGTAAGGTGAATTTATTTCTATTATACAAATGCTAATAAAACTAAGGCCTACAAAGGCCAGGGACAGTCCCCTGATCACACAGCTGGAGAAGGTCCAAGCTGAGGCCACAGGGAAAACAGGTCTGCCTGCAGGTTCTCCCCATCATCTAGACACTCTTCAGAAGTGGGGACACTTGGCAGGCCTGACCTTCATTCCAGTGTGGCAAATAAGGGGATGAGCCTTGCCCCTTTGGATGAGAGCTGGGCCTACATTTATCACAGCCCCCACTCCTCCCTTTTGCTGCTGGGTCGCTGAGGCTGAGGTCAGCAGTCCCTCATATGTTTGTGCGAGTGTCTCCCAAAGTCGGCTCTCTATGCTTTGTCCCTAGCATCTGTCTGTAGGGAGGCACAAAGAAGGGGAGTCACACCTGAACCGGGAGAATGTGTGTTTCTCTGCAAAAGTGAAGGCTGTCTGCTCCTGTTCGCCAGGCCCTGGGCTGTCCTGACTCTCCTAGCACCAAATCCATAGGTGGGTAAGCTTCTGCCTCAAGGTCAAAACAAGCACGCATCCCTGGTATGAACTGGGAAGGACATCTCCTGGCAGGTGATGGGTGCTATTTGGCTGGGTCCCCGAGGTCCGTGGAGTGCTGGACCACAGTGACAGCTCAGAGTGCTCTGCACTGCCCACAGGTACAGACCAGTCCCTGGGGCTGTGGCCAGGGTGGTACTGTGGGCAGGGAGAGGAGGGGCCAGAGCAGCACCAATGAGATGTGATGCTGCCCAGGGCCTAGGAGGGGTCTGTCCTCCCTGTCCACAGGGTGCTGATGGGTGGGGTGCAGAGAACAGAAAAACAATAAGGAGTCATAGCCAATTCCCATTATGAATGGTAGTCACATTCTGCAAAGTCACCAGGTCCCCTGAATTAGCAAACACAGAGCTGTGGCTCCCGGGGAAACACAGGGTCAGGTCCTAGGAGGCCTTGCCCACAGCATTTCATCAACTCATCAATAGGAGACTTGCTTCATGAGTGTTTCTGCTTAAAGACACCTTATTTAATATGTTATTGATTCATTAACATTGAACTTGCAGCCCGCAGCAACGTGACTCCTGCCTGAACGGAAGACGTTCCCCAACACACGTATTTCCTCCCCAGGCCCAGCACAGGCTTCTCAGGCTGAGCACAAACTTGCAAATTATGTGGCCCTGAATAAACCACAAAGGGACACTTGTTTACAACACGAGGGCTGAACACAGCTGGCGCACCAGCTTTCGACATCAGCGGGGAATGTGTGTAGGGTGACTGAGTTCTCCCCTGCAGTGGACTCCGTGCATGGCCAAGAGTGGCCTTGAAAGCAGGAACAGTCTCGATTGTGGAGCTACATAAATTCTAGCCAGCAGGTGGGTTTGCAAATATGTACTCTGAATAATGAGGACGGACTGTGTTTCCCTTGCTTTGGAAACAGACCCAAATTCTGGGGCCAAGGGAGATGGAATAGGGGGTGGGGGAAAAGGGTGTCAAAGAGAAGACAGCCTTGGAATCAGACAGCAGAGACCATCTCTGTGCTGGCTTCCTCTGCTGGGACACCCAGGAAGGGAGGAGGAGGGAAGGAAGCCCAAACTCACACTAGTGTGACTGTAGGTGGATCCAAATTTAAGTACCAGTTCTGATACGTGTTTGATGTATGGTCTTAAGAGAAGTCACTGAATCTCTCTGAACCGCAGTTCCATGACCTATATGAAGGGGACTGTGAAGCCAGCACAAGATGGGTGAGTAAGGACCAAATGACCAATGCATGTCCGACAGGGCACATGGCCCTGGGTCAGAACAGGTACCCTAATAGCATGGCAGTGTTATTTTTGTTACCTTTGTGACTTGGTCCCACTTGGGCAGGGAGAGGGTTATGACAGAGGACAGCCCGGGAGCAGAGAAGAAATAAAACGTGTCCTCTGACTGAGCCCAGGCTCTGGTCAGATCCAGGGACCCCCAGACTAAAAGCCAGTGTGAGCATAGCTGACAGCCTTCCCACCATGTGCCTGGGGATGGAGACACCTCGACTCCACCTACCAGCCGGCCGCGAGCTGTCCACTTGTCAGAATGGCGAGTGGCTGTGCCGGGATGCCACACTCCATTGCTGGTCCTCACCCGGGGCCCAGCTCTTGGGGTAGTGGATGTGGGGTGGGGTAGGGCTGAGCAGAGGGGCAGTGGGGTCAGGGATGCTGTGGGCACACGCTTATCACAGCATGTGACCATGAGACACAGCCACATTTCATTTTGGCCGTGTCTGTCTGTCCTGTAGCCCAGCACAGGCCAGGGCCGGGGTCAGCAGGAGGCTGGGAGGGGCTGCAGCAGGCGAGGGACCCCAGTGCCCTGGCTTCTGCTCTGTCTGAACAAGACCCTGGTCAGGGAGTGTGGTGGCTGCCGGGCTCCTGAAGTTCACTTACATTTTCCGCAGGTTCGGCAACTTCTTGAAGATGCCTGTGGCCTCTAGAACAGATATCTCGTTGTCATTCAGTCGCCTGCAGGGAAGCAAGAAGGCGAGGGGGTGGGTCAGCTGGGGTGAGGCGCCTCCTTCACGCCCTCTGCTTGGCTCCCTGCATGGCTTTGACTGAGAGGCCACGACCTCGCATTCAGCTAGGGCCCCCAGAGCCATGGGACTCGGCAACTGGGCAGCCGCAGAGTGCGGTAGGAGAGGGAGCATACTCCTCTTCCCCTGCAGGAAACCCCTTCAACCTGGATGGAGAGGCCTTCTGGAATATTCTCATGGGCATCCACGAGAAAATTCAATCGCCAAGTGTCTGCCTTCATTTTGTGGGAACCTTCATTTTGTGGGTACCTTCATTTTGTGGGTACCAGTGGCAACCTAGAACACACTGGGAGGCTTTTACAGCACCTTGCCAAGCTGCTCAGCTCCTTCCTGAGCACTGTGAACGCGAGCAGCCCTGAGGCTCCATGCCCAACATTCCTACTGGCACAGGGAGAGTGGTGAGCAGCTAGGCTGGACCTTCCACGTCCTGTGGGGATTCCAGAACTCAAAGAGAATGACATGATCCCAGCCCTGCCTTCACTTATTTACCCAGGGCCTGCTCTGGGCCAGGACTCAAGATGAAACTCTGTGCTCCTCTCCTTCTTACTCTTCCCAGCGGATGCCCTAGTTCTAGAGCTAGGAAATGGCCTCAGACACGAGAAGCAGCTGGCCGATTTCAGGAAGACTGCAGGGAGCAGGTGTCAGGCTCAGGTCCCTCGGCCCCATGGGCTGCACTTTTGCCTTACTAAGGTATGAATTTGAGCTCTTCCTTTTTTGGGATAAACCAATATAGCCCTTCAGTAGCATGGCAAACAGGAAGGTCAGCTATATCTAATCATTCTAGTAGTTTTCTTGCTTTATTACAGTTTTTAATTATTTAATCCCAATCTTTCTGGTGGCACTATAAGCTCCCCAGGGCCAGCAGAGGCTGTCTGCCTGCTCTGGTCACTGAAGATGGACCTGGGCATCATAGATGAGACCAGCACGGGGCCTGGCTTCCCCTGAGTGCTCAGGATGCATTTATAGAATGAATAAACGGATCTTCCTGATTAAGAGCGAGCCGTCCGTGCATGGCCAGGTGTCTGCCTTGGCTTGTTATGCAGAGGATGCCCAAGGAGTGGCCCTGCAACTAAGCCAGAGGGGGCCACCTCCAGGAGACCCCCCCCCCTGGGCTGGTGGAGGGTGACTGGGGTGCAAGGGGAGGGGAGGATGTTCACACGCAGGGTGGGACTTACAGGTCGGTGGCATATTCGGGGATGTGGCTCGGGATGCGGGCCAGCTTCTGGTTGGAGCAGTCCACAATGGTGCCCTCACAGCGGCACTTCTCGGGGCACACGAGGTCCATGAAGCACTCGCTGCTCAACCGGCTGCGGTAGTCCTCGGAGCCTGGGCGGGGCCAAAGAGGGGCGTCAGCGTCATGGGTTCCCTCGCAGAGGGCCTGAGGCTGTCCATAGTGGGGGAGGGGAGACAAACCAGCCCCATGAATTGAGGTGCGTGTGGGGGTCACACGACATACACGGCATCACCGTCATTGGTGGGCACCGCAGGGCGCCCTGCCCCGTCCCTGCCACTTTTCCTGTGATCTTTGTCACTCATCTCTTTCATCCTTAGGGAAACCAGGCTCAAGAATCCGGGGCTCTTATGCTTTTGTGGGCCAGGGACCTGTTTGAGAAGCTGAAGAAAGTCATGGACCTTCTGCTCAGAGAAATACCGCAGGCTGCATGGGTAGAGAATCCAGCCTCCAGTTTGAGGGAGGCTCCCTGTTCCATGAAGCCTACCACCCACAGAAGCTCTAACTGTTCCTCATGACCCAAGCAGAAGAGATTTTGCTAGGGCTTCTGTGGGGCTCCCTCAGGGCTGGGAATAAGGCAAAGGAAGAAGTGCAAACTCAGTTGTCTTTTGGGGCTTGACAGTAATGAAATGAACAGAGGAAGACAAACCTGTGGTCCTAAGTGACCACTGACATAGGGCCTCAGTTACTGGCAAGACAGTGATGAGGGTTGGGCAGGTGGGGGTTTGGAGCCCACGACTCTCATGATTGGGAATTTGGCTCTGAGTTGCCCAATGTTTCTTTTCCTTTTTATTTATTTATTTTTTTTCCTCAAGAGAAACCAGGTATTTAAAAAATATTGGTATTGAATTCAAGTTTGAAACACTGTGAACATAAGCAGAACACATTTGAGGGTCGGCTCTGACCTCTGTCTTAGAGACTAAGTCCTATTTAACTATAGTGCAAGGGCAGTTCCCATGAGTTAAAAGTTGGAGCTAAGATTTATTTTTTCAAAATTGCATTTCTCTCAAGGTCATACAGCAATGGCAAGGAGACTGACAGTCTGATGTCTCTGAGAGGTGCCCTGGGGAGCAGCCGGCAGACCTCAGTGAGCACATGAATTATGCTGGCGGTAATGGGGGTCTCCTGTTCTCCTATCAGACGGGAGTTCCTTGCTGGCCAGGTCTTTTCATTCTCTCACTCCACATGCTGCATTAGCACCAAGCTAGGAAAACAGGGACTTGGTCCACATGGGCCCATGCATGTGGGATGCCTCCAGCACCCGAGTGTCCCATGTGCATTTCTGAAGCGTCTCAGAGTATGGACGTGGCTTGTTGGCAGAGCCAGCTGAGCGATACCTTGGTGATCTTATCTGTGACCTTATGGGGCGCTAGTAGTCTGCAGGTTTCAGCAGCAGAGGGCATCAGCTTGGCCAGGCTTTGCTGTGAATTAGCCTGAGCCTCTCCACAGGTGAAGTGCAATCAAATAGCTGCTCCTACCTCACCCGGGTTGGTATGAGGCTGAGAGCAGGATCCAGGAAGCGGAGCCTCTCTGGGAGAGGCAGGTGGAGTGTGGGTGCTTGTGGTTCTATTTCTGCTCCCTTCTCTGCCACCTGGCATGTCAGAGGCCACTGACGTCAGGGGGCCGATGTACGAGCTGCTACTTGGCCAGAGCCAGGCAGTCTCCTCTGAGCTTGGGTGATCCCATGGAAGCCCTGCAATACCCCGAGTTTCCATTTTATAGATGAGGAGACTGAGGCCTACAGGGTACTATGTGCATGGCGAAGGGATGAACCCAGATAGGCTGCTGCCAGGGGCCATGTAACCAGCACAGTGCATCACCACAGAAGTGCTTTTAGACCAGAGCTTCATCCTGTGCCTCTGGGAACGACACACAGTCAGACGTGGTGGTGGGGGTGACATGTGGGATTCTGCTCCGGTGGGCTACAGTCAGGCAGAAGGCAGGTGTCTCCCTCCCTCGGGGTTCCCTCCCTTCCTACTACCTCCCCGTGGTAATTGCTGATGGGGGATGAACCTGGTGGTCTCTGCTCTGAAGTGGACTATCAACCCCAAAGCAGGGAGCCAGAAACCTGGCTGTGTCCTCCTTTCTCCCTCTGCTTTCTCCCCATCCCCACTTCATCCAGCTTCCTATCCCCAGGCTCATGTGAACGGAATGGAGGCCCGTGTCCTTGTGATTTAGATGGCTTCCTGGCCCAGTGTATAATGCACATCTCCTGCCCGTGGCTTGCTGACATCGTCCCACTGAACCCCGACACCTGGGCAGGCCGGGTTGGGTGAGTTCCATTTGTGAACCCTGCCGAGGCCCACAGGGTACTTCCCACTCTTGTGCCCTGCTGGTGGGTCCACGTGGCAATGGTGTGCAGGGGCGAGTTGCACGTGTGCATCTGTTTTCCCTTTGCAATGTGTCTACAACGGGATCCTTGCAGAGCCGACGACCCTGCCTGCCGATCACAGGCAGAAAGACAGTTGGGGACACGGTTTGCTCTTCAACACAAAGAGCCTGAAGACATGGCTGGCTGGGGATAGCCGCCTGTTAAGTGCATTTTCGTTTTAATCAAGGTGAGAGCGGCCATGGTTAGCGGGAATCGCTCTCAGTGGTACAGTTAGATTATAATGGCGGACCTCTATGGTGGAGCCGCTGACCCATCTTAATGAAATGATTTTGCAATTAGATTCGATGGACTAATGTGCTCTTTCTAGCATTTCTCCCCCTGCTGTTTTTGTTATTGCCCTGGTTTGCAATAATGAGGGGGGTCGGAGAGTGATATTTCACGGGAGCCAGAAATGTTCATAACGGCGTATGTACATAACCGAAAAAGTGGGTTCCCCAGTTTCAGCCAGCCCGAAATGCCACCTCCATCACTTCATATTTCATTACTGAAACTACCCAGGGCTTCTCGGAGCCATTTGTTATGCCTAATGCTCATAACTACCCAAAAGTATTTTTAACTTTTCCAGAGCTTTAAAAGTCAATTTCAATCTCAATGCATATTTTTCACTGCCAGAAATACTTAGTAGGAGGGAACCAGTCGAATCAGGCAGCTGCTTCTCTCTTTGGGGCGGTTCAGACAGGAGAGATCTCGGAGGACTCGGAGAAGGGCCATAAAACTCAACCCTGGCTGAGGTGCGCCCTGGGAGTGCTGACGTCATCTGGCATTGTCCTGCTCCTGCCCCTGCAGCCCTCCTCCCCTTTTGTGAGCAGCTCAAGACGATGACACTGGTAGTGGTCACAGAGAAGCTTTAATAGACAAGGTGGGGTGAAGGTAGACATCCACAGCACGAGACTTTACTAGGAATCCGGCCTCTGGCCCCCTCCTGGGAGGGACGCATGTGACATGTGAGGGGCCTGGGACTGGGCAGCAAGAGCTCCTATTCTTTGGATAGATTGGCTGGGCTGATTAGGGGCCAGTACCAGTCCCAGGTGGATTGGAAGTCACCAGGACATCATTATCTGATCAGCAGGGATCTGCCAACTGCTGTGGCCAGGGCTTTCCTCTGTCCCCAGTAGCCCTCTGATCAGTGGAATGAGAAAAAGGAGGAAAAGGGCAGAAAGAGGAACTGGGGGAGCGTGACGGCCTTTTCAGTAGCTTGGAGAGGAAGTGATATGGACAGGAGGCTGCAAGTGTGAGTGGGTCAGAGGAGCGCTGGCAGGCACACAGACGTCCACGCACAGGCAGGGCCGGGACCTGACCCCAGGGGCCGGAAAATGCTACCTGGGTTAGCAGGAGTTTGGCCAGCAGTTGTGCAGTGAGGTGTCCTAAGCTGTCCCCACTGGATCTAGTATGAGTGCATCCAGGGCTGGAAGCAGAGAAGCTCATGGTCATGAGCTTGGTGGTAGGGCACAGTATGGATCCACCACCCAAGCCTGGCTCCTGGCATGGTGGGGCAGTGGCAGGGAACTCAGAATTGTCGCTCCATAAGGGAGGAAAGGTGTCCCAGGCTTGAGAGATCCTGGCATGTTCCTGCTGGAGAGGCTGAGCCATTTAATTCCTCCTTACTCAAGTTACTGCTGATAACAGATGTAAGCTTGGAAGGGAACATCTGAGAAAACTTTCAGCTCCCTATGGATTCAAGCCAGGGATCGAAATGTTTTCTAATTCAAGGTAACAGGGATGTGCTCAGCCAGGAAGGCTGAGGGTAGAAGGGGCAGAGCTCAGCCAGATGGAGGCAGTTTTTAGTGATGGGGCCAGATAGCCAGCCTCTCTGAGCCTCAAGAGCCTTACTTGTACAATGGGACTCGGTGATGTAAAACATCACCAGGCCTGGCCTATTGCAAGCACCCAGTATGTGTTAAAAAATTCAGAGAGGCGAGTAGGATGCCCCATTAGTCATCAATGGTAGGAACTGGCCCTGCAGGGCAACCGGAGGGAGATATGATGAGAGTCCTAGACTTTGATGGGAGCCCAGCGCCCAGCTCCTGAGTCTAAGCCAGGGTGTGGGTCCCACCTAGTTCTCTCTCATGGGATGCAACAGAGACTAGGAACCAACAACACTATCTTGTTTACACTGGGTCAAGGATGTATCAGGAAGATCCCTCTTTAGGGTCAGAGTCAGCAGGTGTCTGCACAGCCCACTTGGCCCTGAGTGAGCATCAGACGAGGAGCCCAGCATATCTGCATGAACTGTGCTTGAAGTTCAAGGAAACAGATAGGACTTGAGGTCTAATGGGGATCAGGGCCAAAGTGTTCATGAGGAGCAGGAGTCAAGTTCAGAAGGAGCCATGGTGAAGTTCAAGTTCAAGGTCTCAGACTCATGCCAGCTTCACCCATTCACAAGCTCACACTCATCTCACATGAAGAGGATTCCAAGGAGGTGGTAAGGGTCATGGGCAGGATGGACTCCCCTTTGGGTTAGCTGCTGCATGGGGAAATGACCTTGGGCTGGGATTCTCCCATGAGCCACAGCTCAAACCTAGCTATTACCCATGGCTGGCATCCACACTAGATTTGGGGGATGGTGCCTCCATTTGGGGTAGAGATATGGCTGCAGGTTGTGGGTTGGCCCCATGTGCTTCTCCAAACCCATTTCACCCTGCATCTGAATCCTCAGAGACTTCCACCCTCCTCCCTTTTGAGTCAAGATGGGGAGAGGGGTCTGGCAGGTGGGCTGTGGTGTCCAGAGCAGAGGAGGAGTGTCCGGCGGCGGCGGTGGCGGGCCATGCTGCAGGAGAGCGCGGTGCTTTCCGCGGTGCTTGACAGAACCATGTTCCGTTTCCATCGTTCCACCACATGGTTAGATCAAGCACAAAGGAAAGCCCCACGGCCACTGGTCAGAGTCAAGGTCAGGAAGCAGCATCAGAGAGAGGACAGGAGCGCTCAGAGGAAGCAGCGTGGAGAAGCGGAAGCCGGAGCAGGCCCCCACTGCGTGTGATTAGTACCAGGAGCGGAGTTCCACTGGAACGCTTCTGAAGGCCCTGCTGCCCTGTGCCCCGCCCCAGGGGACACATAGCAGGAAGGAGGACAACAGGTGGGAAGCCATCAGACACCTTCTCAGAGGCATCAGGGCAGAAGGAACCCCTCCCCAGGGGGTGGAGAACATCCAGACAGCTGTGTCACATCGTGGGCCTGAGCGGAGCATCTGACCTCCATTCTGCACCTCACCATTGGATAAGAATCAACTTAGCAAAGCATCTTCTGAGAGCTTTGCCACACAGGGCCAATCCCAAGGGCTGAGTGGTGCCATCCGCTGTCCACTATCCCTTAAATAGAGAGACATCCACAGTTCCTGGGGGTCTAGCAAAGCGGATGCTATTCTGCAGGAAAAAGCCCCTGTGACATTCCATTACTCAGGGGTCTCCTCAACATCCTCAGGGTCCCCAGAAGCCCTTGGCTGACAGCTGTGCATTCCATACCACTGGGGGTTTGGTGGAGGAGGTATGGGTATCAAAGGAGACACATCTTCCTACCCAGAGAGATGGGAAGCCAATGGGGCCTTGAGTTTGGCACCAAGAAAACTACAATCACCATGGTCTGAGGCACCAACTGTCACAGAGATAGTGGCAGGTGAATGGAGAGTGGCTCCTGACTAAAGGGCCTCTCAAACCAAGAGAAGGAAGGACGGGGGAACCAGTCACTCAGCTGGAGGGCAAAACACCTGATTCCAGGGTCCTTTTGGATTCCCTGACCTCCTCCTTGGCTGGGAGTCATGGCAGTGGTAGGAAGGCTAGTGAGCCATGATCCTGGAGGCCAAGGAGCCAGACGAGGGTACCCAGTCTATATTCCCATCTGTGGCAGAGCAGGGGAACTTCTCATGAGCCTGCTGACCTGGGACTTCTCCATTGGACTGGAGAGGTGTAAACACTGATGAGACTGGTGCTCTCCCTGCCTAACCTCGGACAGGAGGGACAGTCGCCATTCCTCCACAGTGTGTTGGGGACTGGGTTTCTTGACAAGCTATTCTCAGCACCTTGACAGTGCATAGGTAGTCTACAATGGTGGACATCTGTAATCTGGACTTCACCCCATACTGACATGCACACTCCCGGGCTCTGTGGACACTCTGCTTCTCAGATTTTGTCTTGGAGTTTGATCAGTATCGGGGCAGAGGAAATCTACCCCATTCATGCACCTCGCCCTAAAATCTCCCTTTCCTTGTCTTTGGCTTCCTCCTCCAAAAGGAAATGAAGGGACCTGGAAATATACTATCAAGAATCTTCCTAGTGTATCAGAAATCCTGGGTTTCAGACCTTGCCCTGAAATTACACCCTATACCTTTGACAGGGCTTTTGAGCTGTGTGGTCCCCAACTTCTTCATCTTTAGAACAGACTGGATGTTCTCTGAGGTCCCTAAGATGTCTGGCTGTTTGCCACTTTGGGACACATGCCCTCCCTCTGGGTTTTTCTTCTCTCTCTCTCTCCCTCTCTTTTGGTGCTGGGCCCATGGCCTTGCCCGTCAAGGCAATGTTCTACCTGAGCCACACTCCAGCCTGCACTTTCCACCATGAGAGCTTCTTCTCACACAAAGCAGGGAGCAAAACAGACAGCTCCTTCAACTGGCAAGTGCTCCCAGGATGGGCCAGGGTCTTTCAGCCAGACCGTGCCTGTGCAGGACTTAATCTGATGGTCAGATTGCCCCAGTCAACAGCACCCACCCCGATCTCCTGCCCAGGGCGAAGGCTGCAGCTGATACAGAGAGGCAGAGCCCAGCAGCTGGGGAACCAGACACCCTGCTAAGGAGGGCTTTAAGTGCGGCAGGAGCAGCCCTCAAATTGGCTGCTAATTACATCAGCTGTCTTTTCAAGGGGGTGTTTTTAGGGGAAAGTAAAATGCAGAGTTATTATCTGTCAACTCCACTATGTGTCACCTGCCCCCCTTCCTCCTGCTGGAGCTTCCTGGAAACACAGAGCTTTAGGTCCATGGTTTCTGCCTCCCCCAGGGCCAGGGCAGGACTGGGTCCTGGTGTTTCTCAAAGCCCAGGCCCTTGGAGCTCAGCGGTAGCTCTCACTACCTCTTCCCTGCAGCTATGCAACATAAAAGCACATGTCATGCTAGACGTCAAGCTCGCGATGGCTACAAACATCTCTACCCTGTAGGGAGAAGCTTTCTGTGTAGTGTTGTTTTTTAAAGAAATAATAATATTTTAGTCAAGGTCAACTGAGAACCCTGCCCCCTCTCCCTGTCTATGTCTGTTTACAGTCCCCCCCCCCCCCACACACACACACAGGAGAGGAGCCAGGACCCTGTGAATGCAAAGGCAGGAAGGCAGACAGGCGGGCAGACGCAGGGCCGGAGTGAGCCTTGTTGTTTCTAGGTCCCCTTTCTCTTCCTTTTTCTCCTCCTAGCTCTTTCTATATCTGCCATCCCTAACTTGCTGTCCCCAATCCCCACCCACAGCCATTCCTAGGTCATTCCCAAGGTTGTGGGAGGGGCCATCCTCAGACCCTGGCCTACTCCACCCCAGCCCTGTCACCCAGGGGCTTGATGTCACTTAGGGGCTTGGACATAGACAGGACACTCACGAGACTGAAGTTGGCAGGTGGTGCCCTGTCTTCCCCTGACTCTACAGCCCCTCTCCTTGGCTACTACTAATTGGCCGAGACAGTTAACGGGGCCCTGGGCAGGTGGAGGCAGGAATAGAATGAGGAAAGGCCCTGGGAAAGGACCAGGTGACAGTTCTATCCTCAAAAGTTCCTTCCCAGAGATGCGTGGGCCCAGAAAAGAAACTAAGGACAGAGTTCGGGGTGGAGTGGGACCATGAGGTCAGGGGAGGGGCAGCTGTTGACCTCCTTCCCAAATGCTCCTTCTGTCCCAGACGCTGGGTGCCAGTGGGAAGAGCGAGCAGATCTGGGGTCCACTCCTGCCTCTGTGGTGGCTGACTGTGGCCTCGCCCTGGGGTGACCTTTCACTCTGAGCCCTTGACTCCTCTGCCCTGGCACAGGGACCCGCCTACTGCCCTCACAGGACTATCGGAAGGAGCCAATCAACTGGAAGCATCCAACATGGTGCTCCTCAGAGATGGAGGGTCCATCTGGTAATTTACATCATTATTCTGAGGAAGGCCCGTTGGTACCAACTCTTCACACTGCCACCACGTCCCTGTGGCCTCTAGGCCCTCTTGAGGCATTTGATTCTCCCAAGAAAAGTAAAATCAAAGAGCTCCAGTTCACCCTGGAGACTGGGATCACAGAACTTGACTCAGAGAACAAGAATGTGGTGCTGCCTGCTGGTCTTCTCTGTTGACCAGTTCCCTCGATGGCACCCTCCCTGATTACCAGAAGATGCTCAGGGCAGGGGGAGAAGCAGGACCCTGGCTGAGGCCAGCCTGTGTGCACCACCCGCCTCTGTCCCTCGACTGTCAGTCACCTACCCCAGGAGCAGAGGCTGGGCAGTGATCTTTTCCAGTAGAAAAGAACATGGATGCCAGTCATTTTAACTGCCTGCTCCTCTAGTTCTCGGTCAAGGAGAGCTACTTCTCTTTCCAAGACTGGCTAAGACTCCCCTTGTCATTTGTCCCTGTCCTTCCTGGGTGCAGTGGGGAGAAATGTTTCTAGAGCACTTGGCACGAGAGCAAGGCCGTGCTTCTTCCCAGTCTCTGCCGTCCTCTCCGACATCAGGGTGCAGCTTGGAATGGATAGTGAACCTGTTTTTGAAACCCGTAATGCGCTCAGCCCCAGGGCTGTACCAAAGTCCGTCTTCCAGGGGACTTGGATTACAGAGAGCCTGCCGCCTGGCCTGGGCTACATTTATTTCTCTGTCTGCCATTAGGGAAGCAGGCTTTGGAAGCTGAAAATCCAACGTTACCCTCCTGTCAAGGACACGTGTGCAGAGGCTGTCCTGTCTCTGGTTTTACCTAGCTCTGGGGCTCCGAGGCCGCCTGGGTTCTGTCTCCCCTGAAGCCGCCTTCCCCTCCCCTCCCCTATGCTTTGATTGTGTGTGTGTGTGTGTGTGTGTTTTATTTTAAATCCATAAGGTAATTGGTTTTCTGTGGGCTAACTGAATTTCCCCAATTTAATTTGCAAAGATGCTCCCCAGGAGCCATTACGGGCTCGCTGTCCTCTAGATTGGATTACTGGCCTCTCAGGGGCTGCTGTGTTCTGAGTCAGAAAGTAGGGCCCAGCCCCCGTAACCTGATTACCTGAGCAGCGGAACTTCTTGCTCTTGATCTGGCTGATGCGCTTGTTGGCCAGCCGGCGTGGGCTGCTGCAGCGGGCCCCACTTGTCTCGATGGGGTTGTCCTGGAGGTAGTCAGCCAGCCACTTCAAGTGGCAGTCACACACAAACGGGTTTTGGGCTAAGTGGCTGCAAGAGGGACAGGGCTGTTAATCAGGAGTGACCTGTGGCGCCTCGCTCCACCACCACCCTGCCTGGCAATCGGTGCAGGACCCTGTCCCTCGTGGCCCCAGGAGGCCTGGGGGTGCTGCTTTCAGACAGGACTCAAAGAGAGGGCCTGAGGCTGGCTGGCTGCCAGGACAGGCACAGATGCAGCTAGCATCTGGTCTGGGGAACCAACCCCCAGCTCTCCCTGCTTGGGGGCAGGACCTGCCACCGCGCATCTCTACTCTCACCCACGCCAACTCAGGCGGGCAAGCAAGTTGCAAGCTTTAGACTCTACACCCGGGCAGAATGCATTTTATTTCTCCAAGCTTGGGGACACCAGGCTCGTAAAGCAGCTGGCGTGGCGACTGGCATATGGTGGGTGTTCCAGATACAGCAGCGGGTATTGTTATTATCCTTATCATCACGGAGCACCGGGGTCTGGCCTCCCCTGGCGCAGGGAGAGAAGCTCTGCAGAGCGCTGGACGCAGAGCGTGGCACCCGCTCTGTATTCAACAGACAGCAGCTGCTCTTGCCCTGGATGGGTTTCTGCCTCTGACTACAGGATAATGTGTGCCAGTGACTCGTGGGGTCTTCAGGAGCCCCAGGCTCACTGCAGGCCTGGAGCTGGGGTCCAAGCCTGAAGCTGGAGCCATTAAAAACATGGGCTGAGATCTGGACTCAGATATGATCTACTCACTTGCAATATTTATACCCATCTGTGGTGCCCAGAATGTACTTCCCAGTGAGGAAGAAGTGTTTCCAGAGTCTCTACGAGACACTTAGTTTTGCAGGTTTCTGTTGGTAGGCAGAAATGAGTCATCAACAGGGATGACACCTGCTCAGAACACAGCAGCTGTGCTCAGCTTCTCTGCCTGGATTCAAATCCTGCTTTTTAACTAGCTGTGTGACCTTGAGTAAATTACTTAACCTCTCTGTGCCTTTGTTTCCTCACATATAAACTGAGGATAATACTAGCATCTACACCCTAGGGTTGCTGTGAGATGTAAACATCTTTAAACAGGGCAAGTGCTCCTTGTGGTGATGAGTCGCCTGAATGTCACATGGCCAGCTCCTGGTTCTCATCATTCCACTCTCACTGACAGCCCAGCCATGCTGCGCGTGTCAGTTTGCCTCATCAGGGTGTTCTCTGCTACCGGGCGCCTAGGGTCGCCAGAACCTGGCAGCATACTCACAGTGTCTGGATGGACTGCAGAGGGGCGAAGAGCCCCTTGCTGATGGTCTGCAGCTTGTTGTCGTACAAGGAGAGCAGGGTGAGGCTCTGCAGGTCCTGGAAGGTGTTCACCCGCAGGCAGTTGATCTTGTTGGCATTGAGGAGGCTGCAAACAGAAGAGGCCGTGATTCGCCAGCCCCAGTCATTATCAGCAGTGCACAGGCTGCGCCTGCAGGGGACAGGCTGCAGAGTGGCCATCGTTCATCCCTGCAGTCTTGAGCTCCTACAGCCACCCAGGGGGAGAGAGGGAGGGCGGTGTGCCTGGCCACCCTGGCTGACCACGCCTGGGCACTTGCATGGCTTCCCCACGGAGCCTGTGTCACATGCTGCCACCTGGCACTTGCCCTTCGCTGCAGGGAGACCTGAAAGGGACCTGTGCCTTGAACTTTCTGCTTTAGAATTCCAAGCTTCCAGGAAAAGAAAAACAATCATTTGGCGCAATTATTTTAAAGTTCCAGTTGCCAGGGTTCTTTGGATCATTGATTCCACTGGAAATCTGGTGAGAGTCACAGGTCATCCCACCAGAAAGCCCGAAGCCACGTGCAGCCACGGGCACGCACACGGCCTCTCTCTCACTCACGCAGAGGACAGGTCCATGCAGTCCCGCGTGGCCTGACCCCTGCCCTCGCGCACATCATGCCAGCCCCCCCTTCAGCTCCTCCCTGCTCCTCAGCATCTAGCTCAGGTCCTGTGACCCTCTTCCAGCAAACCTGGCTTCTCCTCCTCCTCTGCCTTTGAGCTCAAATGTCACCTCCTCAGAGAGGCTGGCCTGACCATCTCAGCTGGGACCCCCCGATGCTGCCTCTCACAGCCCTTCGGGAGTCACCTTGACTTGTGATTTTAGGGTGATTTCTTTTCTTGCTTATCATTTGCCTTCAGAATAAGACTGACGGCTCCGTCATGGCAGTGAACCCCACTGCATCTCTCCCTTAATTCTTGGGGCTTATTCTTTATCAAGAAACTTGCCAACTCCAGAGGCAACCTTGGGGGTGTCCCTCCTCCACAGGGGCACTGGTTTCCCCAGGATCAGCTTTCCCTGAACTGGGGACCCACTGTGCTGCTTTTCTCTTCAGATCCTTCCCTCCACACCCCCAAAGCCTCACGGGAAGCTGCCTTCTGGGTGAGACCCTGGTGCAGAGGATGCCATAGGAGAATTCCAGAGGCACCTGGCAAGCCAACCAAATTGGAGTGCTAAGAATTTCCTTCTTCATCCTAGACTGGCCAGTTGTGCCCTTGAAGTCAGTATAAAATCGTCTCTCACTTCCTCTTGAACGACAGTGGCGGGGAGGGAGGAGGAATGCTACCCAAGAGCAAAAATGGTGAATTTTTAAAATTCCAGTTTTCAAGGTTGGCTTAGAGCCTCCCTGGTGGGGAATGACCCTGAGATTCCTAATGGGCTGTTGTGCCTCAGGAGTCCCTTGACAACAGAACCCAGGGGGACGGGCCTCAGCAATGGTGGGGCTGCCCCGGGGAGCTAAGCCATCCGAGCCACCTCTCCCAGGGGTCCCTGTGCAGGAAGCAGGCAGCTGTCACAGTGGCAAGTGGAAAAGCTGCCTGTTTAATCTGGCTAATAATGGGCAAAGTCCCTGGGGTCCGCACAGATGTCCTCCTGCCTTGCAGTGGGAAAAGCTCACGTTTGCAGAATAGTCTCCCTGTCCTCCTCACGCCCCATGCTTCTCCCAGTAACCTGGGCAGATGGGCAGAGCTACCCGGGCAAGTTGCAGGTGAGGAAACTGGAGCTCAGAGGTGGCCAGGGTTGTTCAAGGTCACAGGTGTTTCGGGCGGCCTGCTGGCTGTGGTTTATGATAACCAGGTCTCCAGAGGGTTCGCTCTTTTTCTTACAATGCCTCATCCACCCGGCCCATCTGTCTCCCCTTTTGCAGCATCTTCCTCAAGAATTTCCTGTGCTTTGTGTATTGAATCGTAGTCAAGGTCATGCTGTCTTGGGGACATTTGAAGGAGGATTCCGTGGAGCAGAGAAACGGAGAAAATCCAGCAGACCCCATAGGGCCAAGCACTCACCAGGAATGCATTCTTCACACACACAATTTTTTGTTTTGTTTAAGGGGAAAAAAAGTGGGTGGTAAATGATTTGTTCCAAATCTTAATACTAAGGGCCTTCTGCGTGCATCACCTTGCCGGGAGGTGTTGAACCACTCAGTAAAGAAACCAGGCCAGCTTCTCCGATGCATGGGAGAGTCCTCCTTGCACCATATGCAACATGCCGCAAACAAATCTATGTAAAACTTGACCTTTCCTGTGTTTTAAAAGTTGGGAAATTTCAAGCAAAACACATTCACAGACACACACACACTGGATTTCTATTTTCTCTTGAAAAAATTTTCCAGAAGCTCTGGCAATGAGTCCACTGGAGGCAGCTGTGCCTGGCTACCCTCTGTAGGAGGGACACAGGCCCTCTGCCGGACAGTGCCCACTGCTCCCTACTGGTGCCCTTCACTAGTTGACTTCACCTTCTGGCCCGAGTAGCATGATGTTTTGAGGCCTCAGAACTGATTCATGAGCCCGCTGTGGAACCTGGTCCTGGGGAGTGTTAGAGCCTGGACAAGGAGAATGGCCACAGGGACAGAGAAGTGACAACTCAGACCTGCCCTGGATGTCTGCCCAAACTGCATTTGGCCCTGGCAACCTCCGCACCCCTCAGGCCCATCCAGGCTTCCTGCTCTCATCCCTGTGCTGCTTTGTCCCCTGTGGCTCCTAGATCTCCCCACGCGGGATGTCATTTCAAAGATGCAAGACATCACAAGGACCCGGGCTGGCAGAATTTCTAGGCAAAGAAAGGACAAGGTACAGAGCTCACAAAGCAGGGAGCGAAAGAAAACAGAAAAGGGCGCAGTCTCCTGGTCACTCACTCTCTCCCAGGCTGCCTGGCTCCCTCGGTGAGACGCGTGGGTGTAGGAGAGATAAAATTAAGCTGCTTATCGAGAATTAGATGCTGAGGACAGCCTTGCTGATCCCCAGCATCAGCAAGATCTAACAGCCTGTCCCTCTGCCCTCTCTTGTGTCAGGAAGCTGGCAGTGACTCATCTCAGGCGGGTTCCACCAGCGCTGAGCTATCTGGCCCATGGACGAGAGCTGGAGGGGATTTATGAGGCGCCGTGCTGCGGAGCAAACAGAAAAGCCATGGCGTGTAGAGCCCTTGTCCAAAATGCTGGGGACCAGAAGTGTTCAGGGTCTTAGATATTTTTTTCGAGATTTTGGAATATTTGCATAAATAATAACAGACATCTTGGGGTCTAAAGTCTGAACGCAAAACTCACTGAGGTTTCTCGTGTGCCTTTTCCACAGAGCCTGAAGGTAATTTTGCGTAGTATTTTTAGTGCTCCTCTGTATTGACTGTGACCTATCACTTGAGATCAGGTGTGGAATTTTCCACTTGTAGTATCATTGCAGCGATCAAAAAGGTTCTGATCCTGGAGCATTTTGGCCTTTGGAACTGGAGACACTCCATCTGTATTTGAAAGGTGTGCCACCTTGCCAGGAAATGTTGAACCATTCAGCAGCTCTTAGGGCCTCAACCCAGGCCTCCCTCTTTGACTGCGGGATGGATTCTTCTTTGGAGTAGGATGCCTGGGATGCTTAGGATCCCTTGGAATGCTCCATCTGTCCTGGCTCTCCCCCATGAGGAGCAGAGCTGGAACTTCTGTGTGAAACGATGATAATGACACAGACTAATCTCTAGAGCCCACATGGCTGTGTGCAGTCCTGCATTTTCCAAAGCACTCTCTGTGAGCCGTTTTATTTAACCCTCATGACAGCACTATGATTATCTTCATTTTTCTGATGAGGATGCTGGGGGTCAGAGTGGTGACGGACTTGATCAAGGTCACCCTGCAGTAAGACAAGCTCCAGCCTGGTGGACGTGGAAGCGCATCTCTCATCCACTGCCTGACGTCCATGTGTTCTCCTTTCCGTGTTCCCTGTCCCTGGGACGTCTGTTTGGCTGCCCTTAGGATGCACCTGGCATGATTCAGGTGGATGAAGGTGTGTCAGTCTGGGAGACTCCGCTTGCCTCTTGGGAGTACAAAGGCATCAGTCCAGCTGACTGATTGGTTGGTCACCAAGCTGCCACTGACACTGGTAGCAGGCTCTGTGTCGAGTGTCTTATACTCATGAGGATCACTGAGTGCCAGTGTGGGAGCAGACCCTGGGTTTTCAGTGTGCTCTGGGCAGCCCAGGAGAGCAGGACAAGGCAGAGACAGAGCACCCTTCATCCACAAGGGCACGGTCCAGCTTGCCTTGTCCCAGGGGCTTCCTGGTATTCCAACAGGAAATGTCGGCACCTGTAGGTATCAATCAGCCTGCTCTGCTAGAGTCCAGTGAGTCAGTGTGGGATGTTCTGTGCTTGCAGATATCTCCAGAAGCACAGTTTACTGTCTTCTGGGGCCATATGTTCCCAGACCTATCTCCTAAAAGAACCTCAGAGGTCATATAAATAAAAAGAGGGAGCTGCTGGGGTGCCTAACCAGCATGGTAACACGGGATAAGCACTTGAAAGGTCAGGTACTGCCCTGGATGAATTCCATGAAGCCCCCACAGCCCTAGGTGCTGAGTGCTATCTCCATTTGACAGATGACACTTCTAGGACTCAGAGAGCCTAAGTAACTGTGCAGAGTCCCATGTGTAAGTGGTGGGTTGAAACCCATGCTATTTCACACCAACCATTATGCTACCCTGTCCTCCCTCTCATGACGGGATGGTGGGAGCCACCTAATGTTATGGGCAGAGGTGGTGGCAATGTCTTTGTGGCTCCTCCATCAGCTTACAGAACAAGAAGGGCCAACTCCCAATAGGAAGTGCAAGAGCGCTGCTGGGAGCCGGAGTACAATGTCTCCCTTCTGAAGGTATTTCTGGGTTCGCTCTGAGCCACACGGCCACCTCTCTTTGCACAGCACTTCCGGCTTCCACATATGCTCCATGTCAAAAGGTGCTAGCACACGGCCCCTTGACCCACCAACCACGCTGCTGAGAGCATTGCCTTCAGGAAGAGCAGGGCAGGGCACCTGCAGAGGTTCACAAAGTGGGAGATGAAGAAGGCAAGGAAATGCCTGGAGTCTGGGCCAGGAAGGGCTCTCACCACTCAAGTCC